TCAGCACCACCAGGCTCCACACCCTCAAGCTCCGCACCCCCAGGCTCAGCACCCCCAGGCTCAGCACCCCCAGGCTCCGCACCCCCAGGCTCAGCACCCCTAGAAGTAGCACCCCGAGAAGGACCACCCTCAGTAGGACCTGAGTCACCAGTGACCTCAACCGGCGCAGTCAAGGGAGGAGGGTCTACCTGAGAAACACCTGAAGGAGCAGGACCAGGAGTGGGGAGGGGGTCTACCTGGGGAGCACCTGGAGCGAGGAAGAGCGGCGGGGGGGGGGGGAGCGGGGCAGTGCGGTAGGGGAAGAGACGGTAAAAGGGAACCGACTCGTCGAACGTGACGTCCTGAGACGCAAAGACACGGCGCGAGGTGGGATGGTAAAACTGCCAACCAGGCGCGTCAGGGACAAAGCCAAGGAAGACACAGGGAACAGCGCGGGCGGAGAGCTTGTCCGCGGTGGTATCGCGGACAAAGGCACGAGCACCCCAGACCCGGAAACGCGACGCATCACCAACCTTCCCCGTCCACAGCAGTGTGGGCGAGGTCTCCGGCAAGGAGACACGGGGCCAGAGGTTGAGCTGATGCGCGGCGTACCGGACCGCAAACGGCCACAGGAAATGGGGGGCAGCCGCATGGATCATGGAGGTACGAGCGACCTCCATGACTAAGCCAATGCGACGCTCAGCAACCCCATTCTGCTGTGGAGAGGCCGGAAGCGTGAACGACTAGGTGATGCCGTCCTCCGCACAGTAGGCTGCCAAGAGGTCAGAGGAGAACTCACCACCTCTGTCAGAGTGCAGACGCAGGACAGGAAAGTCCCGCCGGAACCGCTCGTGGAGCTGGAGACGAACAGCGCGGATCCAAGGGATCAAAACATCAGGGACGTCCCCCTTGCTCTGCAAGGGGAAGACCGTGGTGTAACGCGTGTAGTCGTCGACAACCAGCAGGAAGTACCGCTCGCGGCCCTGTCCCTGGACGCGGGCTGGGCCCCACACGTCCAGGTGGAGCGTCTGCAGTGGAGCCTCTGTGGGAGGAAACGAGGAGGAGTGAGGAGCGGCGCGCTGCCGCCCCTCGACGCAAGGAATGCAGGGCGGCGCAGGCGAGGGAGGGAGGGCAGGCAGAGACCTGGGAAGACCAGAGACCAGACAGCGAGAGTGCATGCTACGCAGGCGAGGCAAGGAGGGGTGACCAAGACGGTGGTGCCACAGGAGAGTGTCGTGCGACAAAGCGCGACACTCGCAGGGGGCCGCCAGCTGACCAGACGTAGACGCAGACGCAGCTACCTGAGGAGACTCAGTGGTCAGTGTGTACAGACTCGAGCCAGGTGCACGGGTGAACGTGGCCAAGTGCCGGCCCGTCCTAGCACACGTACAGTGAGTCACTCGCTGACTCGCAGGAGTGAACTGGTCAACCGCCCGATCCTGGAGGTCAGCTCCACTCACCAAGTTCGTAGAGAACGAGGGGAGGTAAAGACCTGACAGCGAGCCGGACGGGACGGCCGGACACGGCAGAACCGTGGAGTAGTGGGCAAGGACCGGACCCCCGGAGGGGTCCGCCAGGGAGACTGGAACTGGCCGACTAAGCGGCGTGAGTGTGGTGCAGTCGCAAAAGAAGGAGCGAGAAGCTCCTGAGTCAAGGGTGAAGGTGTGCGAGACCGTAGTTGGCGCAGTACCAGAGAGAGCAGACTCACCAGCACCTGAAGCCACGGCCTCACCAGTACCTAGAGCAGTAGACGTACTAGCACCGAGAGCAGCAGCCTCACCAGCACCTAGAGCAGGAGACGCACTAGCACCTAGAGCAGCAGCCTCACCAGGGTCAGGCGGTACGCACAGAGAACAGGCACGATCAGCACTAGTAGGCAATGCATACATGGCAGTGAGAATAGCATCATAGTCAAGCGCAAAGATATCTACCCTCTGTCCATGCAGCTCCAGCCAGGTGGGGAGCTCAGCCTCGTCGCCAAACACTGTGCGCCAGTCGTCGCTCAGACGGGCGAAGCAGCGGGACTGTGTGTGACCAAGCGTCCCACAAGGCTGACCAGTCCTAGCACCTGTGCGAATGACGTACGGGCAGCGAACTGTACGCGTAGACCTGCTACACTGAGCGTACCACTCCTGGAGCTGCCGGGGCGTAAGTGTCTCACGTGGACGCCCCTGCAGCTGCAGCTGGCCACTGCCAGACGCTCCCAACTGACCAGCTCCAGGGCGACAGCTACGACGGCTACTGCGACAACCCCAGCTAGTATACCACTCACTAAGCTGCTGGGGCGTCAGAGGCTCGCGTGAACGTCGCTGGAGCTGCATCTGGCCACCTGCCAGTAGCAGTAGCAGCAGCAGTAGCGCGGGCAAGGCAGGCGCGGCAGGCAGGCAAGCAAGCAGGCAGGCAGGCAGGCAGGCAGGCCGGCAGGCAGGCAGGCAGCCAGGCAGGCAGGCAGGCAGGCAGACAGGCAGGCAGGCAGGCAGGCAAGCAGACAGACAGGCAGGCCGGCAGGCAGGCAGGCAGGCCGGCAGGCAGGCAGGCAGGCAGGCAGGCAGGCAGGCAGGCAGGCAGGCAGGCAGGCAGGCAGGCCGGCAGGCAGGCAGGCAGCCAGGCCGGCAGGCAGGCAGGCAGACAGGCAGGCCGTCAGGCAGGCAGGCAGGCGCTCACCAAAGGCTGGGAGAGCAGGCGCTCACCGGGCGAGCAGGGCCGGCGCTCGACGGGCGGCGGCCGAGTAGGCGCACGACAGCGACGGCTTCGGGGCCGCAAAACCGGCTGCAGAGCAGGGCCGAAGCAGCTGCAGGGCGGGGCCGCTTCAGCGGCAGGAGCAGGGTGGGGCCGCGTCAGCGGCAGGTCGGGGCCGTGGCAGCTGCAGGGCGGGGCCGCATCAGCGGCAGGTCGGGGCCGTGGTAGCTGCAGGGCGGGTCCGCATCAGCGGCAGGTCGTGGCCGAGGCAGAGGGCCGCGCGCGGCTCGGCGCGGGCTGCGCTGACAGCGCGCTGAGCTGCTGCAGGCCGCGCGCGGCCGCGCTAGGCAGTAGCGGGCCGCGCGCGGCTCGGCGCGGGCTGTTGCGGGCCGCGCGAGGCAGTAGCAGGCCGCGCGCGGCTCGGCGCGGGCTGCTGCGGGCCGCGCGCGGGCCTCGCGAGGCCGTAGCAGGCCGCGCGCGGCTCGACGCGGGCTGCGTGGGCTCGGCGCGGGCTGCGCGCGGCAGCTGCGGGCTGCGCGCGGCAGCAGCGGGCTGCGCGCGGCTCGGTGCGGGCTGCGCGGGCTGTGCGCGGCTCGGCGCGGGCTGCGTGGGCTCTGTGCGGGCTGCGCGCGGCTGCAGCGGGCTGCGCGCGGCTCGGCGCGGGCTGCGCGGGCTCTGTGCGGGCTGCGCGCGGCTGCAGCGGGCTGCGCGGGCCTTACGGGCCTCTAGGGGCGGCGCGTGGGCCTTACGGGCCTCTAGGGGCAGCGCGCTGGCCTAGGGCAGCAGGAGGCAGCGCTAGGGCTGCTGGACGGCGCACATAGTGCAGCACGGCACAAGGCAAGGCAAGGCAGGCAGGTACGTGGGGTAGCGCGGTAACCGCAGCGGTAGGTGGGCCCGAAAAAAAAAAAACGGTCCTACGGACCTTAGTGCTCTGATACCATGTCAGAATCTAGCAGCAGGAATGGATGAACTAGCAGCATGCAGGAGTACAAGTAGTAAACCCTAATTGGGCTGTACCCCATATGGGCTACCCCACTACAGCCTAGACAATATGCAGCATATATGTTTGACACGAAATCCTTTTTCCTGGGGTTGAAATGGAGGAGAGGTGAGGGTGGGTGGTCGTGGGGTGGGGAGGAAGGAGCGAAGGGGAGTGTTTGCGTTCTAGACTATTTATGTATGTTTCTGTTGTCACAATCCGCTCTTTCCACTCTCAACCATTCTCCGCTTTCACGGTTTATGCATCAGTGGCGAAGGTGCTCCCGACAGTGGTGCCGTCAGTCACGGTGGACGACGCGCGACAGGTGTTCAATGAGTCCAGGGAGCTGGGTCAGGGGCTCGTCTGCGTCGCCATTAAGGTAAGAAGGTCATGCAGTGCGTTCAGCTTGTTTTTTCCTCCTCTTTCTTCGTATTATTGAATGCGTGACGTTTTGATAACAATTGTGCGGGGTTCGAGTACGGGTTCTGGGAGATGTGTGAGGGAAGCTGATTGTAGGGAGTGTTAAACACCACTCTCACACGTGCCTTACACGCTTGTTTCCTTGTGTTTGCAGGAACACGCTGAGTTTTACGCACAGCATATGGCCATGAAAGGCCTGCGTTCCACTATTCAGCCTGATGGCCTAGTCATTTAGGTACATTATCTTTAGTTGGCGTGGCTCAGTTACCTCATGTATGTACTTAGTTGTGAAGCATTTTTGTAAGGTAATATGCCATCACCTGATGGGTTATCTCATTTTTCCTCAATCCTAGACTCCAGTGAAATATGGTGATATATACCCAGCTACACTGAAATCTCGAGTTTTCCGGTTTTCTGAGGTTTGGCTTATGACAGGGCTTTCCCGGTCAGGCAGGTTTGGTACGGTGTTGCTTGGTACGGTATTGCCAGAAAAACCCTGCCAAGCCTTCTGACACACACCTCTTCACTCGGCCAAGCCTGACCGTTTTCCCTCCCATTTCTCAGCCCGCTCTCACGATACGCGACACCTGTCGAACATTCGGCAAAACCAAAGTTCAGGCCTGCCCACCGCAGCTGCCCTGTCACGTCCCCCGTTCTTCCGAACTTCCCGCGCCCACCTTGCGCCCATCCTGTCAAATTCTCCGCACCCCGCTTCCACATGACCCTTCCGCTCCCCTGCTCTCCGCCCCCTCGCGTTCTTGGGATCTTTCCGCTCATTCCCCCGTTCGCCAGATTCACATCTGCACTTGCTGAATTCCCAGGGCCTACAGAATTCCCAAGGCCTTGACTTCACTCCATTGGTTTGGAATTCCTGCACTGTTTTTGTGAGTAGCCGTATCACGACGTCTAGTAGCAGTTGTGGTTATCAGTTCTGTTGGCCGCCATGGCTGCGTTAGGAAGGCTCGCTTGCGGGCTTGCTATATTCTGTTTGCTGTCTGGCCTGCTTGCCGAAGCGGCCGTGCACGAGTATAATGGCGGGAAGTTCTTCCAAGCGTCCGATGCTTTCCTCTTCCGAGGCGGACGCGAAGGTCTCTTCGCTTCCACGCCCGAAGCAGTTCGCCGTTGGGTGGACATCCCAAGAGGAGTGGCAAACGGAAAAGCGTACATCCGGTAGGGGAGACCTCTCGGTAGTCTAGATGCATTCGCAGATTGAGAAGTGCACATCTCATTGGATGCGATGCGTAGATAGATCAGCAACAACAAACTTACGGATTGGCCGGCGAATGAACGCAGCTCTCGTAGACAATCTGTTTTTTCTTTATCGATCTCCATAGAGCACATCTCGACATTCTTTTCGCAGGCTCCTGCGTGGCTGCTCCTATTGATAATTGCCGGCTCCTGCTAGAAACATGCACTGCCGTCGTGGACACAAGTTTCGTCGACTAATCTGTGGCTGTTTTGATTTGTCAAACCCCTTCGTCTGAATGGGTTGAAATTTTCATCGTCGTATATGCAGGTTCGACAACCTTAAGTTCCATCGGCCGCTTTCCGAGGCTCAGGTGGCACCGATCGCCGGGCAGACGGGGAGAATTGAGGCTCTGTTGTTCGAGGTGAAGGACCGCGACCGCATCGGCTATGCTTCGGCTTCCAACATCCGCGCGTTCTGCTGCTCCCCCGAGCTCGTTCAACGGACCGGATGCAACCCTGGACACATCATCGTGCGGCCGAGAGACGGCGATAACCAGGTACGAGCGACTTTCTTTTGAATCCGCGAAATGATATCCAAATTCGCGTGCACATGTAAGAATCGAAAGCGTTTTTCTTGTTCGTGTAGTGAGAATTTTGCGAAGTAATTAGGCCGGAGCGAACGAAGTAAGGAGGCCGGAGCGAACGGAAGGGTCATAGAAGAATGCATGCTGTTCTCACGCAGAAACGATCTACTTATAAGCATGGTCCCAGCGACATCAGAATTTTCAAGAAACAAGTTACCTAGAAGAGTGTTGCTGATGTATCAATGATGCTTCGTGTAACTCAACGCTTCCAGTTTCACGCGAGGTGGTTAATGAACTTCTCCAGCAATGACACGACGGCGCGTATGGCCGTGGCTCCTCCATCGCAACTCCATGTCACGACTGCAGGCCTGACATTCACCACCTCTAGACGATGTTTTCCATGCTCGTTTATAACTTCTTTCACCCTGACTGATCCGCAGTCGCCCCGCGTGGTGCTCATACTTGACCCTTTCCTCTTTCACCCTGCATGATTCACTCCCCTCCACAGTGGCCGCGCGTGGTGGAGATCAACTTCATCGGAAACGACACGGCAGTGGCAGTAGCGCCGTCGGAGATTCACATCACGGCGCCGGGCATGTACTACCTGTGGTTCGTCATCTGTGACAAGAGCCTCGCTGGCGTGGCCGTCACGGGAACCACTGTGTGGAAGAACCCGGGCGGGTACCTGCCGGGCATGATGATGCCTTACCTCAACTTCTACGCGCTCATGTCCATGGTGAGTGCTGTTACCGTGGGTTGATTGGAATCATTATTGAGTCGACTGACGAGTCACCTCGCTGGTGTGGCCGTCGCGGGCATAACCGTGTTGAAGAACCCCCGCGGGTATCTGCCGGGCATGATGATGCCTTACCTCAATTTCTACGCGCTCATGTCCATGGTGAGTGGTGTTTCCGTGGATTGATTGGATTCATTGTTGAGTCGACTGAAACGTCACCTGGCCGCCATGAGCATAACCGTGTGGAAGAATCGGGGAGGGTGTCTGCTGGGCATGATGATGCCTTACCTTAACTTATACGCTCTCACTCTCCCCCTCTTCCCCTGCTCCTCCTTTCCCCTTCTGGTCCCTCCCGCCCCTCCCCCACCCCGCCCCCTTCTACCCCCTCCCCCCGGACCCCCTCTCCCCCCCGGTCCCCCCCTTCCCTCCCCTATTTCCCCCCGCGCAGGCGTACCTGGTGCTGGGCGTGGTGTGGTTCATGCAGTACGCGCGCTTCTGGCGCGACATCCTGCAGCTGCAGAACTGCATCACGGCCGTCATCGCGCTCTCCATGCTCGAGATGGCCACCTGGTACTTCGACTACGTCAACTTCAACGCTGGCGGATTCCGCCCCTATGGAACGACGATCTGGGCCGCCACGCTCGGCGCGCTGCGCAAGGCCGTGTCGCGCGTGCTGGTGCTGATCGTGGCGATGGGGTATGGCGTGGTGCGGCCGACGCTGGGAGGGCTGTCAGGGAAGGTACGTGTGAGGAGGGGGGGAGTGTGAAAGGGGAGAAAGGGGAGAGAGGTGGAGGCGAGAGTGAAAGGGGTGTCATGGGTGCTGGTGCTGATCGTGGCTATGGGATACGGCGTGGTGCGGCCGACGCTGGGAGGGCTGTCAGGGAAGGTACGCCCAGGGTGGGGGGAAGGAGATGGGGAGAGGTAGAGAGATTGACGTTTGGGAAAGGAGTGGGGAGATGCTTGGGAAGGATGACGGGGTTATCATGAGTGCTCGGGCTGGTGAAATGAGACAGAATAGTGCGAAGAACACGGGGTCAGGGAGGACAGGGAGTTGTATAGAGTGTGGGAAGCAAGGGAAAGTCTGGAAGGGAAAGGAAGGGAAGAATGAAGAGTATGGACAGTGAAGTGACAGGGGTGGAAGGGAGGAAAGTGTGGAAAGCACGGGTGGAAGGGAAGGAGAGAGGGGGTGAGGGGGAAGCTGAAGGAGGGTCAAGGGGACGGAGGATGGAATGCAAGGCGAGGAAGCTTGAGGGGGAAAGTAATAGGCATGGGAATGCGGCGGAAAAAATTGAGAGGGGGAAAAGATGAAAGAGGCGATGTAAAAGTTACACTCAGGAACAGTACTGCATGGAGCTCCGTTCTGCTCCCTTCACCTCTCCTCTATTCACCTTTTCCCCTTTCCCCTTCCACCTCTTTAGATAATGGCGCTAGGAGCGGGGTACTTCTGTGCGGTGGAGCTGTTAGACGTGATGCAGAAACGTGGGGGCGCCTCTTCCTGCCCGTTCCTCTCTGTAACCCTCCTCCCCCACACCTTCCCCACACTCTCCCCACCCCACACCCCTTCCCTCTCACATCAGGTGATGGCTCTGGGTGCGGGGTACTTCTGCGCAGTGGAGCTGTTGGACGTGATGCAGAACGTGGGGGCCATTGACGACCTGAACAGCAGCGAGCGCCTCTTCCTCGTGCTGCCCCCTTCACCTCTCATCTCCTCACTTCCCCCCTCTTCCTCCTTCCTCCTTGTAGGTGATGGCGCTGGGTGCGGGGTACTTCTGCGCGGTGGAGCTGTTGGACGTGATGCAAAACGTGGGAGCGCCTCACCCTGCCTGTCTCTATCTGGAACCCTCCTCTCCTCACCACTCCACACCCCTCCCCCGCAGGTGATGGCTTTGGGCGCGGGGTACTTCTGTGCAGTGGAGCTGTTGGACGTGATGCAGAACGTGGGGGCCATCGACGATCTCAACAGCAGCGAGCGGCTCTTCCTCGTGCTGCCCGTGGCTGTGCTGGACGCCATCTTCATCCTCTGGATCTTCTCCTCGCTCTCCAAGACGCTCTCGCTGCTGCAGGTGGGTTTGTAGCGTAAGGGGGAAGGGTGGGGTGGGTGGATAAAATGCTTGTTCCTGGGCTGGCCCAATGGGTGGGCGAGGGGAGAGAGTGGCTGTGCTGGACGCCATCTTCATCCTCTGGATCTTCTCCTCGCTCTCCAAGACGCTCTCCCTGCTGCAGGTGGGCTCGTAATGGTTGCTGTTGTTGCAGCGGTCCTGGGTTACTGTGGAAAACAGCGGATTGGGAAAAACAGCTTGTGGGGAAGAAGGCGAGGGGAATGATGACCGTCTTGTCAGCTGAGTCGTGCTGCCTGGTTTGAAGGACCAAGCAGGCACTGATTGCGCCGTCCTGTGACTTGCCTCCAGAATACTGGCTGAGATGTCCGTGCTCTTTCATCCGATCCCTTTGCATCAGCACTTGTCAACCCCTTGCCTTTTCATGCCCAGTCATGCCTTTTTATTTCCATTCGTTCCTTTTTATGCCCCGTCCCCCTTCCACCCCAACCCTGCCTCCCCCATCCCTCTCCATGTGCATTTGTCAACATCTTGCCTTTTCATGCCCATTCATGCCGTTTTTTGCCCCTTCCCTCTTCCACGTCAAACCCCGCTCGGGCTCAAAGCTGGAGCTGTACCGCAAGTTCACCAATGGCATGGCTCTGGCCGTGCTGTTGACTTTCAGTCCTTTCATGCCCAATCATGCCGTTATATCATGCCCCACCCCCCTGTCTCCTTCCCCCCTGCCTCCTTCCCCCCCCTTTACCTACCAGACGAAGCGCTCGGGCTCAAAGCTGGAGCTGTACCGCAAGTTTACCAACGGCATGGCTCTGGCCGTGCTGGTCTCTGTAGCGTGGATCGCATACGAGGTGCGCACTGAACCACTCTGCACCAATTCTTGTTCGCTACACGAGATTATGTTGCCTGTCTTTGTGATATTGTTTGCCCCGATCCACGTGTTTATCTTATCCTCCGGCTGATTGTGTTCGTCCTCAGACCTATGTGCGACTATCCATCTCAAGCCATGTTTGACTCCCTTATGCTTTTCCCTTCTTTTCCCTTCTAATCCCTCAGATGTATGTGCGTCTGTCAGACCCGTACAATGAGAGGTGGGAGGCAGACTGGATCACGGGGTGCTTCTGGCACGTGCTGCAGTACGTGCTGCTCTGCGCCATCTGCGTGCTCTGGGCACCCTCCCTCAACTCCACCAGGTGAGCACGCTACCTCAACTCCACCAGGTGAGCACGCTACACTCCACCAGGTATGCTATGCACACGTGAATGCGGGCAAGTAGGTGTTGGTACTCCAACAACACAGCGGGCAAGTATCAAGCTCTCCCACAGTTCTGGCACCTGCTGCAGTACGTGCTGCTCTGCGCCATCTGCGTGCTTTTGGCGCCCTCCCTCAACTCCACCAGGTATTCACACTGCTCTTGCTCTTGAGACCTGTTCTCATGCTCTCCCCCACAGCTATGTTGATCTTCTTCCATTCTGCTAACACCGCATGTCCTCTCTCCTGCAATGGATTGTGCCAGTTACTGTGATGTTGCGTTTGATTGCAACTTTGCAATTAACTGATCCTCACACCCTTTTACACGTCAACCAGATACGCATACTCGGAGGACGTTCCAGAGGATGATGATGACGTGGCACTGACATCAGCAGCTGTGGCTTCAGCGAAAGCTGAGGCAGGCTCTGCAGCAGAGAAGAAGCCAATAAACACGGATGTGTTCTCGCTAGAAGACGAGGTTGAGGAGGGGAAACTCGAGTGAAGGTGACTGATGGTGCGGGATACTTTTAGCAATGGTCCTTGACAAAAGTATAGCTTATAGGATACGGTAGAATGGTTGCCTTGATAGATCAGAAGCATTAATGTATGTGGTGGTAATTTACAAGTGTGTTGCTGCTAGTAACAGCTTGAAATCACGAATGGTTGCATTCAGTGCAACGTGCCCACGTATAGGTAGTAATGATGTTGTTAATACTAACACTGCAACCAGGACCGTGCTATACAGCGGACATTCCGCGGCAACGTCGAGAAACTAGCACTTTCTTTTTCATCTTGTGCTTGACGTCATGATTTCATGACAGAAGCTTGATTTGATTGACCAATTCCTCCTGTCCTTCTCGGGTCGCTTCAATCTTTCGCTTCTTCTAAGGCTGTGACCATCTATGGCGTTTTAACGCGGGTTTTGGCAGACGGACTGGGATCAGCATCCAGCAGGGATACGGAGTACTATAGGTTGCAAAGTCGATTACAGGCTTTGAGTTGTGCACCACATTCAACCGATCAACCATGTCGCTCCACCGTATCCTCCGCCGATCCTCCCTCTACCCGCACCACTGTTCGCGGCTCGCACGCCAGCTCGCATCCGCCTCAGCCTTCCCGCACGTATCCTCGCTTTCAGCTCTCTCCGCCAATTCCGCCGTTTCCGCCGATTCTGCGTCCCCTTCTTCGCACAGACAATGCTCGTCCGTTCACGGGTTATCCCGAAACTCGTTTGGGATCCAGCGAGCTTGCAGTTTCCAGTTGAGTGGTTCGTTGCACTTCATCCTCGCGTGTGGATTAAGGCGGTTGTTCTGTAGTCGCTATTATTGCGTTCAGCAATTAACAACAGTGTAAAAATACATTGCACTGGGTTGCACGACAGCACAGCACAGCACTGGGTGAAAGGTTAGCGTATGAATAAGGATCCGGGAGACGTTTTCCGGGACGACTCAAAAGAGATCCAAGAGACGATTCGCTGGTTCCTTATGAACTTGTTAGGCCCCTAATACCCACCACAGTCCATGATCTTTGTTTGTTCCCTGAACAGGACTTTAGCAAACCTTTCCGCATCCGCGTTATTGTCATCAAGTGGCGATGGTGCTACCACTGCAGTTACCGCTGCGGATCCCGCTACTGTGCCAGCAGACACTGATGATGAATCCGCTGCAGTAGCAGGTAAATCTGAGGCTTGTTCGCCTGATTCCTTCTCCCTTCTACTCTTTGTTCCACTCAACGCCATGGTTTGACAGTTGACTCAAAACGCGTCTTTCCCTCCTCGTCCTCGCACAAAAAAGGTATTTGAAGAACAGAAAGGAATTTTTTTTCAGTTCGATTTGACACTCGCCTCTCTCGCTGGCATTCCCTTCCCCTCTCTCCCACCCAATCCCCTTTCCCCTCACAGAGCAGGTATCAGAGGACAAGTTGACACCAGCCAAGGTGGTGGAGCTGTTGGATCGCCACATTGTAGAGCAGGCCTCTTTCTTTGGTGCCGCATGAATGCACTCACCCTCTCCTCTCCGACTCCCTCTCCTTCCCCGCGCCTCTCTCTCCCCCCCCACGCCTCTCCCTCCCTCCTCCTTCCCCCCCCCAGATCAAGTATCGGAGGACGACCTGACGCCAGCCAAGGTGGTGGAGCTGTTGGATCGGCACATCGTGGGGCAGGCACAGGCCAAGCGGGCTGTTGCCATCGCCCTGCGCAACAGGTGGGGATTTAGCGGCACTTGCCTTGATTTGGGTTGACTCGATCGAATCACACCTTGTGATGCGAATCTGATCGCCACATCGTGGGGCAGGCACAGGCCAAGCGGGCAGTTGCCATCGCCCTGCGCAACAGGTGCGCATCTCACCCTCATACTCACCTGCACTTCGCTTCATAGGCCTCCAACCTCCCCTCCCCCCCGTCCTCCCGCCCTCCTCCCCCTCTCCTCTCCCCGTCCAACTCCCGTCCTCCCCCGTCCTCGCCCCTCCTCCCCCCCTTATCCCCTCTTCCCCGCCGTCCTTCTCCCGTTCTCCCCCCCTCCTCACACCCCTCCTCCCCCCTCCTCCCCCCCCTCCCCCCTCCTCCCCCCCTCCTCCCCCCCCTCCTCCCCCCTCCTTCCCCGTACTCCCCCCGTTCTCCCCCCCTCCTCCCCCCGTCCTCCCCCCCTCTCCCCGCGTCCTCCCCACTCATTCCCCCGTCCTCCCCCCGTCCTCACCGCGTCCTCCCCCCGTCCTCCCCCAGTCCTCCCCCCGTCCTCTCCCCCTGTTCACCTTCCAACCTGACCTTAAACCTGACCCCAAACCTGCACCTCAAACCTGACCCCAAACCTGCACCTCAAACCTGACCCCAAACCTGCACCTCAAACCTGACCCCAAACCTGCACCTCCAACCTGACGTCAAACCTGACCTCAAACCTGGCCTAAAACCTGCACCTCAAACCTCACCTCAAACCGGACGTCAAACCTGCACCTCAAACTTGCACCTCAAACATGCACCTCAAACCTGACCTCAAACCTGACGTCAAACCTGACGTCAAACCTGCACCTTAAACCTGACCTCAAACCTGACTTCAAACCTAACCTCAAACCTGACGTTAAACCTGACGTCAAACCTGGCGTCAAACCTGACGTCAAACCTGACCTCAAACCTGACCTCAAACCTGACCTCAAACCTGACCTCAAACCTGCACCTCAAACCTGCACCTCAAACCTGACGTCAAACCTGACCTCAAACCTGACGTCAAACCTGACATCGAACCTGACGTCAAACCTGCACCTCAGACCTGCACCTCAAACCTGCACCTCGAACCTGACGTCAAACCTGTACCTCAAACCTGGCCCCAAACCTGCACTTCAAACCTGCACCTCAAACCTGCACCTCAAACCTGCACCTCAAACCTGCACCTCAAACCTGCACCTCAAACCTGCACCTCAAACCTGCACCTCAAACCTGCACCTCAAACCTGCACCTCAAACCTGCACCTCAAACCTGCACCTCAAACCTGCACCTCAAACCTGCACCTCAAACCTGCACCTCAATCCTTCACCTCAAACCTGCACCTCAAACCTGCACCTCAAACCTGCACCTCAAACCTGACGTCAAACCGAACGTCAAACATGCACCTCAAACCTGACGTTAAACCTGACCTCAAATCTGACGTCAAACCTGACGTCAAACCTGACCTCAAACCTGACGTCAAACCTGACCTCAAACCTGACCTCAAACCTGACCTCAAACCTGACATCAAACCTGACCTCAAACCTGCACCTCAAACCTGCACGTCAAACCTGCACGTCAAACCTGCACGTCAAACCTCCAACTCAAACCTGCTCCTCAAACCTGCACCTCAAACCTGCACCTCAAACCTGACGTCAAACCTGACGTCAAACCTGACCTCAAACCTGCACCTCAAACCTGCACCTCAAACCTGCACCTCAAACCTGACGTCAAACCTCCACCTCAAACCTGCACCTCAAACCTGCACCTCAAACCTGCACCTCAAACCTGACGTCAAACCTGACCTCAAACCTGACGTCAAACCTGACCTCAAACCTGACGTCAAACCTACATGTCAAACCTGCACCTCAAACCGGTCAAACCTGACCTCAAACCTGACCTCAAACCTGACCTCAAACCTGACCTCAAACCTGACGTCAAACCTGACCTCAAACCTGACCTCAAACCTGACGTCAAACCTACACGTCAAACCTGCACCTCAAACCTGCACCTCAAACCTGCACCTCAAACGTGATGTCAGTCTGACGTCAAACCTGCACCTCAAACCTCCACCTCAAACCTGCACCTCAACCTGCACCTCAAACCTGCACCTCAAACCTGACGTCAAACCTGACCTCAACCCTTCACCTCAAACCTGACCTCAAACCTGACCTCAAACCTGACATCAAACCTGCACCTTAAACCTGACCTCAAACCTGACCTCAAACCTGACCTCAAACCTGACGTCAAACCTACACGTCAAACCTGCACCTCAAACCTGACCTCAAACCTGACCTCAAACCTGACCTCAAACCTGACCTCAAACCTGACGTCAAACCTGACCTCAAACCTGACGTCAAACCTGACGTCAAACCTGACCTCAAACCTGACCTCAAACCTGACGTCAAACTTGACCCCGAACCTGACGTCAAACCTGACGTCAAACCTGACCTCAAACCTGATGTCAAAACTGGCGTTAAACCTGACCTCAAACCTGACCTCAAACCTGACCTCAAACCTGATGTCAAACCTGACCTCAAACCTGACCTCAAACCTAATTTCAAACCTGCACCTCAAACCTGACGTCAAACCTGCATGTCAAACCTGCACCTTAAACTTGCACCTCAAACCTGACCTCAAACCTGACCTCAAACCTGACGTCAAACCTGACGTCAAACCTGACCTCAAACCTGACCTCAAACCTGACCTCAAACCTGACCTCAAACCTGACCTCAAACCTGACCTCAAACCTGACGTCAAACCTGACCTCAAACCTGACCTCAAACCTGACCTCAACCCTCCACCTCAAACCTGACCTCAAACCTGACGTCAAACCTGACCTCAAACCTGACCTCAAACCTGATCTCAAACCTGACGTCAAACCTGACGTCAAACCTGACCTCAAACCTGACCTCAACCCCCCGTCCTCCCCTCGTCCTCCTCCGTCCTTCCCCCGTCCTCCCCCCGCCTCTCCCCCGTCCTCCCATCCCCGTCCTCCCTCCGTCCCCCCCCATCCTCCCCCCGTCCTCCCCCCCCTCCTCCTCCATCCTCCCCTCCTCCTCCCCCCAACTTCCCCCCTCCTCTCTCCCTCCTCCCACCCCCCCTTCTCCCCCCTCCTCCTTCCGTCCTCCCCCTGTCCTTCCCCCCTTTCCCCCTTCCTCCTCCTCTTTCAACCGCTCTCCCTCACCCCCGTCCTCCTTTCTCCCTCCCCCCCGTCCCCCCTCTCCACCCCCCGTCCCCCCATCTCCCCCCCCCGGTCCGCCCCTACCCCCCCCACGTCCGCCCCTACCCCCCCCCCCCCCCCCCCCCCCCCCCCCCCTCCGCCCCTCTCCCCCTCTTCCCCTTTCTCCGTCCCCCCCGCTCACTCTCTTTACTTGCAGTAAACAGGTGGCGCAGTAAGAGAATCAAAGGGGCCATGAGGGACGAGGCGAGGGGGCGCAGGTTTAGATCGTCCCCAAGGTTGTCCATGAGGGCCAATAGAACGTCCCCAAGGTTGTCCGGCCCACTGGCTGCAGCAAGCAGGAGTCTCAAGATGTCTCAAGATGTCTCAAGATGTCTCAAGATGTCTCGAGATGTCTCGAGATGTCTCGAGATGTCTCGAGATGTCTCGAGATGTCTCGAGATGTCTCGAGATGTCTCGAGATGTCTCGAGATGTCTCGAGATGTCTCGAGATGTCTGGAGATGTCTCGAGATGTCTCGAGATGTCTCGAGATGTCTCGAGATGTCTCGAGATGTCTCGAGATGTCTCAAGATGTCTCAAGATGTCTTAAGATGTCTCAGACGTCGCCTCTACTCTCTCCCACTACTGCTCTCCTCCCCAACAGGTGGCGGCGGAAGCGCATCAGCGGCCCTATGAGAGACAAGGTGGTACCTAAGAACATTCTCATGGTCGGCCCTACTGGCTGTGGGAAGAGCCTTAACACATCTCAAAGCTCACATCTCCCTCCTTCCCGTCCTTATCCTTGCTCCCACGCCTGCCCTCTCCCTCCCCCAACAGGTGGCGGCGGAAGCGCATCAGCGGCCCCATGAGGGACGAGGTGGTGCCTAAGAACATCCTCATGGTCGGCCCCACCGGCTGTGGAAGGGAAGAGTCTCATGACGTCTCAGAGCGCACATCTCCTCCCTCCCACGTCTGCCCTCTCCCCCACCAGGTGGCGGCGGAAGCGCATAAGCGGTCCCATGAGGGACGAGGTGGTGCCCAAAAACATCCTCATGGTCGGCCCCACTGGCTGTGGGAAGGCAAAGAGTCCCAAGGCGTCTCAGAAACCCGCCTACCCTCCTTCCCACACCTGCCGGCCTCATTTCCTTTGCTCACATGCTCTCCCAACAGGTGGCGCAGGAAGCGAATCAGCGGGCCGATGAGGGACGAGGTGGTGCCAAAAAACATTCTCATGGTCGGCCCTACTGGCTGTGGCAAGACTGAAATCGCCCGGCGCCTTGCAAAGCTCATCCATGCCCCCTTTGTCAAGGTATGGTCACCCATACATGTGATATTCACATCTGTGTCTGTCTGCGCGTGCGCCTTGCACCACCCTGCTTGCGGGTGGCTTTCACTCACAGGCGCGACAAGGGGCTTATTTGCCTGTATCGCTGAATGCGTCTCATTCATCCATCTGTGTCTGTCCGTCCGTTTTTTGCACTGCAATGCCCCACATTGCCGGACGGAGAGGGGGCTTTCAGGCGCGCAACAAGGCCTCCTCACCACCTGTCGTAGCAAGTACAGCCCTGTGTGTCCACGCGTCCCCATATTTGTGTCTCCGTGCACCTCACTGCACCGCACTGCACCCCATCAACAGGTGGAGGCCACCAAGTTCACGGAGGTGGGCTTTCATGGGCGCGACGTGGATCAGATCGTCCGAGACCTGCTTGAGAACGCCATTCAGCTGCAGAGGCAGAAGGTGTGTTCGTGCACCGCACTGCACCGCTCTGCACCACACTCCAAAAGGTACCAAATTCACGGAGGTGGGCTTTCATGGGCGCGATGTGGATCAGATCATCCGAGACCTGCTTGAAAATGCCATTCAGCTGCAGAGGCAGAAGGTGTGTCCGTGCACCACTCTGCACTGCACTCTAGTAGGTAGAAGCCACCAAGTTCACGGAGGTGGGCTTTCATGGGCGCGACGTGGATCAGATCATCCGAGACCTGCTGGAAAACGCCATTCAGCTGCAGAGGCAGAAGGTGTGTCCGTGCACCGCACTGCACCGCTCTGCACCACACTCCAAAAGGTAGAAGCCACCAAGTTCACGGAGGTGGGCTTTCACGGGCGCGACGTGGATCAGATCATTCGGGACCTGCTGGAGAACGCCATTCAGCTGCAGAGGCAGAAGGTGTGTGAAGGAGCGTCAAGCAATATTGGAGGCCCCCCAAGATTTAAGATCATGCGGAACATGCAGTAGAATAGAATGCCGTTCACCTGCTGAATCTCGTCGTGTGGTTAGAGGGCAAGTCTGGGTTTGTGTTTCAACGCATATCCGAACCGAACCTTTCTCACTGTGCTCCTAACACCCTTCCCTCCCCGAACCTCCATTTTAGGCTCGGGCCAAGGCGGCGAAGGAGGTGGAGGAGGTGGTGGAGAACAAGATTCTGGACCATCTGCTGGGCGCGCTACAGCCAGGCGCGGTGAGTCAAGCAAGTCATTGGGAGAGCTTGTAAGTCAATGAAGTCAATGCAGTCAATTGTCAGCTTGTCAGTCAATGCAGTCAACAGGTATGCTCGCCAGTCAATGCAATCAATGCAGTACCAAGGAGGTGGAAGAGAAGAGGATTCTGCACCATTTTTGTTCTTTCTGTCGGTCCGGCCAGCTTATGCTATACCCTCTCGTTCGTGTGACTTTTGAGAATTCTCAAAAGTGAGTCGGTCCGGCCAGCTTATGCTACACCGTCTCGTTTCCCCCCTATTCACCCTCTCCCCAGTCGCCCCCACCCAAGAGGGAGACCTTTCGGCTGCTGTACAGGGAGGGGGTGTTGGACGACAGGCGAGTGCACATGGAGCTGCCTGACGTCGCTCCCTCTAGTGGTCTCGGCGGGTTCGCCATCGACATGTCTGGTGCAGCAGGACTCAACGTGCAAGACTTCGTGCAGCGGGTGAGAGGGTGGTATCTTGGGAGAATATAGGTGTGAGTGAGTGCAAGGGTGTGTTGGACAACAGGCGGTCTCGGTGGATTCGCCATTGGCAAGTCTGGCGCAGCAGGGCTCAACGTGCATGCCTTCATTTCCCTGCTGAGTCGATTCTAAAGTCACCCTTCTTTCCCTTCCCTCCCCCCTTTTTTCCCCTCCCGGGCATCAGATGGAGCGAGTGGTGAAGGGCGTGCGGAAGGAGAAGAAGGACCTGACAGTGGCGGGCGGCACCTCATATCATTCCACTCATGATACCCTCGCTCCTCCCCCTTACGCCCCCCCCTCTTCCCCCCCCAATCCCCGTTTTCCTTCCGGACATCAGATGGAGCGGGTGGTGAAGGGCGCAAGGAGGGAGAAGAAGGACCTGACAGTGGCGGAGGCGAGGGCAGCGCTGACCGACGCAGGGATAACGGCTGTCGTCTGAACCACCCCTTCCGCCCCTCCCCCACGTGCAGATGGAGCGGGTGGTGAAGGGCGCAAGGAGGGAGAAGAAGGACCTGACAGTGGCGGAGGCGAGGGCAGCGCTGACCGACGCAGGGATAACGGCTGTCGTCTGAACCACCCCTTCCGCCCCTCCCCCACGTGCAGATGGAGCGAGTGGTGAAGGGCGCAAGGAGGGAGAAGAAGGACCTGACAGTGGCGGAGGCGAGGGCAGCTCTGACTGATGCAGAGATGGAGAAGCGGCTGTCGTCTGAGTCGCTCGTGAAGGACGCCATTCAGGTGAGAGAGGGGGGTCTCATTGTGAAGATTTGACATAAAGGAGCGAAGCAGCCGACAGAGGGCATTTTGTTCATCGACAAAATTGACAAGACCACTTGTTCCACGTTCCATGCCTTCTCTCTTGTCTGTTCTCCCTACAACCATCACCAGGCAACGGAGTCAGAGGGCAACTTGTTTATCGATGAGATAGACACGATCGTCTCTTCTTCCCCTCTGCTCCCTTCTTTTCTCCCTTCCCCACCTTGGTGCCCCGTGCTTCCTCCCCCGTGCTCCAGGCAACGGAGTCAGAGGGCATTGTGTTCATAGACGAGTTTGATAGGATCGTGCACTCCAGCAACGCGTGATTATTCTCCTCTCCCTGTGCTTCATGCCCCATGCTCCCTCCCCCGTGCTCCAGGCAACGGAGTCAGAGGGCATTGTGTTCATAGACGAGTTTGATAGGATCGTGCACTCCAGCAACGCGTGATTATTCTCCTCTCCCTGTGCTTCATGCCCCATGCTCCCTCCCCCGTGCTCCAGGCAACGGAGTCAGAGGGCATTGTGTTCATAGACGAGTTTGATAGGATCGTGCACTCCAGCAACGCGTGATTATTCTCCTCTCCCTGTGCTTCATGCCCCATGCTCCCTCCCCCGTGCTCCAGGCAACGGAGTCAGAGGGCATTGTGTTCATAGACGAGTTTGATAGGATCGTGCACTCCAGCAACGCGTGATTATTCTCCCCTCCCTGTGCTTCATGCCCCATGCTCCCTCCCCCGTGCTTGGCCGCCCGTGCATCAGGCAACGGAGTCAGAGGGCATTGTGTTCATTGACGAGATTGACAAGATTCCCGTGAACAAGATCACTTGTTCCCCCCTTATTCCCGTGTCTTCCCCTCTTTTCCTCATCCTCGTGCTCCAGGCAACGGAGTCAGAGGGCATCGTGTTCATTGATGAGATTGACAAGATCGTGCATTCCAGCGACACGCGATGATGATCCTCCTTCTGTCTCCTGTGCTACCTCCCTGCCTGCCACAGGCAACGGAGTCAGAGGGCATTGTGTTCATAGACGAGATAGACAAGATTGTGCATTCCAGCGACACACGGCACGGCGCTGATGCCAGCGCTGAGGGCGTGCAGCGTGACCTGCTGCCCATCATTGAGGGCAGGTAATGCATCGTTGAGGGCAGGTAGGCGTCGTTAAGGGCAGGTAGGCATCGTTAAGGGCAGGTAAGTGGGCCGTGCATTGCTTGCAGGGAGGCAGGTATGGCATCATGGCTGTGGCACGGCGCTGATGCCAGCGCTGAGGGCGTGCAGCGTGACCTGCTGCCCATTATTGAGGTCAGGTAGGGCATCGTGCATGGTAGGGTATGGTATGCATGGTATGAAACTGTGTGCATGGCATGGCATGGCATGCTTGTATATGCGTGCATGGCACAACACGGATCTCGTTCTCATCATCGCCGCAGATACCCTGTCCTTCCCACCTCTGCCTCATCCACCCGCCAATTCTCCCCGTCAGTGTGGTATCCACCAAGCACGGCAACGTCAACACCGATCACATGCTCTTTATCGCTAGTTGTGCTGTCACCGCCGGCCCCCCGCTTCCCCCCATCCACAAACCTCTCACCCCCAAACCAACACTGTTCCCCCATCCCCCCCCATCCCTTGCCCGGTTTGGTATCCACCAAGCATGGCAGTGTCGACACAGACCCTTTTCCCCCATTCACAACCCTTTCCCCCCATGCTCGCCCCTCGACATTCCCATCAGTGTGGTATCCACCAAGCACGGCAATGTGAGCACGGACCACATTCTCTTCATCGCCAGCGGTGCTTTCACCACCTGCTGCCCCTTTCCCCCCCAACCCACGACCCTCACCCACCAACCCATGACCCTCCCTCCATTTTCCCCCATCAGTGTGGTATCCACCAAGCACGGCAATGTGAGCACGGACCACATTCTCTTCATCGCCAGTGGCGCTTTCACCGCGTGCCGCCCGTCCGACATGCTGGCAGAGCTGCAGGGTCGTTTGCCCATACGAGTGGAACTCAAGGGGCTCACTAGAGAGGTAAGATTCAGGGGTTTCATAAGGTGAAGCTCCTTTCACCGCGTGCCGTTCCTCCGCACATGCTGGCAGAGCTGCAGGGGCGCCTGCCCATCAGAGTGGAGCTCAAAGGGCTAACCAGAGAGGTACGAGTCAAGGGGTTCTATAAGACATAAGGTCAAAAGGGCGTGAACTGCCTGCCGTTCCTCCGACATGCTGGCAGAGCTGCAGGGCCGCCTGCCAATAAGAGTGGAGCTTAAGGGGCTAACCAGAGAGGTGAGGAGCAGTATGGAACTAGTTTGAAGGAGATAAGGCAGAGGAGCATTCACTGCCTACCGTCCCTCCGACATGCTGGCAGAGAGTTGAGTGTGAGCGGATGTTGAGATGGGGGAGCTTTAGGGTTTTGTGTTTGCACTTATGTGAGGGGCGAAGGGTTCTTCAGAAGAATGAGGGAGAACTGACGCTTTTTCTCACTCTCCCCTCCCCCTCTCCCTTCTCCCTCCCCCTCTCCCTTCTCCCCTCCCCCTCCCTCCCTCTCCCTTCTCCCCTCCCCCTCTCCCTTCTCCCCTCCCCCTCTCCCTTGTCCTCTACCCCTCTCACATCAGGATCTGTACCGCATTCTGACGGAGCCCGAGGCGAACATGATTCGGCAGCAGCAGCTGCTGATGGCCACAGAGGGCGTTGAGCTCGTCTTTACCGAGTCTGCCATTCGGGAGGCTGCCGCCATGGCTGCTGAGGTGCGTTGAGGCCTAGCATGCGGTGCTGAGGTGTGGTGTGTGGTGCGAGGGGTAAAAACTGTGGTTGTGGTGTTGCATGCAGCAGTTGCTGATGGCCATGGAGGGAGTTGACCTCGTATTCAGTGATGCTGCCATCAGGGAGGCTGCTGCCCTGGCTGCTGATGTTTTGCGGTGTGGCATGCGGTGCTGAGGTGTTGGTTGCGGTGCTGCATGCATTGTGGTCTGTGAGGTGCGTTGGTACGCGCACCTCACCAAGCCTGCTCCCAGCCTTTTGGTGTGCTTCCTATCAACTCGAAAGCAGTCTCTTTGGTGTTCCCAGGATTTTGCAACGATGCTGTGCTAAAGAGTGTTCTCCCATGTGTGCGTGTGTGGATGGATGGATGAATGGCAGATCAACCACACATTGGACAACATTGGTGCACGAAGGTTGCATACGGTGAGTCAGACCAAGTGAGACTGGGTGAGAGGGTATCTCAAGTGGTAAGATGCATTGTTGCAAGTTTGCATGTGGTGAGTGAGACTCAAGTGAGACTTGCACCTTGCATCCCCTTCATTACCTTGCGCGCCAGGTGTTGGAGCGAGTGGTGGAGGATATTAGCTTCCATGCACCGGAGAGGAAGGGGGAGACATGTGTGGTGGATCAAGAGGTGCGCTGCCTGCCTGCTTGCTTTCCAAAGGTTTCTTGACTTATGGCTTGTGTTGGCCTGTATATTATCGCCCAAAAAACTGCTGGTGTAGGTCGAACCGTAAAAGCTGTCCCTTCCACCCTGTTCTCAGCTTTTACTCCATCTTCTTGCCTCCAATCTCTTCGTCTCCACCCCACCCCGCCCCTAATTTCTTTTGACTCCACTTATGCGGCTTTGCCCCCCCCACTCCCCTGCTTCTCTCTCAGGATGTTCGCCGGCCGCTGGGTGATTTGCTACAGAAGGTTGATGTCTCCAAGTTCATTCTGTAACCCTTCGCACCTCTTATCAATACCTTAGCAAGTGGTTTGGAGCATTACAACTCCATTACATGTGATATCCTTTCATTACTGTACCAAACCTTAACGGGCCCTTTTTTAACGGGGGCTATACAATATTGGGTTCGTTCAGTAAGGCGCAGAGTGCTACACACTACAGCTGTGTATGATGGAGAGGCAACGGAAATAGGTAGTAGTCTAAGTACCATGCTGAGGCTCAACTTATTTCCCAAGCCAATCTTCTGATGAGAATGGTACTGCTGGAAGAAGAGCCGAATCATGACATAAGGTACACTAATAATATTCCCTGCTTCCACTTCAACACATACTATTACATCCTTTCCATTCATACAATACAGTACAGATAACCATTTATTACCAGTTCGATTCCACAGACATGTACAGCCAGCAACATCCATACAGCAAGCAAGAGCAGAAGAATCTAACTATAGCAAGGAGCAAGGATCCATAGACCAGTCAGCCTGGTTAGTAAGGTAGTACCAGTAGTACGCATGTGAGTAATATGCCTAAGAGTGAGAGGGGAGTATAGCACCACAACCGCCACTGCTGCTGCTGCAGTTGCTGCTACTGGTGCTGCTGCGGCTGGAGCTGCTGCAATTGTGATTTTCCCCATCCGTTTCCATTCCAAGTCGCCCCCACCCGCCCAATCCGCCACCCCCCAGTTCCCATCCCTCAACCCCCCATCTCTCTTCTGCCCTTCCTGCCCCACCCCCCTCATTTGCGCTTGGCCTGTTTGGGCCCTTTGTGCTGCGCGGCTGCGACAGCAGGGTTGCCATGCCAGTTGCGCTTGCGCTGGTTGATGAACCAGTTGTTCACCTGCTTCAGCTCCAATCCTGTTTGCGCCATGAGGCCTGCTTTCTCCTCTTCCTGCATGGGAACACATGCGGACAGGAGAGAGACATACACACATAGATGGGTGGGAGCACATGACTTGCGCTTGCGCTGGTTGATGAACCAGTTGTTCACCTGCTTCAACTCCAACCCTGTTTGTGCCATCAACCCTGCTTTCTCCTCTTCCTGCATGGGAACACATGGACAGAGAAAGGCAGGCGGACACAAGAGAGACATACACACACAGATGGGTGGGGTGGGAGCTCATGAGTTGCACTTGCGCTGGTTGATGAACCAGTTGTTCACCTGCTTCAGCCCCAACCCCGTCTGTGCCATCGGGCCTGCCTTCTCCTCCTCCTGCATGGACAAGGGGACACAGACAGGCAGACAGATAGGCAGACAGACACGCACACGGACAGAAACACATAAATAGACATGGTAACACCAGCAGTTATATCCATGTCTTGCAAGGTTTTGAGGCGTCCTGGTACATGCATACATGAACACATGCACACATGCGCAAACATGTACTAATGGTAGAAGTTACATGGAATGCTGACTCGCTGATTCTCGCCGACGTGGCAGGCTAGCCCATAGATTCTTGGTGACGTGGCAAGCAAGCAGGGAAACGCACCGTGGGGTAGGGCCACGTGGCAAGCAGGCATTAGGGGGACGCACCGTGGGGTAGGGCCACGTGGCAAGCAGGCATTAGGGGGACGCACCGTGGGGTAGGGCCACTGGATGTGCTCGTTCCACCACGCCTTGAGCACCTGCGTGGTGTTTCCTGGAAGCTTCCCCGCACGCCTCTTGCGCATGATCTCCTCCCTCACTCCCAGCAGGCGCGCCCGGAAGCCCTGAGTACAGTGCAAGGATTGAGATGAGAATGAGTTGCGTTGAAAGGATTGAGATGAGATTGAGTTGAGTTTAAGGAGATTGAGGAGTTGCAAGTTTAAATGGCAATGAAATAGATGTACCATAAATATATGGCAGCATGAAATACATGGGATCACCGTACCTCTCTGCCATATTCCTTCAGCAGTGCCTCTTCCACCGCGCTCCTGTCCTGTGGTCCCCCCATGCCCATCCCCATGCTCATGCCCATGCTCCCACTCATGTCCATCCCCATGCCCGTGCCCATCCCCATGCCCATGCTGCTATGTGTCCCCATGTTATCATGTGCCCCCATGCCCTGCTGCATTGCCCCAAATGTCATGGGTGCTCCCAAGGATGTATTCCCGTTCCTGCCCATGCCCGTGGTAGGGTGTGGTGGAGGCGGGAGCGGGAGGACGGTGAGCGGCTGGTTGGGTGCGTGCATGGGCTGACTCTGCTGCTGCTGCTGCTGCTGCTGATGGTGGTGGTGATGGGGGTGATTCTGCTGCTGCGAGTAGCCCTGGTGCTGGCACTGGAACGAGCCTGACATGCTGCTACAACCGCCGCTGCCACCACCACCAACGCCATTACCACCACCACTCCCAACAGCACCACTCCCACCACCAGCAGCAGCAGACAGGGTAAAAGGGTTCAGAGCACCATTGCACCCATGACCATGACTGCTTGACAGCCCGTTGCCATGAGTATTATACCCATATCCATGGCCATGGCCATGGCCTTGGCTAGAGTACCCATTCCCTTGACTGGTGCACCCTTCCTCCTTGGCCGGTGTGCCCCTTCCCCCGCCCCCATCATCTGACATGGTAGCACCAGAAGCAGCGAGCTTGTCAGCAGCGGTGCCCCCAGCAGCAGCAACGGCGTGTTTGAGCCGGGCGCATGTGGTAACGGCCTCCCTGGCGTGCACCCGGATGTGCTCCTCCAGTTGCTCCTTGAACGCCCGCAGCAGCTTCACAAACTGGGCCTGTATTGGTTTACAGGGAATTGGAGGAGGAAGGGAAGGAGGGAATGAATCGTCAGCAGCGGTGCCCCCAGCAGCAGCAACGGGGTGCTTGAGGCGGGCGCATGTGGTGACCGCTTCTCTTGCGTGCACCCGAATGTGCTCCTCTAGTTGCTCCTTGAACGCCTGCAGCAGCTTCACAAACTGACCCTGATGGGTTAGTTAGAGTGTGGGTGGAGGGGGCGGGGGTGGTGCGGAATGGGGGAGTGGGTAACGGCCTCCCTGGCATGCACCCGAATGTGTCAGGTCAGACACTCACCATGAAATTGTCCAGCTCAGCTTCTTCCATCTCAGACGCAAAATATTCCCACCCACTCCTGCCCCTTTTTGAGACATCTCAAAAAATTTCTCTGAGACGTCTCACAAATGTGTCGTGTCAGGTCAGACACTCACCATGAAATTGTCCAGCTCCGCTTCTTCCGTCTCAGACGCAACCTTATTCCCACCCACTCCTGCTCCTGCTGCTGCTGCTGCTGCAGGCAGTAGGAGCAGTAAATGGAGAGCCAGCAGCTGCAGCAGCACCTGGTTCTGCAGGCCCAAAGACGTTAGCAGTGCTGTTGGTATTGGCACCAACAGAACCGCGCGCAGCAGCAGCGGCGGTAGTGGTGGTGGGGGGGGCGGAGGTGTGGAGCAAGCGGGTGTAGGTGGAGGCAACGAGGTCTGCTCGCTCCATCTGCACTTGAATCAGCGGCAGCTGGTCCAGTGGCGTCGCCACCTGGTAGATGGGGGAACATGTAAGGGAGGGTATTTTGGAAAAAGGGGAAATATGTCATGAGGCGTCTCAAGACTCCATCTGCACCTGAATCAGCAGCAGCTGGTCCAGTGGCGTTGCCACCTGGTAGATGGGGGAACATGTAAGGGAGGGTATTTTGAAGAAGGGGAAATATGTCATGAGGCGTCTCAAGACTCCATCTGCACCTGAATCAGCAGCAGCTGGTCCAGTGGCGTTGCCACCTGGTGGGGGTGAACATGTAAAATAGGGAAAGGGAGGGGGGAAAGATGGGGGGGGGGTTGTGTTCTGAAGGGTTTCAAAACTCCATTTGTGTTTTAAGTCAACTCAAAACACACCGAGAGGAGGGGGGGAGAGAAACGGATTTTGAGGAAGGTGGATGCTGATAGCGCAGAAACGAGGTGTACCTCAAGGCACGCCACGTGGGCGTTGAGCATCTGCTTATAAAGAGGATGCGACGCAATGAGCCCCTTCCATCTGGCCTTGCTTCTCTCCCTCTCCTCCTGGCACCTCTGCTGCTCCACTCTCCCTTCCACTGGCTGCTGCTGCTGCTGCTGCTGGTTTTGAGACGTCCAACGAGCCGCCTCAATGGGTGCCGCAGCTGGTGCTCGCACTACTGGGGCTGCTGGTGCTGCTGGCGCTGCTGGCGCTGCTAATGCTGCTGGTGATTCTGCTGCTGCCGTTGCTGCGGGTGCTGCAGCTGATCCTGATGCTGCTGCTGCTGCTGGTGCTGGTGTTGTCAGGTGGGGCATATCTGGTGCCTTCACACATGCTGCGGGTGCTGCATCTGCTGCTGCTACCTTCCCGTTTGTCAACTCAACTCGCCCTCCTGCCCCACCACACGCCATCAAGTCACCTTCTCCTCTCACATTTCTCGCATCACCACCACCCACATTGCCCACATCGACACATACGCTGCCACCCTTCTGACCACCATCGTTTGCACCTTTGCCACTCCCTTCACACTCCATTTCCCTTTCCTCTCCCTCCACCCTACCCTCCTCTTCTCTCCTCCTCACCTCCTCTCCTACAACCCTCACTCGCTCCTCACCCATCCTCTCGTCCTCCCCTCCCTTACTCCCCCTTCCCCCTTCCAACCTCAGCGCCCCATGCCCCGCCTCCCCACCAGCTCCCAGGCCTGTTGCCGGGGGTGGCAAGCTCAGGCTCGGCATGTGGTCCAGGTTCGGCGCAGGCTGGTTCGGCATGGAGAGGCTCGGAGAGAGGTCCAGGGGCAGGACGCAGGGAGAGGAGTTACTGTGTAGCATAGTGGCATCAAGCTCAGGTAACGAGAAGAAATGGGCGAGCTCGTGGTTTAAAAGGGTGGTGGGAGGTGAGGATTGGTCGAGATGGGTGAAAGGGGAGCGGCGGTGGAGAGGGGAAGGGGGGGCGAGAGGGGAGGTGCGGTGGAGAGGGGAAGGATGGGAGGTGTGGTGTTGAGGGGAGAAAGGGTTGAGTTGGGAAGAGCGGTGGAGTGGTGAGGAACGTTGCAGCGGGGAAGGTGGGGAGAGGGGCGATCGGGAGGACGGTTGGGGGGATTTCAGGAAAGGGGCGGCATGTGACTGCTGCTGCTGCTGCTGCTGCTGCTGCTGCTGGAATTGTGACTGGTGCAGGGAGTGGTGATTCAATTGATTTGTGTGACTCAAAGAAGCAGTGCGATTGAACGGAGCGGCATGGTGCCAAGCAGGAGAAGAAGGGGGATTAGCTTGCAACGACATGTCGTAACCTTGCACGTGGGGTTCCCTTGGGCGGCCTGCTTTGTCTTCTTGTGCCGGCCTGCTTGTGAGAAAGCCTCTGGAAAGAGCGATGGGGATGGAGAGGGGGCTGGGAGGCGGAGGGGCAGGGCGAGGGGGGAGGGCGGGCAGGGCTGTCGACGTTGCTACAGAGGGGGTGTGGGGAGGAGGAGGAAGAGAGTGGGGGGGAGCAGCAGGAACGGGGGGCGAGGCAGCAGTTGGGGTGAGAGGCGGATGGGCAGCAGCCATGTTTGCCTGCACTGAGCCAGCAGTACCAGCGCCAGTGACTGCAGTAGCACCTGTGGTGGCAGCAGCAGCACTGGCAGCAGTGGCGCCAGTGGCAGCGGCAGCAGCGCCAGTGGCAGCGGCAGCAGCGCCAGTGGCAGCGGCAGCAGCAGCAGCGGTTGCAGCAACAGCAGCATCGAGTGGGGTGAGACTGAAGGGACGCTTCAGTGGGAGTTTGTTCAGCCGGGTCAGAGAGTGGGGGGAGGCGCGGGGGAAGGAGGTGGGAGAGGGGTGGGGGAAAGAGCCTGTCTTGTGTGCCAGCAGCGGTTGAAGCTGCCGTTGCAGCTCCTCACAGCTCACCACTCGCATGCTTGGTGATTTTGGTGCTTCTGGTGCTGTTGCTGCTTGTGGTGCTGTTGCTGATGCTGCAGGTGGTACTGGTGCTGCTGTTGGTGGTATTGGTGCCGTTGGTTCACGTATTGATGCTGCTGCTGGTGCTGCTGCTGGTGGTGGTGCTGCTGGTGGTGCCATTGGTGCCGTTGGTGGTGCCATTGGTGCCGCTGGTGGTAGTACTTGCGCTCCTGGTTGGGGAACGGGTGAGTTGGCTGCCCCATGCAAGCTTGATTGTAACGCTGGTTGCACCGGTGCAACAAGTGCTGCTGACGTTGTTGCCGGTGATGCTGCTGCTGACGTTGTTGCCATTGATGCTGCTGCTGATGCTGCTGCAGCTACTACTGTTGTTGTTTCTGCTGCCGCTGCTTCCTCTCCTGCATGTGCCGCTGCTGCTTCTCCTTCACCAGCGCACTCGCCTTTTCCACTGGTTGCAGATCCGCTGTGCAGGAACCTGCTGTTACTGTTGCGGCGAGATGAATCTTCGCCGTCCATCACCACCTCAATTGCTGAACAATGACTTAACATGCCGCCCACCGACAACTTTGGTTTTTTTCCTTGCTGACTCAGCATGCTGGCCAATGTCACAGGTTCCTTCCCTTGCTGACTCAGCATGCCATCCAATTTAAATCCGCTGTTATCACTGCTACTGCTGGAAGTCTGAGTTCCGCCCTTCACCTCCCTCCCCAACTCCGGTGTACTCGCAACTTCCTCCATGCCCCCACAGCCTCCCCCATCACCTCCCCCATCACCTCCCCCACCGCCTCCTCCATCATCTCCCACCTCCACTTGCATCGCCTCAACACCGTCCCCCTTATAAGCTTGCTCATTACCGCCACTGCCATTGGTTGCACCCTTGGCAGCAGGCTGTGGTGTTGAGTCTTCCTCCATAGGCACTGCAGCTTCGTGTTGACCTTCCTTCTCATTCTTCTCCTTCTCACTCTTGTCATTCTTCTCACTCTTCTCAAACTCGCTCTCATGGCTTCTGTCATTACCAATCTCATTCTTCCCATCATCAGGCCGTCCATTCTTCAAGCTCTTCTCACTGTTATCGCTCCTTTCCTTCTTCTCATTCTCTGACCCACGCCCACCTTCCCCCTCCCAGCTGCAGCAGCTCTCCCAGCAACCATCACCATGGCTTCCCTTCTCCCCTCCCAGTTCATCACCATCCGTTTTCATCTCTCCCATTCCCATCCGTTTTGAGAGGCCAAAGCAGCCAGTCCCATTCCCAGCTGCCATGCATCCTAGCTTCCCCACTGCAGCACCAGGCACCATGACTGTAACACTGCCGCTCACTCCACCCTTCATCGCATCACCAGACTCACATATGCACTGTGCAGCACGCTTTGTGTCACAGAGCTATCTTATTCCACACCAGACCCTCCCACTCAACGCTCAATCCTCTTTCTCCCTTCCTGCAACTGTCCCTATCGCAGGCTCAAGTGTTCCTATCCCTTTGAGCAAACACGGTAGGGCGTGAGTGGCCTTGAGCTAGATAGAAGGCTTGTTAGGGGCTCGAGCAAGGTCGCTCAACAGTCACTTTCACTTTTGAGTATTCCTGAGAGAAACAAGCAAACTCAGGGGCGGTTCTCCAAGAGGCCGCGTGCAGGAACTGCGCTGACAGCGCCAAGGTTGGTATATTTAAGGCGGAACGTGGGTCTAACCACAGCGGGAAGTCAGGCCTAAGCTATCTCCGTCAGTCACCTTAGAAGGTCAGCTTCAACTAAAGGTCGCTTTCTAAGTTCGAGGCGACTCAAGAATGGTCAGTAGGCGCGGAGGGTTGGCTTGAATAAGAGGTCGCTTTCTGATGACAGAACTAAGACGCTTTGAAAGAATGGCGAGCTCGGTTTAGCTGAAAACACACCAACTAGCGCTGAGTGTCCCGAGTAGCCGATATTCCAAGACAGGGGAGGGTCAGGAATCGTGAGAGAGGGGAGGGCCACGAATGACAGCTTGAAGTATGGGGCCCAAACACTCGGGGCGAATCGCGGTTCTGAAAGCGATGGACCAAGACAGACAGTGCCATTCCGCTAACTCCCCCGACCCCATCAGCTAGAAGAATATCCCTAGGAGATGTGCCTCTTCCACCCCGGATGATCTCCCCCTCCCTTCCCTCCCCTTCCGGAAGAGCTGCTTCCCCCGCCCTTGCTTGCCTCACCGAGCAGTCACATCTCGGCGCAGGAAACGTATGGCGGACGGAAGGAAGCAACCAGAACGCCGTCGGGAGAAATTTCTTCCCCACGAAGGCGCAATCCCGCTTGCGATAGGATCGAAACAGCGTCTCTATTTCCCCCGCAAATGGTTTTACGCCTCTGCGCGTGGCGCCAGACCGTTAGGAAGCGGTCCGCGTCAAGATCGGTCGCACGCGCGCCGGCGCTGCGCTGGCGCTCCGTGCGCTGACTTCGCGAGGGTTCCGCGCAGCGGATTCGCGGAAAGAGTCCAGCGCATCGCTGACTGCCCGGAAAGGAAGGTGCACATCCGAGACGCACCGACGCGATGGGTGAGGTCAGCATGAGCAACCGGAATCAACCACCTGAATAAAAATTCCAGGCAGTGACGTGGCATTGCGAAAAGGCGGACTCAAATCACCAGAGTCGCACCACCTCCCCCCGCCCTGTCGAGTCAGCGTGGAATAACCTGCTTCACCGATCAACACTGCAGAGTCAGCTGCGGTATACTCCAGCCACTAGTGCAGCCCAGCAACGAGTGCTTTCCTGATGTGACGTGGCACGTGGAGACTTCGTCTCAGGTGTGTGGTAAGTTGCTCAGTAGCTTCCGCGACGCGATTTCTAGCCAATCAAGGCAAAACGCGTCGCGCATTCTCCAGAGATGCGCTTGCGTGTTCCGGGATCTTCCAGCCGGCCAGATTCCCCAGAAATGCCCTGTCCCGCCAGACGCGGCGCGCGAGTAAGGAAGGAGCACGGTTGAAGCATCTGTTCCTAGACGGTGCAGTCTAAGAAGTGACGTTCGCGGAGCTCCCGAGGCCGACTTGGAGAACACCGATTCCATTTCGCCTGCGGAACGTCTCAGATTCAAGTCCTGTCACTAGCAGTCGCTTCAAGAAATAGCAGCGGAAATGCCGCGATCCGTATGAACCCGTTTCTGCTCGATGAGATGGAATGACTTTCTTAGAAGCTCATCAACGGACCTGCCGCGAGGGACGAGAGCTCCTTCCGTGACTGCACGACATTCCCAAGGTATGGAGAAATCTACGCCTCCCAAACATCCCGTCCGTCCTACCAGAGATCCGTGTCGACAGTGACTGCTCCGTGACGGGACATTATCTGTGACAGGGTACTCGTCCTCGATTGTTCACTCCTGTCACCTGTGTGAACCCACCGAAACCCCCCTCTATTCCCCTTCCTCCTCCCCGCACCACAGCCCTTGGGATTGTTCTTTGGGATTTCTTTTTCATCCCAGCACGAGCCAGATTTCCTGGACTCTGGGCGCATTGACATGACACGCCACGCGGGGAAGAATGGGGGAACCAAAAAGTGTAGCTGGTGTGCAGGGATGTACGCGCCATGGGATGGAGGGGAGGAGGGTGGTAGAAGAGCGCTAGGCGGAAGGTTGCGCCGACCATCCCCTTCCACGAGGGGATGTTGCGGACCCAGTCCCCCCCATGATGTGAAAATGAACAGAAGCCGAATGATAGTTGGTCCCAGTAACATTCATGAATGCTCCGTTGTAGAGCGAATCTGGTACACTTTGCTCAGCTTCTCAACACGGTAACGAGGCATTCAAAAGTAGGTACATTCGGCAGCATTGCACAGATGGGTGTTTCCCTGGCAATATCCTGTGACAGCCAAAAGGTCGTGGACTCCTGCACGTTCGTCCATGGATAATCGGTGATCTTCAGCGGGCAAGAAAGATTTCAGAATCATTTTCCCTTCAAGTGACAGTAATTTCTTTGACGATTTGATTCTTCATTTGAACGCGTTTACAGGCTCACTGGTCCACGGCTGTGCCAGCGTCGTAGCCAGCCCCTACGTTGCACAATCATGAGTGGCAACGACCTTGCCAGTGGATAATTAGCTTTTCATGATGCTGCTGTTTAGCTGGGATATCCGCGCCCAGCTTTGATGGAAGCGCAATCCGATGCCGACAACTGCGTCCGTGTGAAAATGACCACCTTGTGATGGCGAAAGGCAGGCGAAGATATTGCGTGAGCTGCTTCGTTGTGTTGTCGCCACAGCCCCACCACGACAGGGAGATTCAGATCAGATGGATTGCGAAAACGCAGCCACTTATGTAAGTACAGGCTGTTAAAGAATTGCTTTAACCAGGTTGCCAGGCTGAATCTTCATTCACTATGTCCCTTCACAATTCTACGGACACTGACCACTCATTCCACCCAGTAGCAAACCAACAATGTTGTGCATGCAGCCAGTCCACAGAAGACAGCGATTTGCTAAGTGATGAACGCTGAGTGGCAGGGTTCCCAGATCCGAGGCATCATCATTTTGCAGCGCCTTCGTGGCGCGAGCTGGCATGACAGGTGATAACTTGCTCATCAATGCTGTTCCTCGGTGGGATATCGAATTCGTTCGAATTCCGAGTCTGTGACTGAGGACACGTTGGGCTTGGGCAGCAAGCGAGCTGACAAAGAAGCTCGTCTCGGCTCAACCGACACAAATAGGCCGCTTTTCTCCAATGTCGAGAAACGTCTCCAAGTTCAAGAGCCAAGTCAGACACTGGGTTCCATCCCTGCTTCACTGAGTTCGTCTTTGCCTTCACATACTTTGAAGTAGATTAGCGTTGCATCCCCCGTTATAGGCAGTTGTCAGTTTTCTGGTTAAGTCGATACCATGGCCAAGAAAGTGGAGCGGGACGCCTTCCAGCCCACCACTTTCGATATAGCAGACCTTCCCTCTCCTCCCGCGAAACGCGTATGTATCCGTAAGACTTGGCCGAGGGCGCAACCCCTTGTCGACCTCAACGCTCTTCCACCCGAAGCGGAATCCCCGCCCATGCCGACAACCTCCGCCGCCCCGTCGTTTGGCGATCTCGGCGAAGACTTGTTACTCCACATCCTCCAGCTCGCGCAGCCCACGGCGTGGGACCTGTCTCGACTCGCGTGCGTGAACCGCTCGTGGCGAAACCTCTGTTACAACCCGATTTTCTGGACCAAGCTTCGCATAGGCCCCGGGAGCATGCGCGCTGGCGTCGAGCAGCTCGCGTCGCGATGCGCGCATTTGGAGGAGATTCACATCGATGACCCGCGCTGCGAGCTGCACGTGCTGCACCCGATAATCATGGCGTGTGGCCCGTCGCTAAAGCGTATCGTCATCGACTGCGATCGAGATGACACGAGCCGCAACGAAGCGTCCATCTGCAGTGTTCTCTGGATAGTCAGGTGAGCAAAAGCTCCCATCCTTTGTTTCTTGCGTTTCGCCTTTGTTTTCGCGCGTCTGAGTTCGAAATGTTTTGTGCACTACATTTATCGTCACGTCCCGCGGGATGTACGTTCTTGATGCTCTCCTGTTACATGCTCTTACCTGGAATGTCCTCTTTTCTCTCTCCTGCTGTCTCCTTTCAATGTGCAGTCTTTACTGCAGCAATGTCGAAAGCGTCGAGCTTATATCGAACGGCGAAAAGGGGAACTTCAACTATCTTGAAAACAAGGCCATGTGGTACCTAACGTCGGGATTCCGCCGCGTTCGCAGCTTCGCGTGTCTGTGCAAAAACAGCCTAACGAAACAGGCGATTTACCTGATGGTTATCGCTTGGCGAGAACTCGCGTACCTGCGAATACACTGTGGCGCGCTCGCGAAGGACGATTTGATGGCGTTGCGAAAGTGTTACGCGTTGCGAGTGTTGGAGCTCATCGGCGGGAACCTTCGCCAGCTTTTAGGCGAAAACAGCGCGGCGACAGATGCGGTCATGCATCGCGACCTGACTACCCTCGCTTTGACGAACATGCAGTGCGATGTTGACGACATCGCGAAATTATCCATGCTCCTGCCGAGCCTACAGCGGATTATTATTCAAAAGTCCGCCCTACATACCTCCGCGGGTGACGACGTCGTGACGAAGGCACGAGCCGTCGCAAACCTTCGTGCATGGCTCGCAGCGCGGAAGAACGTCCAGCTATTCATCAATGAGTGAAGAGCAGCATGCACTATCTCATGTCCATCCGCGAGCTCGCTAATGACGATACACAGCGCCGCGTGCTTTCAGAATACTATGGGACTTAGACGACACAGACGTAGGGCGACGGCCCGCTCTGGAGTCTGTTCACGCCGAGAAGGGAGAGTGCGGCGGGAGCGCGGAAGTACAGCTGGCGTGAGAGGCAAAACTAGTGGATTGGCCAGCGATTTGGCTATTTGGTTAGCGAATCAGAGGCTTGATTTGCGCGACTTGTTGGCGACGAGGTTGATGGGTTTGGAAGGTTCGAAAGCGGAGAGGCTTATACTCGTTTGTAAATAATTTATTGAAGTGTATAAGTTCCAACTATTGCTACATGTCGCCATTGAGTAGTGACAATCATTTGTTTAATGGCCTAGCATAACAGCCCCAGCCAAATCGTCCCAGCTTAATCCAAAGGCCTGCATTCAAAACGACCTTACCTTTTCAAATACTGCACTGCACTTCATACGAAAAGGGCAATCATCGCCACCCTGTAACCTCATATCATAAGTAGACAATTGCTGCAACGTCTGTCTACACCTCCTTTGCCAGCCTGGCAGCCAGTCCCACGTAGCTGGCCGGCGTCATTTGTCTCATCTGCTCCCTGGCTTCATCCGGCACTTCGCCCTCCAGGGAATCTATCAGCGCAATCAGATCTGATTGCGTCACCGATCTCCCTCTCGTTGCCTCCTTGAGGCGCTCGTAAGCATTGGGAACTCCGTAGCGCCGCATCACCTGGTTGGTTTCAGAAAGAGAAGACGAGGAAGGGGGGGGGGATGGGGGGAGTGGGAGGAGGGGGGGGCATCACGGGGGGTGTTACTCGAAGCATTGGGAACTCCGTAGCGCCGTAAGCATTGGGAACTCCGTAGCGCCGCATCACCTGGTTGGGAGGAGGTGGCAGGGGAGGGGACAACGTGAGAGGGGATGGGGGGAGAGGATGGGGAAGGAGAGGAGGAAACGAAAGGTCCTCAAGAAATTCTGGACCAAGACTTGTTGTGAAAACACTTTCTGACAACCCTTTCTCCTCTTTTCCCACTCCCCGAAACCCAGAAGCATGAATCTTCCCCTCAAACCCCTTTTTATCCCTCCCAACTGCTCACCGTCTGGATTGGCTCGGCCAGCACCTCCCACGAGTCGTTCAAGTCGGCTTCGATCCTAGCTGCATCCAAATCAACCTTGGAGAGCCCCTTGGCTGTGCTGCTGTAGGCGATGAGCACATGAGATGAGAGAGTGCGCCGGCCCACACCCGCCCACCCTTCCCCCTCATCCCTTGACTCACCGTCTGAATCGGTTCCGCCAGCACCTCCCACGAGTCGTTTAAGTCCGCTTCTGCCCTAAGAGCACCTATTCATCAGCACATCCACCTCCTTCCCCCACACTCCCATCATCACCTTCCACCACCTTCCATCCCTCCTCAGCACTCACCGTCTGAATCGGTTCCGCAAGCACCTCCCACGAATCGTTCAAATCAGCTTCGATCCGGGCCGCGTCCAGGTCAACCTTGGAGAGCCCCTTGGCCGTGCTGCTGTAGGCGATGAGCGAGTGAGCTAGACCCACCCCCACTAACCCTTCCCTCTCCTCCCTCTCCCTCCCTCGCTCCATCCCCTCCCCCTCTTCCGCCTCGCCTTATCTCCCCTCTCCCTCCCCCCCACCACCACTCACCGTCTGAATCGGTTCCGCAAGCACCTCCCACGAGTCGTTCAAGTCGGCTTCGATTCGGGCCGCGTCCAAATCAACCTTGGAGAGCCCCTTGGCCGTGCTGCTGTAGGCGATGAGCGAGTGAGCTAGACCCACTCCCAGGTTGCGCAGCACAGTTGAGTCTGTCAGGTCACGCTGGGGCATGGCACAAGGGGCAAAGTGGGAGGAGGAGGGGAGAGAAGACGCGAAATCAGCAGCTTGGCCGACAGATGGCCCATGATGGCGTTGGCAATCCCAAGGTTACCCTCACTGCCAGCATTGCCAGTGCCACACTCAACACCTGCCGGTACCGTACTCCACACCTACGAACCCTCCGTCACCTAATCTCGCCCCTCATCTAACCTGCCAGCGTGAATTTAGCAGCTTGGCGGACAGGTGACCCATACTGGCGTTGGCAATCCCAAGGTTACCCTCACTGCCAGCATTGCCAGTGCCACACCCAACACCTGCCAACCCCTCACCTATTCGCGCCCCCCCCCCCTCTCACCTGCCAGTGTGAGATGGGCAGCTTGGCCGACAGGTGCCCCCTGATGGCGTTGGCAATCCCGAGGTTGCCCTCGCTGCCAGCATGGTCAGTACCGCATTCAACATCTGCCAACCTCTCGCCTCACCTGCCAGCGTGAAATGGGCAGCTTGGCTGAGAGGTGGCCCATGATGGCATTGGCAATCCCAAGGTTGCCCTCGCTGTTCTCAAAGTCGATGGGGTTCACCTTGTGCGGCATGGTGGATGAACCGATCTCACCCTTCACAGGGCGCTGCAGGAGGGGGAGAAAAGGGGGTGTGACATTGGGGGTTGGGATGGTGATGAAAGGTTTCCCTCGCTGTTTTCCAAGTCGATGGGGTTCACCTTGTGGGCCATAGTAGAGGGAAGAGTGTCTCGGCCTTCACAGCCCTGACCCACACACCATCACAAACACCCACACACGCACCAAGAAATACCTACTCCTATAAACACACCTGTCGGAAATAGCCGAGCGAGATGTACCCCCACATGTCGCGATCAAGGTCGATGAGAATGGTGTTGAAGCGGCACACGGCGTCAAACAGCTCTGCCACATAGTCATGCGGCTCGACCTGCCTGCCCAGCCCTAGTATATACACACACACCAGCCTTCCCACACACACGCCACCCGCCCACCCACCAACGCACCTGGCGGAATTAACCGAGCGAGATGTATCCCCACATGTCCCGGTCAAGGTCGATCAAAATAGTGTTGAAGCGGCAGACAGCGTCAGAAAGCTCTGCCACATAATCATGCGGCTCGATCTGAAAACAGCCGTAACCGTAACCCCACGCACCTGGCGGAAATAACCGAGAGAAATATATCCCCACATGTCGCGATCCAAGTCAATCAGAGTGGTGTTGAAGCGGCACACGGCGTCAAACAGCTCTGCCACATAGTCATGCGGCTCGATCTGCGTCACATACGGGTTCAGCCGTAACCCTAATCCGGTTACAAACTCCTCTGCTACAGCCGACCAATCAGCGTCTGGGTATGCTGCCACGTGGGCGTTGTAGTTGCCGACCGCACCGGCCATTTTCCCGAGAATCTGGACGGCCGAGATTTGATCCCGCTGCGCCTGCAGCCGGGCGGTGAAGACTGCGAGTTCCTTGCCGACCGTTGTGGGGGAGGCAGTCTGGAGGAAAAGGACAAATGAGGGGCATCGGTAAGACGAGGAGCAGGACAAAGGGACAACTGGATACACCAACATAATTGCACAGTTACGCTTCCTCGTGCATAAAATCTCCTATATCTAACATGCCCGTGTGCCCTCCTACCTGTCCGTGGGTGTGTGACAGCATGGGCTGGTCTGCATACGTATGAGCCATGCACCTGAGCGAGCCAATAAGCCCATCCATGGCTGGAAGCACCTCATCCTGCACTGCTTCTAGCTGTGTGCCTGAGAGTGAGAGTGGCAACCCTCACCTGCCCGTGAGTACGGGAAAGCATGGGCTGATCCGCGCGTGTGTGCCATGCTCTTCAACGTGCCAATGAGCCCGTTCATGGCCGGCAGCACCTCGTTCCGCACTGCTTCTAGTTGTGTGCCTGAGAGTGAGAGTAGCAACCACTCACCTGTCCGTGGGTGCGTGACAGCATGGGCTGGTCAGCGTACGTATGAGCCATGCCCTTGAGCGTGGCGATAAGCCCATCCATGGCTGGCAGCACCTCTCCCTGCACTGCTGCGGACAGCATGGCCCCCTTACCTGCCCGTGAGTACGGGAAAGCATGGGTTGCTCCGCGTACGTATGAGCCATGGCCTTGAGCGTAGCAATCAGCCCATCCATGGCTGGCAGCACCTCATCCTTCACGGCACCGGACAGCATGAGGCCGTGCGAGAGGTTGTTGATGTCCTCTGACGTGCATGCGAAGTGGAAGAATTCCAGGATCTGAATTGGGGGAAGCAGGGGGAGTGGGGACAGAAGAGGAGGGGATAGCAGGGGGAGGGCACGGCACCGGACAGCATGAGGCTGTGCGAGAGGTTGTTGATGTCTTCTGACGTGCATGCATAGTGGAAGAATTCCAGGATCTGGTAGCGGTGTGGGGGGGAAGAGGGTGAAGGAGGAAGCGGATAGGGAACAGCATGAGGCCGTGTGAGAGGTTGTTGATGTCTTCTGACGTGCATGCGAAGTGAAAGAACTCGAGGATCTGAATGGGAGAGGGGGGGGGAAGGGGAGGGAGGTTGAGTCTCGCCCCAGCTTACTGGGCAGAACCTCGCCTTCCCTGTACTGCTGCTGAGAGCATGAGGCCGTGCGAGAGGTTGTTGATGTCCTCTGAGATGCACGCGAAGTGGAAGAACTCGAGAATCTGGTAGTGAGGAGGGGGGGAAAAGGGGGAAGGGAGAGAGAGGAAGCGGATAGGGAACAGCACTAGGCCGTGCGAGAGGTTGTTGATGCCCTCTGACGTGCATGCGAAGTGAAAGAACTCGAGAATCTTCATGGGGGGAGGAAGACAGAGGAAGAGGGAGGAGAGAGGAGGAGGTGAAGCGGACAGGGAAGGGGTTGATGCCGTGCGAGAGGATGTTCCTGTCCTCTGATGTGCACGCGAAGTGAAAGAATTTGAGAATCTGCAAGGGGGGCGGGCGAAGGGGAGAAATGGGGGACGGGGTGGTATCACATCACATGATCACATTACTCTCACCGGGCTGATGTCGAGGTGGTCCTGGAATCGGGCTTTAAGGAAATACTCCACCGCCTTCACATGGTGATTGGCGGTTGGTCACATCACACCACACCACACCACACCACACCACACCACACCACCTTCACATCACACTCACCGGGCTGATCTCGGGATGATCCTGGAATCGGGCTTTAAGGAAATACTCCACGGCCTTCACATCGTGGTTCGTTGTCGCCTCCACCCGCTTCACCTCCCGTGCATCCGCCTCGCTGAACCCTGCAGCACCGCACACAACCCCACCCCACCCCATAGAACTATTAAGTCGAATCAATCTCGCAAGCAAACCAGCACCAACTAGCGGCTCCTTTGTCCCCCTCCCCAGTCCCCTCTTCCTAGCCCCCTCGCCGCACTCCCCTCTTCCCTCTCCCGTCCCACCTGTCACAACAGCGTCCAAGTCAGCATGCGCCTGGGGGGAGAGAGGAGGCACCTCCACCACCTGCCTCTCCTTCCTCCACCGGGCCCCTACCTACCAGCCACCCCTCTCCATTCCCCTCTCCCCACCCCACCCACCTGTCACAACAGCGTCCAGATCAGCATGCGCCTGGGGGGAGAGAGGAGGCACCTCCACCACCTCGGGCATGCGCGACAGCTGCTGCAGCCACCGCACCTGGCGGGAGGGGGGAAGAGGGTTGAGGGGAAGGGAAGGGGAGAGGGAAGGCGGGGGTTGGGCGGGTTTGTCGGAGGCCAGTGGGGCTGGCGGGGGGGAAGGTTCCACCTCCACCGCACCTCGGGCATGCGCGACAGCTGCTGCAGCCACCGCACCTAGTTGTGGGGATCGGTGGTGAGAAGGAGTTGGGGACCACAAGGGCAGCAAAGGATGGGGGTTTGAGGGTTTAAGGAGGAGGCGGGGGAGCAGAAGAGGCGGGGAGAGGGGGCGGAGGGCGCGGAAGAGGGGAAGAGCCTCAGTTTACTATATTAGCATCAGCAATGCGTGCCAGTCTGAAGCTGCCCCTCGCTACTATCACGCACCTCTACAAGCACGCGGAAACGGATCAGGCCGAACTCGATAAAGTTGCGGCGGAGCTACTGCAGCGCGGGAAGCCGCCCGTATCCATGCGAGCCCCTCTGATGCTGCCCTTTTTTACTATCACACGCCTCTACTATCACACACTTATACTATCGCGCACCTCCACAAGCACGCGGAATCGAATCAGACCAAACTCGCTGAAGATTCGGCGGAGCCGCTGCAGCGCGGGCAGTCGGCCGTAGCGCCCGTCGACGGGGGAGATCGCCGTCAGATGCGACACGGGGAGCGTCTCCTCCTTTTCCGCGCCCGCCGCGCCCGCCTGCTGCGCGCGCGACTCCGCGGATTGCGAAACGGCGGAGGGCGGAGCGGCATTGCGCGCGAGGCGGGGGTTCTCCCCGTGGCCGAGAGCGCTGGCGGTGGGAGTGACTGTAACGCGGGTGCGCGACGGGAGCACAGGGCGCGACGCGGGCCGAAATGTGACTGTATCGCGGGCGCGAATACTAGAGCGGAGGGAAATCGGGCTCGTGAGTAGCTGGCGGGAAGAAAGAGCCTCCATTGCGTGAGGTTCTTATAACGGGGGAAGGGAACGAGTGGGGGAAAGGGTTCCTGACGCTGCGACCCTTGCCGATCACAAATGGAAATTGTGAAATCCAGGGGGTGGTTTTCATTTTATCTGGATGTGACGGCTCGTATCGCGTATGTCGAAGCATGTGGTTTGGACGCAATCAATTCGAACAAAATAGGTTAGTACAAGTCGAAATGCAGAGAGACTCGTAATACATCATAACGCGTACAGATTACGCTGGCGTGGCCGCCTGGGAATGGTTTTTCGGACCTGTCGTGGCACCACTCGATCCCTTCATCTCGTCACGTGCTACCCAATCAACGCGCACCAATTCGTTTTGTGCGTCCGTTGGTTTTCCCCAACTGAATTCTTCATTGCAGCTCGTGCCGCGTTGAAAGCTATTGACGCATACACATACGCATACTAACCAAGCTAGCGCTGCGCTCCGCTCGGCTCATACAGTAATTCACACGCTGACGTGAAGGTCCCTAGTACGATTAGGGCGCGAACATTTTGTTTTCCGTTCCCGCTGAAATACGACTCAGCCGCGTCACAAGCAGTTTTTGCTATTCTCCAGACTCGTCATGGCTGCGGCCCTTTCCTCCGCGTCGACCGCTCAACTCCAACTCGCGCGCACAGCCGCTGCGCGAATTTCCGTGCCGGGCGCGACCGCCGCATGCCGCCCAGCAGTCGCGGCTCTTTTTCCCGCGCAAAGTTCGGTGCTCAGCCGAGCCGCGACAGTTCCAAATTTCTCTATGATCGTTACCACAGCCGTCGTCTCTCGCGATCCGGCTCCTCTGCGGCTCGCTGCGACTGGTTCTAGTTCCATTACCACGCGCTCCGACGGTAGTAGTAGCTCTTCCAATGTAACCAATTTACTAGCTGCGGCGCGCTGTGTCGCGGCGCCGTCCTTCTTAGCGCGCTCCGCTCTTGCAGGCTCCACTGGAAGGCGGCTCCGTCGTTTCAGCAGAGCGGCGGCCCAAGGTCAGTGACTCGCCTGTCACTTTGAGTTGTTCTCACCCGCCGCTACTAGCGGCGCCGCCGTTCTCACCACTTCCATTTGAGAATTCGCAAAAGCGTCGTTTCAGCAGAGCGGCGGCGCAAGGTCAGTGACTCGCCTATCACGTAGAGTCGTTCTCACCCGCCGCTACTAGCGGCGCCGCTCCCCCTCTCCCTTCCCCATTCCTCCACGCTCCCCCTTTCCCATTCTCTCCTATTTTTCACTTTCTCCCCCTCACCCACCTCCCCCTCACCCATATTCCCCTCGCCTCATTTCCCCACTCCCTGCCCTCTCCCCATCCCCCATTTCCCCACTCCCCGGCCTCTCCCCCTCCCCCGTTTCCCCTTTACCCCCTTACAAATTCCGCCGCCCCTCAGCAAGCCCCGTGCAAGCGGCGACGGCGGACGAATCAGAGGGCGACACGTGGCAGCTGAAGCTGCTGTACGATGGGGACTGCCCAATCTGCATGCGAGAGGTGCGCGTGTGGGCGGATGGGGGGAGGAGGGGGGGGAGCGCGCATAGGATGAGGGGGGGTGCGCGCATGGCGGATGGGAAAAGGGTGAGGGTGGCGGATGGGGGTTGAAGGTGGGGAATGTGGGGGGGATGAGTGGAAGAGGGGGGATGGCTGTGAATGGGTGTGAATGGATGGCGGCAGAAGCACATGAAAGGGAGTCCCATGTGTGATTTCACCTCTTCCTCAGGTGGGCTTTCTGCAGGGTCGCAACAAGGAGTTTGGCACACTCAAGTTTGTGGACATAGCGGCGGGTGACACTTGGCCCCATCCCCCTGCCCCTCTCCCCCTGCCCCTCTCCCTCTGCCCCTCTCCCTCTGCCCCTCCCCCCCTGCCCTTCCCTCTCTGCCCCTCCCCCCCCCCTCCCACTCCCCCCAGGTGGACTTTCTGCAGGGTCGCAACAAGGAGTTTGGCACACTCAAGTTTGTAAACATAGCGGCAGATGATTATAACGAGGATGAGAATGCAGGCGTGGCGTATGAGGCAGCTATGGGGTCGATTCACGGGATACGGCGGGATGGCACCATAGTCACTGGTGTGGAGGTGGGTACGGGGTGTTGGTGCATGCAAATGGGTGCAAGCGGGTGTGTGGTGCGGCCGCGGGAGGGGGGTTTGTTGGTGGGGGGGTGGGTGGGGTGTTGTGGGGTGGGGTGGGGTTGGGTGGGGGTGCAGGTGAATGTGGTGAGTATACCTCCCTTTTTCTGCTTTATCTACCTCCTTTTTTCTGCTTTATCTACCTCCCTCTCTCTGCTTTATCTACCTCCCTCTCTCTGCTTTATCTACCTCCCTCTCTCTGCTTTATCTACCTCCCTCTCTCTGCTTTATCTACCTCCCTTTTTCTGCTTTATCTGCCTCCCTCTCTCTGCTTTATCTGCCCCGCACCAACCAGTTGCAGGCCTTTCATGAGTTCTATGGGGCCGTGGGTCTCGGGTGGGTCTATGCCATCACCAAGTTCCCTCTGGTGGTTTGTGCAGTCTTACTAGCCTCTGCCTCTGCTCTGCTCTGCTCCCTCACCTGCCTCTGCTCTGTTCCACCCCACACCAACCAATCGCAGGCCTTTCGCGAGGTCTACGAGGCCGTGGGCATCGGGTGGGTCTATGCCAATACCAAGTTCCCGCTTGGTAGTATACGCAGTATCCCTGACCCGTGTAGTCAGCATCCCTCCCCTCTCTCTGCTCTGCCTGCCCCACACCAACCAATCGCAGGCCTTTCGTGAGTTCTACGAGGCGGTGGGCCTCGGGTGGGTCTATGCCATCACCAAGTTCCCTCCGGTACGCTTCCTGTCTCTCCTTCATCGCTCCACCTCACTTGCTGCTCCTTCCTCTTCTTGACATTTTGAGGTGCCCCATACGCCGTTGGCCTCGGGTGGGTCTATGCCAATACCAAGTTCCCTCCGGTATGCGTCCTGTCTCTCCACCTTTGCTCCGCCCTCCACCGCACTTGCTGCTCCTCTTTCTCTTTGCATAATCAGTTGCCTTATAAGCCATTGGCCTCGGGTGCGTCCATGCCATCGCCAAATTTCCCCCAGTACGCCTCCTGTCTGTCCACCCTTTGCCATTTGTACCCTCTGGCTGGAGGGATTTATGGCATGTGGGGTTTTCATCAATGTCCTCTTTTTTAAGGCGCCTTTTAAATAGCTCCCCCTTTCCCGTGCGCATTCCCTTCCGTCTCTCCTCCCTCTTCCTCCCCTCCCTCGGCCTGCTGTGTGTCAGATCGGTGCGCTGGCAGATGCGGTCTATGAGGTGTGAGCCAAATACCACCCACAAAAACCTCTCAACACCCTTTCTCTCTATTTCCCACCTTCTTCCTTTTTTATTTCCTCCCCACCGCCCTGCTTTGTGCCTCCCATGTGCCAGGTCGGTGCGCTGGCAGATGCGGTCTATGAGGTGTGGGCCAAGTACCGCCTGCCACTTTCAGGTGAAGCCAAATAGTGCTTACAATCCCTTAGCAATGTTGGTTGTGTGTCTATCTTATGCCAAACACCTGCATGTGTATTTGTGTGTGTGCCTCTGTGCCTCTGTGCCTCTGTGCCTCTGTGCCTCTGTGCGCGCACGCGCGCGCGTGTGTGTGTGTGTGTGTGTGTGTGTGTGTGCCCCTGTGTGTATGTGCGCCCCTATGTGTGTATGTGTGTGTTTGGCTGCACTGGGATGGCTCCTGGCAGGCCGGCCGTCCTTGCAAGCTGTGATTGAGGAGCGCAGACGCAACAAGGTGAGTGGGCTGCAGTGTAGCCTGACTCAAATCTCTGGCTTCAATTCAATTCAATTTTGAAAACACCCATACATTTCATTCCCCCCTTGGCATCGCCATATTAGCTGGTTCCATCCACGTCTGTAGGCCCACTTACTTCCATTCCCCACGTGCCCTTTTTTTTGGAAATCCTCAGCTTGGCGTGCAAGGATGCAAGGAGGAAGAGGAATGTGACATAAAGTTTTGACCATGTTGGTGTACTGTAATTAAGGAAGATCAATCCACCACCGTGTTGTCAGTGAAAGATTTTATTGGTTATCCTCTATTCAGTGTATTCAGCCCCGTGAATGCAACTCACCCCGATCATCGGGTTTCGATTTTGACGCCAAAAATTTTTACGCATATTAGCAGGAATGTAACCCAAGTGTGGATAAGTGTGGTGGGTTGAATACCGCCCGCTATTCCAGGTGAATGCATTTTAAGTACCGGTATCACTTGCCACTCTAAGGTGATTGCCATGTGCGTTCCACTTGCTACTTTAGGGAAAAAGTGGTCCAATCAATCAACTCCCTGCAACCCTCAGGTGAGTGCGGCCCAAGTATTGCCTGGCGCTCAAGAGCAGCCCATCAAGAGCAGGAGAATGTCCTTCCCGCCCCCCGATCCCTCCTCTCCTGTCCAGTCATGATTCTCAGAGAGCAGGAGATTATCCCTCCCAAATCACCTGGAGTGCCGCTCCCAATCCTTTTCCACTCCACGTGTTCCTCGTCTCATCTTTTCTGTCTCCCTATCTTGTGCCCTTTCACATATACTAGTGTAGTGAATGAAAAGAACAATAATGCATATCCTACTGTACACTACAAGCTTCCTACCACTATGCTCATCCCATTTAGTCCCAATTATAATAAAAACATCTCGAGAGGATCAGTGATGCAGGTTTCAGCATCAGTGTCACTAGCAGCCACATTCTGGCCAACATCTCTATATGCCAAACCTCCTACATCTACAGCCTCTCGTCCAGCACCCAAACACATTCCACCCGATGCTCCCATACACGGCGCAGCACCGGCAGAATTCTCAAAGGCACAGCAAGCTGTCCTGTCGATGTGAGAAAATGGGGTGGTGAGGTCTATGGCAGCAAACGCAGTGATGTGCTCATCTTCAAGAACGAATAGATCCACTGAGGGGTGAGAGTGAGGAAGAGGAAGAGGAAGAGGAAGAGGAAGAGGAAGGTCCAAGCCTGTCATGATCTGCTGTTGGGCAGAACACAGCTCGCCAGAATTAGACTGCTCGGCACACAGCGGCTGAGGACAGAGCTTTTCCGGTGTGCAAGTCAGAAGCAGCTGGTTTGCACATGCTTCAAGCTCGCAATCCTGGTCTGCACTGGGATGACCCGCGCTAGAATGCTCAGCAGCACCAACACTGTATGCTTGTCCCACGCCTGCTGTTGTAACTTCCTGCATCAGGACATCTCCACGACTGTTGCCCGCACCATTGTTCTCAGTGCTGTTGCTGATGGTTTTCCCAGAGACAACATGCACCAAGGATTCAACACCACACTGCTCTGTGCTCCTGAAATCGTGCAAGCTGGCTGTGAAATCGAAGATGGTGGGTGGAGAGGCGGGAGGAGTAAGGGCCCGAGCTTCTGTATTACCGGTAGTGTAAGTAGCAACGCCGACAGCTGATGAGCCAGCGGCGGCGCCGGCAGCGGCAGCACAAAAGCCACCAGAAACGTCGGCAGCAATGCTGGTAGCAGCGGTTAGTGTGGAGGCCAGAGCCGCAGGTGTTATGGAGGGAGGAGACTGTTTGTGGGATAAGATAAAAGGCTGGAAGGGTGTGAGTGGCATTTGCTGGTGCTGTGTATAATGCGACTGCTGCTGCTGATGCTGCTGCTGCTGCTGCTGCCGCACTGCTCTTGCTGGTGCTGGTGGTGCTGGCAGTGCTCTTGCTGCTGCAATAAGTGCAATTGGTCCTGCAGAGTGGATTGCAATTGCTGCTGCTGCTTCTGCTGGTGGTGCTGCTGCTGCTGCTGCTGCTCCAGGTGATCGGAACTGGCAACAGCAGCATCACTTGCAACAGCAGCAGCATCAGTAGCAACTCCGGCATTACCAGCAGCACCTGCAGCACCGACAATATTGGAAGCAACAGCCACACTGCTATCAACGCGACCTCCACCACCGGCAGCACCCACAGCACCCAAGCCACAAGCAGTACCAATACCTCTTGCAGCACTCACATCACCGACACCACCAGTGATCCCCACTGAGGGCTGGGATTCCTCAGGGATTGAAGAACTGGCAACCCGAAGGTCCAAGGGGGAAGACACGCTGTGGCTTCGAAACATCAGCGGTGCAGGTTCGGAATGAGGCTTTTGATGGGGCTTGAAAATAGGATCGGATAATGAATGGCTGACAACAGTGTTGGCTGTGTGGTTGTTTCCCAGGTCTGAGGTGTGGCGGCAAGACGTCTGCTCCAGCCTCCACTCTTCAACTGGAAAAGGTGTGCCTGTGAGGTCTGCAGAAGCACACGATACAGCTGCCTTGCCCCTCCTGCCAGCCTTTGGATCCAGAAAGTTCTGTTGCCAGAAGCTTGACGCATGGTGCTGCTGCTGCAGCTGCTGCGGGTGGTGTTGCTGCTTCTGCTGCTGACCCTGCTGTGGCCCTTCATGTTGTTGCTGCTGCTGCTGCAACTGCCGCCGCCGCTGTCGCAGCTGCTGCTGTGGTTTCTGGTGACGCTTACGGGGCGGACTCACACATACAGAAGACACGCGGGACATGGTAAAAGCATACTGCATGCCATGATCGGCATACTGATCATGCCCCCAGAGCTCTTCAACCGGGAACATAATGGCAGGTGCGTACTGCATCATCATTTCAGCATTCCAGCTTGTGAGCAGGTTTGCAGCTGGGCCTGCCGACATGTTGGGTACCTCCTCTGTCGCCTCTGCGTGTTGTTCTTTTTGCACGGATGCATCCCCCCCTGGCATAATCACTTTCCCAGAAACAGCGACATTGTACTTGCAAGCAGCAGGCAGAAGGCTGGAGTGTATAAAACTCGCAGAGGTGGAAGGGGCAGTGGAAGGAGGAAGGGTGGAGTTTAGCACATCAGCCGAGGTGGATGGAGTAAGGGTGGAGTGTAGGAAACAGGCACAGGCTGAAGGGGCAGAGGAGGACGGGGCGGTTGTGTCGGAGCTGCTGCTGCTGACATTGGAGCTCCGATCAGGAAAGTCAGAATATGCTGGTCCACTCCGAACACTGACTGCTGACGCTTTTGTTGCTAGGCACACCCCTCCATCTCCCCCTCTTGTAGCTTCACCTACTAAGGCTGGACCTACAGCCCCTACATCTCCACCTGTTGCTGCTGCTGCCACCGTTCCCATTGCCCTGCTGGTTCCTTCTCCTAGCGACGACTTCATCTGCGTGTCCGCTCCCACCGATTGTCTTTCTGCAGCATCTTCCGCAGCACACTCTACGTCCTTCCCTTTCAGAGCGCCTTGAGCTCCAGAGCTCATCATAGAAACGCCCTTCCCAGCCTGTCCGAACGAATCCTTATTCTCCACTGGGAGCTCTGGCAGAGCTCCCAGGCCGTTACTCTCAGCAATATTACCTGCCTCCATTCCCGCTGTTCCTATCTCAGTAGTAGCAACCGCTGATCCTAGCTCTGGAGTATTGGAACCCAGTACTCCTCCTTTTCCCTTGATGTACCCTTTCGGAAAGTTAAGCTTCGCCTTTGATCCTCGGAGATCAAAAGCAGCTTCGTCAAACGCCCGAGCAGCCTCTTCGGCAGTGCGGAACGTGCCCAGCCACTTGCGGACCCCGCTAGTGGTGTCTTTAATCTCTGCGGTGAAGCTTGATGCCCCGCGCTTCCTCACTCCCCGGTACTTCCCTTGCAGGTTGTAGTTTCGGTTGCGTGTCAACGTCGTGCGTTTGGCTCTGGACTCTGATGGCCTTGCACCACCAGTGGCACCTGCAGCAGCCTCATCTTGGGGTGGTAATTGTGGCTGCAGCGGCGGCAGTAGCTCTGAGAACGCTTGCTTAGCCGCCTGTAGCTGTGGCTGTGGCTGTAGCTGTTGCAGTTGTGTTGTATAGACTGCCTGTGGTACAAACTGCTGCTGCTGGTGCTGCGTCTGCATCTGCATCTGCTGCTGTTGCAACTGCTGCTGCTGCCGCAGTGGCGGCTGTGGTTGCATGACCAGCCTCTGTTGCGACGGCTCTCGCGGCATCTGCTGTTGCCACCTTAATCACGCAACCTCCGCTTCCCCAGCTTGTCTCTTTTCCATCTGCTATTGCACTGCTACTACCACACCGGAAGCCGCTGCCTTGCTCATAACCAAATCTGGAAACATTTTTCAGAATTGTATGAACTGTATTGATAAGGGCCCATGTGACCCAACCCAGCCGTGGCCTCTAAAACAGATATATCTCAGATATGGGAAAGGCTCAGAGTATTGTCATCGCGATACCATCCTCGTGAATACACCCACCTACTAGGTGGAGATGTACAATCCCCAAACGGATAGTGGGCTTGTAAACCTGCCCCAGAAGACGCCTACAGAACACAAACCTGGGGTTTGAAGTGTCCAGGAGGAGTTTCTACGTGAACTGGAGCTTTCTCAGAGAACTTATTTCTCAGAACTGACTCCCAACTTCAATCCTCCACACGGCGAAGCTCGCGAACCGGAGGTTGTATCAAAGCGACACCTTGATCATATTTTGAAAATGGTTCTGTAAAAAGTGAAGGCCTGCTGCTGCTGCCGCCGAGGGTGACGGCGACCCAAGCTCAACAAGCGCCGCGAGCTGGAATGGAATGAAATTCTGTTCAACAGCTCAAGGTCACATCCACGGCCTATTTTTTTAAAGACGGAAAAGTTTTCTGCTAGGAAAGTACGCTGCGGCACTCGGACACTACTTAGCGCGGCAAGTCTTCTCCTAATACTACTACGAAAAACTTTGCCCGCTGCGGAGGATCTAGGAAATCCGACGAGCTTGTAAAATGTGCCAGGGACGATGGACTTCGCTGAAGTGCCACTTCCAGTGGAAAGGACCCATGGAAAGGACAAAAACTTGGATCATGCGACAAACCTTCCCTCGTAGGTCATGCGACAAGAGGGATGATCCCTGTCTATTTGTCATCGGGATCCCGCTTCGAGGCAGTCCGAAAAACAAATCTGAGTCTGATTCAGTCCGACATGGTCCGAAAAAAAATTGAATAGGGGGGAAAAGAAGAAGAAAGTAGGAAAGAAAGAAGAAAAAAACACATAGTGAGCCATCGCCATGCCAATAATCTGCATCGAAAAAAGAAATGTCGCACCAAGGTTTTCCCCAAAAAAACCTTGCCGCGGCGGCAAACCTTGCTCCTCCTTATGTCATGTGGTCTCAAGTGGGATGGGAGTGTGGTTCTTTCTTCAGGTGGCTGACCTTTCCTTGATAAGAAAACCAGAACATCAGAAACTGTTATGAGTTGTCAAACAGAGTTGCGCGGAATAACGAATAACGAGGCTGTGACTCAATGAAACTGACGATACAATGAAAGACATGCGATTATATAGCGAGGCAACCTAACTAGGCGGGAACCTCGGGAACACGAGGTTGAGTGCAGGTTGGGCAAAGGAAAGCCGAAGGCGACGCGAGGTTGCTTCGGCAGCAAGCAAAGCGGCCGAACGTGCACTTCCGAAAGTTGGGGTTGTACGCGGTTGAGTAAACCCCAGTAAGGAAAAAGGGTTTTTCCTTACACTACCCCCCCCTTAAGAAAGGTGGTCAACATCCACAGCTCGCTTGCGGGCGAGGTAATCACCAAGAAGCGGGGAAGCTTCAAGCGAGGCGGATGGCACCCATGTGTCGTCCTCACTGGTGCGGTCAGTCCAACGGATAAGAAAGTCCACGTGACGCCCCGAAGCGTCGAGCCGAACACGATGCGCCAAAATCATGGATGGGTCGAGTGTCGGTTCCGGGACAGGTCGAGCTGTCGGGACGGCGTTCTGGCGCGCGATGTCTGTTGTGGCAGGCACGAACTTGCGTAATAAGCTGACGTGGAAGGCGTCGTGAATACGCCAGTCGTCGGGTAGTAGCAGCTTCGCGGTGACAGGTGTCACCATCTTGAGGATCCTGAAAGGCCCACAGAATCGTGGCCGTAACTTCGATGGGCCGGGCAGGTGCAGGTTCTTCGTGTCCAGTAGTACTAGTTGCCCAGCTGCCAAGACGAGTTCCCGTCGTAAAAGGTCGGTGTATTTGCGGGAAGTGGTATTCGCCTTGCGAATTGCGTCCGCAGCCTTCTCGCGAATTTCTTGGAGTTCTGTCACAAATGTTTGTGACCTCGGGACCGGGTTGTCAAGTGTAGTCGTTGTAGGTACCACCGGGTCCATCCCGTAATTCAAGAAGAACGGGGAGTGATTAGTCGTGCTGGACGGAGCGTTGTTGAACGCGAATTCCAGCATGGCGAGCGAATGTTCCCAGCGAGCGGGGTCGGGGCAGTTTGTCCTGATCAGCTGCTCCATCGTCTGATTGGTCCGCTCGGTCTGGCCGTCGGTTTGCGGGTGGTATGCCGACGAGAACTGTAGCTTCGTTCCGTACTGCGCCCACGTCTCCCTCCAAAATTTCGATGTGAACTTTGGGTCCCGGTCGCTGATGATCGCCGATGGGACGTCGTGTAGTCGCACAACGGTGGAGATGAAGAGGCGTGCAGTTTCTTCGGCGGTGATTGTCGTGCGACAAGGTGCGAAATGCGCCATTTTTGTGAGGCGATCGACGACGACGAGTACAGCGTCGTTGCCGGACGGCCCAGCTGGCAGCCCCGTGACAAAGTCCATCGTCACCTGTTGCCATGGTCGTTCGGGTGGCTCGAGAGGTTGCAGCAACCCAGCTGGCCGCTGACGTGTCGATTTCATGGCTTGGCACACCCTGCATGAGGACACATATCGCTGCACGTCGTTAGCAGAATCAGGCCAATAATACTGACGGTGCAACAACTTCTGGGTTTTATCAACCCCGAAATGTCCGGAGAGGTTGGAATCATGGACCTCCTGAATAAGGAGTTCGCGCAGCAGCCGGTAAGCGGGAACCCAAATCCGGTCAGTTCCGGCCTTTAGGTAATAATTCCCTTTCTGCGTCGTCGCCTGCTGGTGATTTCCAGTCGTGAAGAACGGGTCCGTAGTGTAGCCGTGGGTGAATAGCCCCGAAAGAAGCGGGTTCGAATGGGTGATCAGCACAGCAGCGGATTGGACTGTCGGTCGGGTCAGGGCGTCGGCAATGTTGTTCGCGCCCTTCTTGTAGGTGATCCTGTAGTGGAAGTGTGACTCCATGTAATCGAGCCACCGGATTTGTCGTGGGTTGAGGTTGGGTTGCGCTCGAAGGTACTGTAGGGATTTATGATCGGTGCGAACAGTGACGTCGGCGCCAGTCAGGTAGCATCTCCACAGTTTAAACGCGTGAATGATGGCGAGCATCTCCTTGTCGTGAATCGGGTAGTTGCGCTCGGCTGCCTGCAACTTGCGTGACTCGTAGGCGATCGGTTGTAAGCCGTTGCCAAAATCCTGGAGCAGCACTGCGCCGATGGCGAAATCTGAAGCGTCGGTGACGACTTCGAACGGCTTGGATGGGTCGGCGATGCGAAGAACCGGAGGGGACACCAGTAACTGCTTCAACTCCTGAAAAGCCGCCTCAGCCTCTTCCCCCCACACGAAATTTTTATCCTTGTGCAACAGGTCGGTCAGCGGGCCGGTTATCCCCGCCATATTCGGGATAAACCGCCGGACATAATTCACAAACCCCAGAAAACTCTGAAGTTCTGTGACATTAGTCGGGGCCTTCCATTCCTGGATGGTCTTGATTTTCTTCGGGTCGATTTTGATGCCGTCGCGTGAGATGACGTGCCCCAAAAACTCCAACTCTTGCTTAAAGAACTCATACTTAGAGCCTTTGGTGATGAGCCGGTTCTCCTGTAGCCGCTTAAACACTGCGTCGAGGTCGCGGAGGTGCTGCTCGCGTGTCCTGCTAAAAATCAGAATATCGTCCAAGTAGACGATAACACACTTGTCCAGCAGGTCGCGAAATACCCTGTTCATGGTGCGTTGAAATGTTGATGGCGCGTTCGTGAGGCCGAAAGGCATCACTGTGAACTCGTAACTGCCGTAGCGGGTTCGGAAGGCGGTCTTGTGACAATCGTCAGCGAATACTCTGATTTGATGGTAACCGCCGCGTAGGTCAATCTTCGAGAAGTAGCGAGCGCCGCGAAGTTGGTCGAGGAGGTCGTCGGTGCGTGGGATGGGATAGCGAGATTTTATGGTAACCCGGTTGAGCGCGCGATAGTCGATGCACATGCGAATGCCGCCGTCCTTCTTCGGTGTGAACAGGATCGGCGCGGCAAAGGGCGAAGTACTGGGTCGGATGAAGTTCTTCTCCAACAGTGACTCAAGTTGACTTCGAAGCTCCGCGAGTTCGGGCTGAGTCAACCGCCACTGAGTGCGAACAGTCGGCTGCGCGCCAGGCTCCAGCTGGATTTTGTGGTCTTCGGGTCTCTCGGGTGGCAGGCCAGGTGGCAAATCGTCGGGGAAGATATCGGAGTACTGTCGAATCAGCTCCGCTAAATCAGGTGGTACAGCTGCGCACAGCTTCTCGATGTCGTTTCCGTCGGTGTCGGCTGCCAACTCGCGCAAGCATACGGCGAACAGTTGCGCACCCCTGTTGACGTGGCGTGTAATAGTGATGGCTTTGACGCATGTAGACTCGATGCAGTCCGGAGTCCACGCGGGCAGAGTAATCAGCTTCCCGTCCTTGCTGATGCTGCACGATCCCGTCGTCCAATCGATTACCGGGTTGTGCCGTCGCAGCCAATCGCGTCCCAGGAGCACGTCGCATCCGTCCAACGTCGTCGCGAGAAACTTCATGCTGAAGCCGAAATTGTCGCCGCACTCAATCCGCACCGTCCGTGTTTCTTCCAAAATCGCCAGAGGCGTCCCATCCACGAGGCGGGCGTCAATTTCGGGCAGACACCTGTCCAGCTGCAACTTGCATTTTTTTGCTGTCGCCAGATTGAAGAGGCTATGGCTAGCCCCGCCATCGACGAACATTTTAATTTTTTTCTCAACTACCGTGCCAACAACCAGCACAGGGTGATCCACATGTTCACCCCCGTTATTCGTCCGAGTGCGATCGATTGCATGAATCGGAACCACGACTCGGTGGGGATGGTGGGGTTCGGGCGACAGAGCACAGTCAGTAAGGGGCCCGTCTGTTACTGACTCTTCCCATTTCCCGGCTCCTTCCCACCGTTCCTCTTTCCCTGCGTCCTGTCGGGGCAGTCTTTATACATGTGGCCCGGCTTCCCGCACTTAAAACACAACCCTGTAAAAGGGCGGTCTGGCGCATGGACTCCGTTAATCGTGGCCCGCTGGGTCTGTCCACGAAATCGGTTTCCCTCCCGAGAACTCGATCTCGCCCACTGCATCAGCGCGTCTGTGCTCTCGGCCAATCGGACGGCTTCGTTGAATGTTGCTGGACGGCTGCGGCGCACCTCGTACTGTATCTCATACTTCAAGCCGCTGATGTATTTATCCAACCGTTCAGCTTCCGCCATGTCGTCCACTTGATCCGCGAGCGCCATAAACGACGCTGTGTAGTCTTGAACAGAAGCCAACTGTGACCAGGTACGCAGCTTCATGCGAGCGTGTTCCGAGGCGGATACATGCTCGAAACGCTCTCGTAAGGCTGCGCCCCACTGCTTCCACGTGCGAATTGTGGCCACACCGAATATCGATGATGCCCTCCCAATAGCAGAGTCCGAAGTCCCGTCTGCCGCATGTGTCACACCTGTCGGGGTCCCCGTGTCCAAGGTTCGTCGCCACCACTCAAGCGCCGGGCCTCGCAGAAGCGATACCGCGTAATTAATACGCGTGGCGTCGTCGTTGACGTTCGCTGCAGTGAAGAACACCTCCACGCCGAACAACCACCCCTTAACAGTAGTGTTCTTGTCGGTAGGGTTGAACGGGGGCGGGCTCGTAGGCTTTATCTTGATTGTTGTCACTGCAACTGTTGTCGCTGCCGCCGCTCGCTGCCTATCTTCTTCTTCGAAGCCGCGTGTGAGCTCCTCCAACGGATTGCCGCTCACCGCTTGACCAGTGCTCTCGCCTTCTTCAGCGGGCGACTCCTGGCGCGCTTCACCTCGCGCCTGGCGTAGCTCGTTGTTTTCTTCACGTAGTCTCTCCACCTCTGTCGTTAACGCCTTCATGCCTGCCGACATCTCCGCCACTTGCTGCATCAACGCGTCAAACGCTGCCTGATCCATGAGTCGCAAGCTACGTCTAGTAGGCAAGTGGGTATCCGTGACTATCCGGCAACAGTGCAAGCGCAAAAGCTATCGGGGTCGGGCAAGTTTCATCTAATAAACTTTGCAACCAACCGCTTTGCAGCCCACCGTACCAATCACACCCGTTATCGAGATAGTAGTGCGAAAGATAGAACAGAGAAGAGGGTTTGTACTAGCAGCATGCAAGGTACATATAGGAAACCCTAATTTGGGTTGTACTTCCTATAGAGTACCCCACTGCAGGCTAGACAATTACAACATTCTGACACACCCCCATAGCCAAAGTGGGGTGTAATCAGCACAAATAACCAGTCATAGATCAAGTCCACAAATGCAAGTAAAGCTAGAGGCAGTCACAGAGGGCAAGTGAGGAGGAGGAGAGACTGTGAGGGGCGATCTGCTGCAGACACAACGGGCAACAGGAGCGGCGTGCACAGTGGCTACCGAGCGCACGAGGGCACCGGACTACGGGAGTATCTGGCTCCGCGGCTACGACGAGCACACACAGGAGCAACTGACCCACAGGCGACTGGCGAAGCAGGCTCGCTGGGCTACCGAAACGCGCGAGGGCATCCGGACTACTGGCGCTGCTGGCGTCACGACGGCTACCTCCACGCAACCTCCCCCGACCGTCCCACGCCCCTCTCACACACCCCCTGCTGACACCCTAGCTCCACTTCCACGGCACCCCCCTTAAACCCTAAACCCTCGGCTCCCACACATCCACCCCCCTCAGCGGCAGCTGCAGCAGTGGGAGACGGAGGAGGAGGAGGAGCAGGGGACGGCGCACACACACGGCACCCCCAGAGCTGCCACCCCCACACTCCGCACCCCCAAACCCTAAAAACGGGCGGAACGGGGGAAGGAGCGCGGGGGACGGCGAGGGGGACGGCGCTCGGCCCCCAGAACGCGACCACGGGGCAGCGAGGGGCCGCGCGCGGCTCCCCAGGGCGGCGCGACGGGAAATCGGGGCCGCGGGGGGTCGCGCGCGGCTCCCCAGGGCGGCACGACGGGAAATCGGGGCCGCGGGGGGTCGCGCGCGGCTCCCCAGGGCGGCACGACGGGAAATCGGGGCCGCGGGGGGTCGCGCGCGGCTCCCCAGGGCGGCACGACGGGAAATCGGGGCCGCGGGGGGTCGCGCGCGGCTCCCCAGGGCGGCACGACGGGAAAACGGGGCCGCGGGGGGTCGCGTGCGGCTCCCCAGGGCGACGGGATCGCGGGGCCGCGGGCGACGGGATCGGGGGGCCGCGGGCGACGGGATCGGGGGGCCGCGGGCGTCCCCCACGGTAGGAAACCGCCGCGCGCCTCGGGGCGCACGGCGGGGAGAAAACCGCCGCACGCCCCGAGCGCGCGGCGGGATGAAAATGTGAAGGTCGCGCGCCACGGGGCGCGCGACACAGAGTAGGGCAGCGGAAGCAGCAGTGGGGCCCACAGGCCAGGAGCGTGAACGCTCTGATACCATATCGAGATACTAGTGCGAAAGGTAGAACAGAGAAGAGGGTTTGTACTAGCAGCATGCAAGGTACATATAGGAAACCCTAATTTGGGTTGTACTCGCTATAGAGTACCCCACTGCAGGCTAGACAATTACAACATTCTGACACCCGTGCCTCTAAACTACCCTGGAAAAGCGGGGTGAACTAGGAAAGTAGCTCTGATACCAGGTGTTATGAGTTGTCAAACAGAGTTGCGCGGAATAACGAATAACGAGGCTGTGACTCAATGAAACTGACGATACAATGAAAGACATGCGATTATATAGCGAGGCAACCTAACTAGGCGGGAACCTCGGGAACACGAGGTTGAGTGCAGGTTGGGCAAAGGAAAGCCGAAGGCGACGCGAGGTTGCTTCGGCAGCAAGCAAAGCGGCCGAACGTGCACTTCCGAAAGTTGGGGTTGTACGCGGTTGAGTAAACCCCAGTAAGGAAAAAGGGTTTTTCCTTACAGAAACGATGTTGAGAGGTTATGGGAGCTTTGCAATGCCTTGTTATATTGAAGGGAAAATATGTCAATGGTAACTTACATGGGGCACTAAAACGCGTACGGTAACGATTTCAACGCGTTTGGTAACTCGCTTAACGCGTTTGGTAACCTGCTTAACACGTTTGGTAACTCGTTTAACACATTTGGTAACTCTACACTAGCAGCCCATCACGCGAATGGTAACTACATGAAATTCCCACCGAAATTGAGCCTGATTCTGGTTTTTCCCGCTCGCGTCAGAATAAATTGACAAATCCTGAAGCAGAAAATTATGTCACACTCTCCGAAATTCTGACACAAAGTTCCGAAATTCTGACACACTTTCCGAAATCCTGACACACTTTCCGATTTTCAGGCAAATTATAAAAACGTAAGTTTTGTGAAAACAGCTTTTCTTACATAAATGTTTCTGGCGCACTTTCCGCAAACTGTTTGTACTTTATTCTATCGTGCAGCCGGGGCAAACAAATCTATATCCCTTTCAGATGGCAAATAAATTTGAGAGCAACAACCTTAAACTTCTTGCGACCAGGCGTTTATGGATCTTTATTTAAAAAAAAAATGAAAGATGTAATTTTAAAAATGTTTTTTTTTTCACATGAAAAAATCTTCCAACGTTGCAGTATTAAAAAAAAAAAGTAAACTTCCCTATGTCCTTTCGGGAATAGTTTTTTATATCGTTTTGCAAGTTCGCAATCATGCTATCAAAATATGATGTTATCCATTTTTGTACGAGCTACATAATTATATATAAATTCTGAACTTTTCGGTCCGTGGTAATAGAACAAACGGGGTCCTTAATTTTCGTGGCGGGACGCGTTCAAGAAAGATAATGATGTGCGTAAAAGCTCTCAAACTCGATAAATTCCTTATTTTCAGGAAGATTTCGGCGGGAATTTCATGTAGTTACCATTCGCGTGATGGGCTGCTAGTGTAGAGTTACCAAATGTGTTAAGCGAGTTACCAAACGTGTTAAGCGAGTTACCAAACGCGTTAAGCGAGTTACCAAACGCGTTGAAATCGTTACCGTACGCGTTAATGTGCCCCATGTAAGTTACCAGTGACATATTTTCCCTATATTGAACACAGAATGTTCAAGGCCGGTTTTCCCAAGTAGGGCCAAGGTATGGAGGAGTTCCACATGAGCAAAGTTCATCTCAATCTCCTATTCTTGTTTTGATTGGTGTGGCGATTGCGTGTTCCACGCGTGGGTCCTTGGTTGGCGCATGTACGTGTTTCGCCACATGCCGTGAGTTGCTTGGGTTGGGTTGGTGGACTTCAAATTCAGATCGCGGTCCTGGGGTGTCCAGGACACCCGAACTCAAGACACTCCGCACGTTGGTACCACGTGCTGGCAACATGCCCACCCACACGCACGTCGCAGGGCTGCCACTGTACACTCCTGCGACATTTTTGACGACCCTATTTCCGAAGTGTAGTCGGGACAACGTGGACCCGTTCTATCGCGCGCGAATTACATCGGTACACGAGTACAGGTTTACAGAACACGTGGCATCCCCCAGCGACGAGGGGCACGCGCTGCCTACCTCAAAAGGGTCACTTTTCAGGTCCATGTCCCAGGACACCCCAGGACCGTGACCAATTGGTTTCACACTGTACACGTACTCCAAATGCTGTACCAGCGGTTGAACATCCATTGGTGATTTTTGGTCCGGCTGGCTCCGTCATCAGCGATCATGCTCGATTTGTCATGAAATAGAAAATAACTGTGTCCACGTTCGTCACGGCGTTCCAAGCTCGGTTCGGAACAGTTATTCCGCTACATCCAACTAGGTTGTTCGGTTTCTCGCCCCTCTCCTATGCACCCGGAAATGTTTAGGATCAGAGACTTTGACCAATCGTCCCCCTCAAATCTGGAGCAACCCAGAAAACACGCCATACTGCAGTCCCCATCCACAGAAGGTAGCTGTGCAGAACCAAGTGGTTCTGGAAACTTCACGTTTTTCGGTGTAAGATGGATGTAGTGCTCTTTTCATGTGAATTGTGTCCAGCGGTATCGAGAATTTTCTTGTTTTGTGTTGCAGGGACCTCACATAAAAAAACGACAACGACGTCACCTACGGGCTTGAAAGAACAAGCCTCACAAATCCGGCAGAAATTAATGCTGGCATCATTACTGTAGGGGGAATCAGATGGAACAACACCTTGTTCTCGATAATTGCACACCCCCTACTCCTTTTTTCCTGGGTACCCTTCTCGATCTTTGACTTGATGCGACGGACGCCCAGAAATTGAGGGACTATTAGTAAACAACGAAATTGACGGAATCCTAGAAAGAAGCTCGCACTTAATGGTTGTGTGCAGGCCTACAGTTCGCGAGTACGTCGGATCCTCTTCCGCGGTTTTCAACTTCTGTTGGAAACACCCTACGAAAATGATGGACATAGGGTAAATACCCCAGGATGTGCAATTAACCCCTGTGAAATAATCGAGAACAGGATGAAATGGCACAGGTGGAACAAATGGTTCCAAAATGCCACACCGTTCAAAACAAAAGGAAAACCCATTCAGATCATATACCTCTGCATAGTTATGAACTTAAGGTTTACATTTCCAGAATATACTAGAGGTGATAGACACCCCTTATGACTTATGCAACTATAGGTGTCTTTATCTGCAGGCTCAAAGTATCTGATGTTATAAACGCAAATGCCATGTATCATAAAGTCAAATACCTTAAAATATAAAAAGAACTATATATAATACACATCTCAATGGACGTGAAATACATTAGCTTAATTCTGCAACTTCTTGCACATATCAGAAAAATAAGTCCTCGTTTTTTCCATTTCAACCCCTCTTCCACCGCACTCCCCTCCCCAACATACACTTATTGACAAACAAGAAGAGAAGAAAATGCCTCATAAAAGGCAAGAAATATAATACAAGCTAGTTACCCCTGGCGCTTATTCCCTATGCTCCCCATTATCCATAAAAAACCTCTCTAGCTCATCAATTGTGTAGGTTCCAGCACCTGGGATGATTGCCCCCACATGCCCCAACTCCCCATCCCCTGAATACAACAACCCCCCTGCATTTATAGCCTGCCCCCCAACCTCCATACCCAAACCTATTGCACCTGCATCATTAGCCATGAACGGGGCAGTAGGGGCATGATTCTCGAAACTATGATAAGGCACTCCTTCGATGTTAGGAGATAGGGAGGTGACGCTCCAGGGAGAAAACGCAGAGTGTCCAGCATCTCTTAGGAGCGCCAACTGATCCGCTGAGATCTGGGGCAGAGGAAGAGTCAAGTCTGCCATGATATGATGCTGCAAATCCAGCTGGTCAGCACTAGGCTGAGCAGCATGCAGCTGGTCAGCACTAGGATGGGCAGTAGCACCAGCATCATACGCAGGCGTGAGGCCCTCTGTTGCAGACTCCTGTATTACAACGTCTCCTCCACTGCTGCGAGCACCACCTGTCCCATAGCCATTAATGTTCTTAGAGGCATCATGCTCTAAGGAATCAACACCGCGCTTCTCTGTGTTGCTGTGTCCATGCAAGCTGGCGGTACGATCGAAATTTGAGGGTGGATACACAGGGGGGAGAAGGGCACTGTGCGAGTGGGAGACTGCAACCTCAACACCAGCTCTGCGAGCAGCAACAGGAGCAGCGCCAACAGCAGTGGTGACACCAGCTACACCAGCAACAGGTGCAATACCAGCAGCGCCACCAGCAACACCGGCAGCAGGCTTAATGGTAAAATCCACGCCATTCCCACTACCCACATTGCCAGCTGCAGCAGCTACACCATCCATAGGACCAACAGCACCCATACCACCAGCAACACCAGCACCAATTGCACCACTCACACCACCCACTCCACCAATGTTGCCCACACCGAGCTGGGAACCAGGGGTTGAAGAACGGATGACTGGTGGTTCCAGTGGGGAAGAGACACTGTGGCTTCGGAATAAAAGAGACGCAGGTTCGGAACGAGGGTTGGAATGAATCTGGGGTGGAGGCTCGGACCAAGGGGGGCCGGAAATCATGGAATCCATGTCGTCACTTTCCGGGTACGCAGTGTGGCTTGTAAACACCTGTTGCTCCCTCCACTCTTCCACGGGAAGAGCTTCACGTATGATGCCTGCAGAAGCACACCGTGTGGGTGCCTTGCCGCTCCTGCGAGCCTTCAAGTTGAGGGAGTTGCGCCGTCGGAAGCTTGATGAACTGAGCTGCTGCTGCTGCTGCTGCTGCTGCTGCTGCTGCTGCTGCTGCTGCTGCTGCTGCTGCTGCTGGCTCTCATGATGCCGTGGCACGTGCGGATTCATAACAACTGAAGATCTGCGGGACATGGTAAATGCGTACCGCATGCCAGGATCATGCCTCCGAAGCGACCCAAACGGGGACGTCATGGCAAACGCATGTTGCATCAAGTCATCATGCCAACGTGGAGACATGCTTGGAGCTGGGAGTGCCTCCATACCTCCACTGCCACCTCCATGCTTCCATACCTCTACTGCCTCCTCTGCTTGTTGGAGAGAGCCACCATGCTCGCCATGCGTCATCACACCCCCAGCCACTTCCACACTGAACCCCCATGCGACCGCTGGTGGTTCGCTTGATGCCGGTGCAATGAAGCGTCCCGGGACTGGCATTCCTGCTGTTTGCTCCCAAGCTAGCACACGTTGCCCTGCTGCCAATGTTTGTTCACCTATCGCTGCATGTTGCCCTGCTCTTTGCTGCCTGGACAACGCATTCTGCCCTGCCTGTCCCCCTGTCAGTGCGTGCTGCGCTGCTGCTAAAGCCTGCTGCCCGGCTGCCAGTACTGGGAGCCCCACTGTATGACCGGAAGGACCCCCTGTTGCTGCACCTACCACCAAGCCTTCCCCTCGGCCCACTCGACCCTGTTGACCCTGTTGACTCGATTGTGCCTGTTGTCCCTGCTGGCCCTGTGGACCCCATTGACCCCATTGACCCCGTTGACCCTGTTGACCCTGTTGAACCTGTTGACCTAGGTAGTGCAATTGGGAAAAGGATGGACCCAATGCTGCAGACATGGCTCCTTGTACTGGCATGGTCTGTTGGCTTGGCTGCGGCGTTGCCATCATGTTCATACCAGGACCATTTTCGGGCTCAGAGATAGTGTGGCCTCCCTGCTGCCCCTCCATCCCTCCGCCTCTCTGCTCCGGCAACCCTTGATTCAGGCAGCTGCTTTCGTGAGCTTGATCCCTGGTGAGAGGCAGCTGGTAGTGCTGATGATAAGATGCCAACTGTTGAGGCGCCTCAAAGGTAGACAAACGGCTGCTTTCGTGAGCTGCTTCCTTGGTGCTAGGCAGTTGGTAGTAGTGCTGATCAGATGCGATACCTATCGGGATGGCCCCCGTTCCCACCATCATTTTCACCCCATTGTCATGGGAAACCGTTTTCACAAGGCCAGCCAAATGCTCACCCATTCCCGTCTTCGTCTCCATCGCACCCTCCTCCTCCTCCACCGCCCCCTCCTCCTCCTCCATCGCCCCTTCCCCGTCGCTAGTTTCTCTGCTTCCACTGCTTTCTTCCCCTGGAGACGCCTCCCATTCTTCCACTGCCTCCTTGCCTTTCGCAGGACCAACCCCATTCCCTCCATCCCCTTTGGTTTCTTCCACCCCCCCAGCTGCTGAGCAAACTTCGCTGCTAGTTCAGAGAACAACTCCCTCTCTCCTTCCGTCAAGCCCTCAAGTCCCACCTCCTCCAGTCCCAACCCTCCATCCCTTTCCGGATCTGATCCCAACGCATTGAATCCCAGCAACCCCTGGCCAGCTACCATGGCACTTGGCAGGTTCTCCGGTTGATCCAAGTGCCGATTCATTGCGCCACTAGTAGTAAACAGTTGGTTGCCCTCCTGAAGATGACCGCTGGTGGGTGCAGCTTCAGAGGCTGACATGTCAACAAAGGTGGATGGGAGGGCAGCGACAGAGGCAGAGGAAGCAGTGGCAGAATTTGCAGAGGTGGAAGGGGCGGAGGAGGAGGAAGGGGCAGCTAAGCTTGAGCTACTACCGCTTACGGTGGAGCTTCTTTCGGGAATGTATACTCCTGCTTTGCTCCTGCTATCACTGCCTGCTGATGTTTCTGCTGCGAATCCAACTACTCCTTCTCTTCCTGTTCTTCCTCCAGCTCCTGCACCTCCCCTTCCTCCCCCTCTCCCTCCTCCTCCTCCCCGTCCCATACCTGCAGCTGGTACCAGCGATGTTCCAGCTGCCCCACTTGTTCCCACTTCAGACAACCTTTGTGGCGCCGAGAGGTTTCTTGCTACCAACCTACTCGTTCCCTCCCCAAACGGCCTTTGAGGTGTCGCAAATGTCACTGCTCCGTCTCTAATCATTCTCTCTGCCTGCCGTGGATTCTGACCCGCCGCCTCTCCCATCAATCTCCCTTCCGCAAAATCTTCACTATATCCTACCTCCTTCCCATTCCCTTCCCCGCTCCTGTTACTCCTGCCCTCCCTAACCTGCCTTACTGCCCCATGTGTCAGCTCTCCCACACCCATTCCTCCACCATCCACCCCTGCATCCCTTCCTGCTGCTTCCATCCTAGCCGCTGCTCCTCCTACTAGCGCTACAGGATCCGAACCTACTACCCCTCCTCTTTTCTGTATATGCCTCCTTGGGAAGTTAAGCTTCGCCTTTGACCCTCTGATACTCAAAGCGGCTTCGTCAAATGCACGAGCGGCCTCCTCAGCAGAAGGGAATGTGCCCAGCCACCTGCGGAACCCACCCTTGGTGTCTTTAATCTCTGCAATGTAACGAGAATCCCCGCGCTTCCTTACTCCCCGGTACTGGCCTGGCTGGTTGTAGTTGCGGCTGCTGCGTGCCATTATAGTGCGCCTGGTTAAACTCCCTGGTGGTCCTGATGGATTTGACGGCCCTGATGGCCCTGATGGCCCTGATTTCTCTGATGGCCCTGATTGCCCTGCATCAGCAGCAGCTTCACCTTGTTCCAGTGCTTGCGACAAGTGCGGCTGTAGCAGCGGCTGTAGCTGCAAGGAGAGCTGCTGGATCCGGTGTGGTGGTAGCTGCTCTGACTCAGCCTGTAGCTCTGACTGTGACTGTAGCTGTGGCTGTGACTGTAGCTCTGGCTGAGCCTGTAGCTGTGGCTGTAGCTGAGCCTGTAGCCGAGCTTGTAGCTGAGCCTCAGGCTGTAGCGGTGGCTGTGGCTGTGGCTGTTGTGGTGCCGTTGTATAGGCCCGTGCTGCAAGCTGCAGCATCTGTTGTTGCATCTGCTGTTGTTCCGTGTGGTGTTGTTGCATCTGCTGTTGTTCCGTGTGCTGTTGTTGCATCTGCTGTTGTTGGTGTTGTTGCATCCGCTGTTGTTGCTGTGGTTGCATCTGCTGATCTTGCATCTGCTGCTGTGGCATCTGCTGCTGTGGAATCTGCCGCTGTGACATCTGTTGCTCTCGTACCTGTTGTTGCATCTGCTGCTGTTGCATCCTCTATTTTGGAATCTGCTGTTCTGGAATGGCATCTGCTGCTGTGTCACCTATTGGATCATCCAAGGTATGCTACCTCTGCATGCTAATCGAGGACCAAAAATATGGAGAATGAGGCGACTACTAAAATTTCAGAAGGTTCCCCAAGAGGGGTAGTTTTGATGCGCCAGAAGAGAAAAGTGCTTAACTTTTCATCGGAGGAGGCAGATGAAGCTGCTGCTGAGTCCGTGCAACACAGGCTGTCAATAAATCAGGGCATGGCAATTGCAAGTTTGAAGCAATTGCAAGTTTTAGGCAGTCTACTGGTAATGGCGCCAGTGAGCGAGCCTAGTGGTAATGGCGCCAGTTTGAAACTGTTCAACTGGCAAGTTGCCAACCCCGGCAACCCGCACGAGGAGCTATTTTCTACTAGATAGCGTGCTTTGTGGTGAGATGGCTTCTGTATAGTATCATGAGAAGCCAACTTCTGAGTAAGAAGTTCTGACAGCAGTTTTGCACAACTGGTTGCATTGCCAGAGTGAAATGGGTTGCTGCACATTCTGGCCTCTGGTTTTGTGGGCTTCTGGTCTGGGTTGGGAGGAGAGATCTGGGGAAATATCTGCTGTTTTCCCATTGGTTCGAAATTGAACTGTACTTTTCCCTTCCCCGTCACGGGCACGGTTCAGGGTTTCAGATGCACAGTGCTTGTCACTCCCACTCATTCAGTACCCGTCACGCCGACGGCTTAGGGTTTCAGATTAGAGCGGACTGTACAGTACAAGCGAAAAAGAAACATTTTGATCAGCACATTCTCTTTTATTCGAAGTGTGCAGAACACATCTTGCATGGATGTGATTACTACGAAGGGCTTCGTGGGACTCCCCTCTCGTGTATTCTATTGGTTGGCCTTCGCGACGGGCTTGATTTGGCCGCGTGTATCGCGCGTTCCACTTGGTTTGGCGATACCGCATACGTGGCAGGATTTCAATGGAGCTCGGAAAGTCGTTCACTTGTTTGAAACCGCGGAGGTTGGAGAATTTGAGGAAGTTGAGGAGCAAATGAAGCATCGTGTCGTGACGTGGAAGGAAACATTTTCACACGACAAATGTCGATCTAGCCCGATTCGAACTGGCATTGTCACATCTTACAAGACTTTCGTTTTTTACCTAAAACACAATAAACCATTTGATGAACATAACCATTCATACAGTACTTCTAATAAATACTAAGCAAAGAACCATGACGAATAATATCTCGATTACAGGACAAGGCAAGACATATTTCTTCATTGCCAATTCAAATAACCGAGAATATGTCCATACGCAACGCATAATCATCTATGGCATGGCTATCACGTTAGGATGGGCCATGACGACTCACCTCCCGCTCTACTGTGCTCCTCTGCCCCTCCACCTCTGCTCCTTCTCCTCTTTCGCCCCTCCTTTGCCCCTCAGTGTCATCCTTAACTTTTTTTTCTTTTTTTTTTTTTTTTTTTACAAATGGGGTGTGTGGTATGATGGGATGATAATACATTAGTTGGATATGGCCATGGTTATACGATGAAATAAGCATGGGTCATGGTGGCATGATGGCATGGTGTTACGATGCATGATAACATGAAATTTTTGCTTCATCACATACATCGACATGCCGAGATATTGCCGATATGCAGGCAACAAGTGTTGGAGCAACATGGCAGGGACGAATCATTGTATTAGTCTGTGCCACCAGATGCAATCCCATTCACCCACTCCACTTACCAAAAACAGCAGTTATTAACTTCATGCATTCTCGCGTGGCCATCATTCCTTCCCTGTTATCACACACACATACAATCACACTCACTCACACAGACACACACGCACACACACACACACACACACACACATACACACATACATACAGACACATACATACACGCACACACACATGCACACACACGCGCGTGAACGCGCACACGCACACACATACACACACACACAGACACACACACACATCACACTAGCGAGCGCGCGCGCTCGCGCGCGCGCACACACAAACGCACGCACGCACGCACACACACACACACACACACACACACACACACACACACACACACATGCATGCATAAGCATAGACTCTTTTTTAAAATCAACAATAAAAGAAGTAATGAATATAAATATGAACTAAATACATGAGAAGCACCCATTTCTATTCCATATGCTCCCCATTATCCATCAAGAACCTCTCAAGCGCATCAATGGTGTAGGTTCCTACACCAGGGGCAGGTGATGTTTCATTCCCAAACCCCCCTGTATGCGACACATCTCCTGCATAAATCCCCTCTCCTTCAACCTCCAATCCTACTCCGGTGACTCCCAACTGCTCCATCAAAGGGGCCGCACTGATATGATTCTCGAAGCTGCGATAGGCTGCCCCCTGGATGCGAGAAGATGGGGAGGTGATACCCCAGGCACCAAGTGCAGAGTGTTCCGTGTCCCTTAGAAGCAACAGGTTGGCTGAGGGCTGAGTAAGAGAATTGAGATCAGCAGTAGGCTGGTCAGTAGCACCAGCATTGTATGCAGGCATGAAGCCCTCTTTTGCAGGTTCTTGCATTTCGACATCTCCTCCACTGCTGCCAGCACCGCCATTTTCGGAGATGTTGATGTTCTGAGGGCCACCATGCTCCAAGGTATCATGCTGTGATGCATCAGCCCCACAATTCTCTGTGTTGCAGCGTTCATGCAAGCTGGGTGTTCCGTTGAAGTTGGTTGGTGAAGTGGCGGGGGAAGGAGGGCGGTGCGAGTGGGAGAGTGCAGCTTCAGCCCCAGCGTTCCTAGCAGCGATAGAAGCAACATCATTAGCAACACCGGGACAGGATGTCAAAGCAGAGGTGAGAGTGGTAGGTGTTATGGGGGGAGTGGACTGACTGCGGAAAGGCAGATGACACTGGAAGGGAGTGAGCTGCTCGTGATGCTGAAGCAGCAGTTGCAGCTCTGCTGTTGCTGCTGCTGCTGCTGCTGCTGCTGCTGCTGCTGCTGCTGCTGCTGCTGCTGCTGCTGCTGCTGCTGCTGCTTCTGCTGCGCCATCTGTCTTCTATCCATCAACAACCTCTGCTGCCCCCCTTCTCCAGACCTCCTGGAGCGCATCGAAGGCTGCTTCTCCAGTCGTTTGTGCAGCTCTTGAGCATACTTGCTGGCTGGGATTATTGGCTGGAATAGTGAAGCACGCAGCAGTTGCCTGTCCAGCTGTCCAGCTCCCATTGGTCTCTGTTCATGGGACTGGGATCGCCTCACCCTGTGCAGACGGATGGTTGACTTCGGTTCGAAAGAGATGGGTGGGGAGGATGCCAACGCAGACACATCAACCCCAGCAGCAATACCAGAGAAACCTGCATCACCAGCAGCAATACCAGAGACACCCGCATCACCAGCAGCAATACCAGAGACACCCGCATCACCAGCAGCAATACCAGAGACACCCTCATCACCGGCCACACCAGGCACACCCCCAACAGGTGCAACACCATCAGCGTCACCAGCATCACCGGCAGCAGCCTTCACGGAAAAATCCTTGCCTTTCTCTCTACCCATGTTGAAATCTGCAGCAGCTACACCATACATTGGACCAACAACACCCATACCACCAGCAACACCAGCACCACTTGTACCACTCACACCACCTGTGTTTCCCACACAGGGCTGGGACTCTGGGGTTGAAGAACTGACTACCGGTGGCGCCAGCGGGAAAGATACAGTGTGCCTACGGAGCACCGGAGGTACAGGTTTGGAAGGAGGTTTGGAATCAGGCTTGGGTTGAGGCTCGGTCCAAGGGCTGTAAAGATGAGAATCAATGTTGTCTTTTTCAAAGTCTGGGGTGTCGCTTGTAAACATCTGCTGCTCCCTCCACCCTTCCACGGGTAATGCTTCATGTACTATGTCTGGAGACGCACTCCGTGCAGCTGCCTTTCCCCTCCTGCCAGTGTTGAGATTGAGAGACTTGCGTCTCGGGAAGCTCGATGCACGCCGCTGCAGCTGCTGCTGCTGCTGCTGCTGTTGCTCCCCATGTTGCTGCTCATGCCGCTGCCCCTGCAGTTCCTCCTGTCCCATCTGCTGCGGCTGCCACTGTTGCTGCTGGCTCTGGTCATGCTGATGCGGAATCACAACAACTGAAGACCTGCGGGACATGGTAAAACCATACCTTGCGCTCATATCAGGCCCTGGAAACGGCCCAAAAGGAGACATCATGGCATGTGCATAGTGCATCGTCTCAGCATGCCAACTAGAAGGCAGGCCTGAAGCTGATCCTGCTATCATGTTGGGTACCTTTATCTCCTCTCTTGCTCCTTGCAGGGAACCATCCTCACCAGGCGTGACAAATCCCCCGGACACTTCGACACTGAAACCCCATGAAACGGCTTGTCGTGCGCTTGGGACTGGCAGCCCTGCTGTTTGCGGCCTAGCCAACGCTTGCTGCACTGCCAACACCTGCTCCCCTGTTACTGCATCCTGCCCTGCCGCTAGTGCTGAGATTCCTACTGAAGTATGAATTGGCTCCACACCTAGACGACCGGACGGACCGGCTACAGCCACATCTGCCGCCACACTGTCATCGTCACCCTGCTTGCCCCATCGTCCCTGTTGCTTTCCTTGGCTCAGACGACTACTTTCGCGAGCCGAATCCTTGGCGCCATGCAGCTGGTAGTGCTGACCAGATGCCCCCATTCCCGTCATCATTGATGCCCTAATTTCACGAGAAGCATGACCTACCAAGCACTCGTCTATTCCCATCCCCGTCTCCATCGCACCCTCCTCCATCGCACCCTCCTCCACCATCGCACTGCCCTCCTCCATTGCCCGTTCCCCGTCTGAAGTCTCTCTGCTTCCACTGCTTTCTTCCTCTGATCTCATCTCTCTTACTTGCACTCCCTCCGTGCCTTTTGAAGCACCAACCCCACTCTCTCCAGCCCCATCCGTCTCATCAATTGCCCCCAGCTGCTGAGCAAGCTGCTCTGCAAGTAAAGAGCTCCACTCCTCCTCACCGTCTTCCAAACCCTCAAAATCCATCTCCTCAAATTTCATATCCTCAAGCCCGTTCAGGTCTGCTCCCAGTGCGTCCAATCCCAACATCCCCAGTCCAGTTATCATCCCACTAGGCATCTCCTCCGGTGGGACTGAGTGGCAATTCAGGGTGGCACCAGTATACATTGGGTTGCGGCATTCTGAGGTGTGAGTGGGGAGAGTGGCATGGATATGAATGCTGCTGGTGAGTGCAGCTTCCGGGATTGAAACATCAACAAAGGTGGATGGGACGGCAGAGACGGAGGAGGAGGAGGCAGAGGCAGAATAGGCAGAGGTGGAAGGGGCGGAGGAGGAGGAAGGAGCAGCTAAGCTCGAGCTACTACCGCTTACAGTGGAACTTCTTTTGGGGATGTGTGCTCCTCCTTCTTTGCTCCTACTATCACTGCCTGCTGATGCTTCTGCTGCTAGTAATACGTCTCCTCCTCCTCCTCCTCCTCCTCCTCCTCCTCCTCCTCCTCCTCCTCCTCCTCCTCCTCCTCCTCCTCCTCCTCCTCCTCCTCCTCCTCCCCCCCCTCCTCCTCCGCGTCCTCTTCCTCCTCTTCCTCCCCCTCCCCTCCCACGTCCTCTTCCTCGTACTCTTCCTCTTCCTCTTCCGCCTTCTCCTCCTCCGCCTTCCCCTCCTACCAGTGCAGATGAATATCGCCCCAGAGCCACTGATCCTGCACCTGCATCGTCTATTGACTCTGTCACAGCCCTACTTGTTCCCTCTCCAAACAGCCTCCGAGGCACCGCAAAGCTCGCCGCCGCTTCACTACTTGATCCCTCTCCAAACGGCCTGTGACGCACCGCAAAGGCCCCTTTTAATTCTCCAGGTCTTCCCTCTCTCTGCATTGTCTGACCCACACCTTCTCCCACCAGTCCCCCTGCTGCAGTATCTTCAGCATATCCTAGTACCTCCTTCCCTTTCCCTCCGCAGCTCCTGACACTACTGCCCTCCCTAACCTGCGTTACCACCCCACCTGTTTGCACTCCCATGCCAGTCTCTCCGCCAACCTGCCCTGCAACCTCTCCTTCTGTTTCCATTTTGATCGCTGCACCCAATGAGGCTGCAGAATCCGAGCCCAGTACTATTACCCCTCCCTCTTTCTGAAAATACCGTCCAGGGAAGTTAAGCTTCGCCTTTGCTCCTCGGATGTTCATAGCAGCTTCATCAAACGCCCTAGCAGCGTCCTCTGCAGAACGGAACGTGCCCAACCACCTGCGGACCCCGCTAGAGGTGTCTTTAATCTCTGCAATGTACCGAAATTCCCCTCGCTTCCTCACTCCCCGGTACCGGCCTGGCTGGTTGTAGTTTTTGCTGCGTGTCATTCTGGTGCGCCTGGCTTCACGCCTTGATGTCCCTGCACCAGTGGCAGCCTCACCTTGTTCCAGTGCTTGCGACAAGTGCGGCTGTAGCAGCGGCTGTAGCTGTGAAGAGAGCTGCTGTATCCGTTGTCGTGGTAGCTGCTCTGACTGAGCCTGTAGCTCTGACTGTGACAGCTGTGGCTGTGACTGTGGTTGTGGTTGTAGCTGTTGTGGCTGTTGCAACAGCGATGCATGGGACCGTGATGCAAGCTGTTGTGGCATCTGCTGCTGTGCCATCTGTTGCTGTGGCATCTGCTGCTGTGGAGTCTGATGCTGTGACATCTGCTGCTGTGGCGTCTGTTGCTGTGACATCTGCTGCTGTGACATCTGCTGCTGTGGCATCTGCTGTTGCTGTTGAACCTGCTGCTGTGGTCTCTGCTGCAGCATCATCTGTTGTTGTGGCATCTGCTGCTGTGCCATCTGTTGCTGTGGCATCTGCTGCTGTGGAGTCTGCTGCTGTGACATCTGCTGCTGTGGCATCTGCTGCTGTGGCATCTGCTGCTGTGGCATCTGCTGCTGTGGCATCTGCTGCTTTTGAACCTGCTGTGGTCTCTGCTGCAGCATCATCTGTTGTTGTAACATCTGCTGCCGTGATATCTGCTGCTCTGGAATCTGCTCTGGTTGCATCTGCTGTTGCTGCATCTACAACTATTGCATCTGTTAGGAGTCCCTGGTTATCCAACCTATATTTTCAGGAGGTCTCCCGGAAAACGGAGGCTTCAACTAAGTCAGAACTGAAGAAATACTGATGCGACTTCTACTAGTAATACTGCTACTAATATTAATGAAAGTATTCTTGAATTTTAGCATTTAAAATTGGGTGGGATCTAGGAATGAAGCTTGCAAGTTGAAGCAATGCAGTCTCCGTTTTGGCGCCATTGGTTAATCGCCGGACTGTCGCCACCACAGGGAGCGGCTCGCAGTCACGGTGTGCCCTGTGCTCGAGCTGGATATCGTAATAACTATGAGTCGCCTACTACTGCTACTATCGGACTTTTGTGCAGCTGGCTGCTGACAAGTTAGAAAGAAAAATTGGGTTGCTGCATACACAATTTCAACTTCATCTATTGCTCAACTCAAAATGAGCTGGTTTTGTGCTTCTGGTTCACAGTGCCTCACTTTGTTGGGGGGAGGTGTGGTGGAACGACTGGCGGTGGACAAGCGCAAGTTGTCAGCCAATCCTGTCGGTTGAATCCGTTCTTTGTCTTCTCCGTCACGCGCACGCTTCAGGGTTTAAAGCCGGGGTGCAACTATCTTAGGAACAGTGACAAACCGTTTTTTGTCTGTTCCGTACTGGTCGTCAATTGGCTAGCGAATGTGTAAGTTCTGTTGCGATGAAAACAACTAAGGCGAATGTCGCGAACCTCAAAAGGAAAAGTGGGGGGAAGGGGTGGGGGGAAGGAAAGGGGGGAGGGGAACACATACGAAACGAGAAATGGAACCACGTCAACACACCCATACCCCCTTTTGCTGATTGTTCTAGTCTGCCAATAACACCTACACATTGCAAAATGTGAAACCTTATCTGTCAAAAAAGCTGAGCAGAATACTATTTTCACTTACGAGGTTTATTTCTCCGTACACTTGCAAGAGTAATTTTTTTAGTGGGGAGAAAATTCATCAACTGTTTATATATGCAATCCTTGGAATGTCATCCTGAAGGAGATACTATGCAAAGCATAGCAGGCAAACAACATGGCATCATCCAAAGAGAGCCAATTTTTACACTCCGATCCACTATTGGTGCAGCTGTCCATTTACAGGAAGGAGGGGGGAGGGGTAGGAAAGAAGGGGGGGGAGGGGAGGGGGGGACAGAGGAGGAGGGAAGGACACGTTGCGTATAATTGAAGAATGTTAGGTAGGGAAAGTGAAGGGAGCATGGACATTGAGATATGAAAGACATGGGGCAGTGGCCAAGCAAAGCTGGTGCTGTCGGCTGGGCTGGACGAGAGAACGTAGTGGACAGGGAAGGGACGAGAGGCGAGGGACAGGGGACGGGGGAAAGGGATGGCTGAGAGAAGGGTGAATGTGGGAGGGGACAATAGGAAAGGGAAGGGATGTAAGAGAGGGGGAGGAAGAGTGGGAGGGGACAGTAGGAGAGGGAAGGGATGAGAGAGAGGGGGAGGAATGGTGGGAGGGAAGGACAGGGGGAAACGGAGAGAAGGACAGGGGGAAAGAGAGAGAAGGGCAGGGGGAAAGGAAGAGAAGGACAGGGGGAAAGAGAGAGGACAGGGGGAAAGGGGGAGAAGAGAAGGGGGGAAAGGAAGGGAAGGACAGGGTGAAACGGGGAGAAGGGAAGGGAGCGAAAGACAGGGGGGAAAGGAGAGAAGGACGGTTGGGAGGGAAGGGGAGAGACTGAAAGGGAAGGCACAGGAGGGGGAAAGGGAATGGGGAATCGGGACGGCGAGAGTGGGATGAGAAAGAATGACGACCTTCATTCAATCAGGGCCTGGAGCACGACGCTGCGCGCTCCCGCCTTGCTCGCACTCGCTGCTGCTCGCCACCGTCGCGCGCGCAACTAGCCGTCGCATCTACGAGGTTTCAACCTCGTACTTGCCTTAGCCAATGCAACCCGGGCAGTGGGAGAGGGAGAGGGTGGAGCGCTGTTTAGGGGGAGAATGGAGCAGCATTGGGAAAGGGGGAGGGATGAGAAGGGAAGAGGGATCGGAAAGGGAACAGAGGGACACGATGCGTTTTAGGGAAGATTATTTGATAGGGAAATTGAAGGGAGGGTGACGGGGAAGCAGGATGGAAACTGAGGTAGCGAAGCCGGTGCTGTGGGCTGGGATGGACGCGGGGATGTAGTGGAAAGGGAAGGGACGGGAGTGGGGAAAGGGGTGGGACAGGAGAGGGGGGAAAGGGATGCCGAGAGAAGTAACAATGGTGGGACGGGATGGTAGGAAAGGGAAGGGATGGGAGAGAGGGGATGGGATGCTGGGGAGGGAAGGACAGGGGGAAAGGGAGAGGAGGACAGAGAAAAGGGAGAGATGGATAGGGGGAATGAGAGAGAAGGACAGGGGGAAAGGTGGAGAAGGATAGGGGGAAAGGAAAAGAAGGACAGGAGAAAAGGAAGAGAAGGACAGGGGGAAAGAGAGAGAAGGAGAGGAGGAAAGGAAAAGAAGGACAGGGGGAAAGGAAGAGAAGGATAGGGGGAAAGAGAGAGAAGAACAGGGGGAAAGAAAAAGAAGGATAGGGGGAAAGGGGGAGAAGGACAGGGGGACAACGAGAGAATGATAGGGGCAAGGGAGAGAAACAGCAGTGGGGTTGGAGAGTTGCAAAGTGGAGTGACGATGAAAAGGGGAGAGACTGGAGTGGCGGAAAGGGAAGGCATGGGAGTGGGGAAGGGGAGGGAGAATTGGGAGGATCGACGAGAGAGAGAGGGGAAGAGAGACAGAGAGAGAGAGAGAGAGAGAGAGAGAGAGAGAGAGAGAGAGAGAGAGAGAGAGAGAGAGAGAGAGAGAGAGAGAGAGAGACGAAATAGAAGGGTGGGTACCCTAAATTCCTTGTGACGGTGGGGTGGGAATATGAGGGAAGAAAGGGCGTAACGGGGACGAGAATGAAGGAAAGGAGGGACGGCTGGAGGGGGGACAGGCCGACGACGGGGCGGGGGCTGGTCCATGATGCTGCTCGCTCCCATTTCGTCGGCCACTTGCCACCGCTCGCCACTGTCGAACCGATGCGTCGCCCCGCTGCTCGCAACAGTCTCCCCGCAGCTCGCTACCGTCGCCTCGCTGCTAGCTACCGTCGCCTCGCTGCTAGCTACCGTCGCCTCGCTGCTAGCTACCGTCGCCTCGCTGCTAGCTACCGTCGCCTCGCTGCTAGCTACCGTCGCCTCGCTGCTAGCTACCGTCGCCTCGCTGCTAGCTACCGTCGCCTCGCTGCTAGCAGCCGTCGCCTCGCTGCTACCTTCGCGCCTTCGCTACCGCAGATACGTGAGGAATGGAGGGACGGGAGAGGGAAAACAGAAGGACGGCAGCGGAAGAAAACGAGAGCAATGCGCTTCGGGTACGAAAAAAAAAGGTGTTTACGAGGTACGATATAGCACAGAATTTCGATTGCACATCAAGAGAAGATGCAGGGCGATTAATCTGAGCCAAATGGCTTTGCGGAGCTCTAAAAACGCACTTCAAGTACTACTTAGTAGCTAGGAACCTAGTTCAAGCGTGAGAGTTTGAGCTGTTTTGAGTTCAAGTTTGAATTTTCAAGTTTGCTGCCTGCGCTCCCCCTCATCCCGTTGTGCGCAGCTTTTTCCCAAGCCCTCCGCCGCTTTCCCCCAACACATCATACTGCGAAGCACTTTTCCGCACGCCCTTCCCCCACTGGCAGAAGCCTCTGCCTGCTCGCTTTCCAGTGTATACTGGGTTACGCGGGTTTCAAGCTATAATACTTTGAACTGGAGCGCCGATATCTGCACCCCGGCTTTAAGATGTGCGGTGGATACACCGGTTCAATTCTATTACAGTACTGTGCTTTGCCTTCCCGTCCCAGGCACGGTTCAAGGTTTCGGTAAATTTGAAAATTTTGGTGATGCCATCTGTACATTTCTTTGTGTAAGTGTACAGTACCAGCTCCCCACCCACACGACTTCTTTCTCCCTATCTGCAAGCTGTATGATCTAATCACATTGGATGCCAGATGTGATTATGGCGAAGGGCATGATGCTCATCTCTCTCCACCTGCCTTTGTCTCCGTGTAGGGCTGACTTGTCTTGGCAGCTAGCGTCGTGTAAAACGGTTACTTCCCAAGTTACGACAACAGTCCTCGATCCCCCCAAGTCTCCATTCTCGGGGGTTTCAAACAAGGTTGCTGGAGGAGCACCGTCCACGTGTAACAAGGTTACTGTGCTGAGCCTAAAATCAAAACCAGGTGCAACCCGCGAAGCACGCAAAGGCCAAGCCAAGGCCCAATGCGCGAAACACGCAAAGCTAAGCCAATCATAAAGATCCTTGCCTCTTATACATACCACGTGTGATCCACTAAAATCAAGCTCATCAATATCAAATCGCATCTATGGCAATGCAAGTGTACTCCGTTTACGCTTATTACGGACTAGAATATATGAAAAACCCGATTAAAGTGCACTCGAATATCAACTACAATTCGAAACCAGTCATTCAATAGAGAGCATGTTTCGGCAACTCCAAGCCCAAGGCACTCACATCGAGGCTGTGAACCTGCGATGGAAGATCCAAGAGGTGAGAGATCCCAGATTCCCAGGCAGTTCAAGCTCACTACGTCAGACAGTCGCTTTAGTGTGACCCGTGACAAACTCTTCCCGCCGAGCGCTTTCGCACTTAGTAGCCGTCATCATGATCCCATGTTCTGCTCGTTGCGCTTCGCCGCGGTTCTTGCAACGCGCTGGCATGAGAATCGCCGCGTTCTTTGTTGATTCCAGCCCCACTACCACTAGCCACCAATCTCCTCCCGTAGCGCGTTGCGCGCACATTCAACCTCCGCCGTCGCCGGGTCCTTTTTTTCTGGAAAAATCGGCGAGCTCCTTCGTATTCGACGGTTCTCCTGGAATCGGCCAGCGGGAATCGCTATTGTGCAGTTACGACCTTGACGCTAGGAGGAGTCGCCGTAACGGCCCGTGTGCTGCTGGGGACAGCGACAATAGTAGCGACGCCGTTGCGAATTGGCGAAGGCGTTACGGTCACGATGCGAAACGGAGTTACAGTAGTAGTAGCGACGTCGCGAAGAGGAGTCGCGACACGGAAGCGGCAACAGACGAACAAAGACGGACGTCGGCAGGGGTTGCAGATTCTCCGGAAACCGACGCGTCGCCCGCGACTACCAGGCGATGCGGAGATATCAACCCTGGCGACAACCCTGTGAAGTGGAGACTCTGCGACGTTCCTGCTGTGCGACGGACGTCGTACGGGCGAGTGGACGACGAATTCCTGCGTCGCTTGCGATCCATCGTGGGCGACTCAAACGTGACGACGAACCGAACGGTGGGATTGGGTTGGGAGCATTCGGAGTATGCTTGATTGATGAGAATTTATGTGGAATTCTTGAATAATGGGAAACGTGGGATGCAATGCGAATATACGTGGGGTGCTTGATTAGCGGGAAAATACGTGGGATGCTTGAATCATGGGAACATACGTGGGATTGCTCGGAATACACGCACCTAAAATGCTTAAATAGTGGAATTTACACGGGGAACGTATGTGGGTTACTTGGATGGTGGCATGACGGTATGGTGGCTTGGCATGGTGAGATGATGGCATGACATTATGGCATCATCATGACATATGTTGTTGACATGCTGGGACACTGACACGCTGGCATGTGAACAGGTGTTGGAGCAGCACGGCAGGGACGAGTCATATCACGAGGCAGTGCCACCAGACGCGGTCGCATTCCCCCACTCCACTCACCAAGTGCAACAGCTGGTAACCGCGTGCGCTGCCGCCCGCGTGCCCGTCATTCCCTATGGCGCCGGCACCTCTCTGGAAGGCCATGTAGCGGCGCTCTGTGGGGGCGTCTCCATTGACCTGTCGCAGATGAACGAGGTATGATGGGGTTACCACGTAACAGCTGGTAACCGCGTGCGCTGCCGTCCGCGTCCCCGTCATTCCCTATGGCGCCGGCACCTCTCTGGAAGGCCATGTAGCGGCGCTCTGTGGGGGCGTCTCCATTGACCTGTCGCAGATGAACGAGGTATGATGGGGTTACCATGTAACAGCTGGTAACCGCGTGTGCTGCCGCCCGCATGCCCGTCATTCCCTATGGCGCCGGCACGTCTCTGGAAGGCCATGTAGCGGCGCATTGTGGGGGCGTCTCCATTGACCTGTCGCAGATGAACGAGCATGTAGCGGCGCTCTGTGGGGGCGTCTCCATTGACCTGTCGCAGATGAACGAGGTATGATGGGGTTACCACGTAACAGCTGGTAACCGCGTGTGCTGCCGCCCGCATGCCCGTCATTCCCTATGGCGCTGGCACGTCTCTGGAAGGCCATGTAGCGGCGCTCTGTGGGGGCGTCTCCATTGACCTGTCGCAGATGAACGAGGTATGATGGGGTTACCACATAACAGCTGGTAACCGCGTGCGCTGCCGCCCGCGTGCCCGTCATTCCCTATGGCGCCGGCACGTCTCTGGAAGGTCACGTGGCGGCGCTCTGTGGGGGCGTCTCCATTGACCTGTCGCAGATGAACGAGGTACGATAGGGTTACCAGGTAACTTGTAAGGCGCATGCAGAGGAGATGGACTGGACTCCAGTGCGCAGGGAAGGTTGACACACCGGTCCTGTCCATTTCTCAGGCAGGGATGACATCCCAGTCAAATCTTCAGGCATTTGAGGTCATGCGCCTTGGGAATTGCGTGTGATTCTCTTCTTTTGTTCCCGTGCCTTTTTTTCTTCAGGTGGTGGAGGTGCATGCAGAGGACATGGACTGCAGGGTGCAGGCAGGGGTGACACGTCAGCAGCTCAACCACCATCTGCATGACTCGGGCCTCTTCTTCCCCGTTGACCCAGGCTCGGAATGCACCATAGGTGCGTGGCAGGCTCGGAATGCACCATAGGTGCGTGGTAGGCTCGGAATGCACCATAGGCGCATGGTAGGCTCGGAATGCACCATAGGTGAGTGTTAGGCTCGGATTGTACTGAAGGTGGGTGGCAGGCTCGGAATGCACCATGTCACAAACAATAATCAATGGAACTCCGAAATTGAATCCGACCGTATGCTGCGCATGGCAGCATGCCACGCAGCCACAGCACGTCAGCTTTTGAGGCGCCTCGAAAATCGCAGCCACAGCACGTCTGCTCCACTCCCCGTGTGTCCCTCTCTCCCCACCATGCGTGCCTTACCATGTGTGTGAGTGCGCACAACTACAGGGGGGATGACAGCAACAAGAGCCTCAGGCACCAATGCTGTTCGGTATGCTCTGCCACCATTCCATGCCATACCATTCCATGCCTTCTGTCCTTGTTATGTTTCGCATCCCTCTATTTCCGTACCCACCTTCCCCCTCCCTTTCCCCCTTTCCCGTTCCCCCTCTTTTCCCCTTCCTCCTCTTTTTCCCTTTCCCCCCCCCCTATTTCCCCCCATAAAATGTCTACTGACCACCACACCTCACCATGTCCCACCATGCCCCACCACGCCCCACCACGCCCCACCATGCCCCACCATGCCCCACCGCATACCAGGTACGGCACGATGCGAGAGGCGGTGCTGGGAGTCACTGCAGTGCTGCCCAACGGGCAGATTATAAAAACGGGTAGCCGGGCACGAAAGTCCTCCTCAGGGTGAGCTGCCCGCGTGCCTATGAAAGGGAATGTCGGCAGGGATGCTCCTCAGGGATGCTTCTACCTTGAGCGAATGTCGGCAGCCACCACCACAAGTCTAACCGAGTCACCCTTTTGAATATATTTGAAACCGGTTCATCGACCCCCCTCTCCCTCCCACCCCGTCTTCCCTCTCGCCCCGCTCGCCTTACTCACCACGTGCGCCCTACTTATACCAATCCTTGCCATTAACCCTCCCCCCGCTCTCTGCTCCCTCATCCCTCTTCCCCCTCCTCTCCCCTCGCCCAACCCCATGTGTTCCCCTCCTTTCCCACTCCACCTCCCTGCCCTTCCCCGCCCTCCCTTCCACGCGCCCCTGCTGCCTTGCCCCCCTTTGGCTTGTGTTGCTGGCATCAGGTATGACTTGACTCGCCTGATCGTGGGCAGTGAGGGCACACTGGCTGTTGTCACAGAGGTAAGAATGCGTGTTGTGAGGTGCCTACGTACATCTTACTCTGTCACTACATCATTACCTTGGTAATGGTGGCATTGAGCGAGGTAATGATGGCATTGACCAAGGTAACGATGTCTGTTGCAGCATGCAGGTGCCTTTGCTGCAAGATAAGGTACGTACCAACACGCATATCAGGGCAGGTTGGGGTTTCTTACTCTTTTCACGGGTTTTCCCCGATTAAGAACATTGAGCAACATGCCCTGTTCCGTTTTCACCTCTCTGCACCGTGCATGCAGGTGGCTCTGAGGCTGTACCCCCAACCCGAGGCTGTCTCTGCTGCTGTCTGTCCGTTCAACTCCATTGCTGGTGCTGTGAGTTCATTCACCTGACCACGCTCCCTCCACCTCCAACTTCCTCCCTCCGCATTCCCGCTCTTTGCTCCTTTTCGTCAGAGCACACAGTCACACTCTCCTTTCCTCTCCGTTACTGTCTGCCCATTCAACCCCATTGCCGGTGCTGTATGTTCGTTGTGCACCCTGAGGAGGTCGTGGTAATCGAGACAGTTTCTGCACACTTACACAACAACCACCGTATCCTCCATATCCCCATCACCTCACCCATCTCTCACTTGTGATGTCACCACCACTCACCCGCCACTCATCCACACACACACACACACACACACACACACACACACACACACACCACTCTCCCATCGTCTCATCCAAAAATGAACCACCTCACCCCCCATGCATCCTCACCCTCAGGTGGACACGGTGATAGAGACGATTCAAACCGCCATCCCTGTCGCGCGCATAGAGCTCCTAGACGAGGTTCAGGTGAGCTTACTCGTGAAATCAGTCAGCCTGAATGTGATAAAGACCATCCAAACCACCATCTCGGTCGCGCGCATGGAGCTCCTGGACGAGGTTCAGGTGGGATGACTTTTTCCTTGGACTTCCCAAACAGCATTCTCTCTTGTCACGTATTGATCTCTTCTTGGAACACCTGAACGCATCTCTGGTGAACGCAGGTGGACTCCAGAATGCATCTCTGGTGATGATGCGCTTTCTCGTCTCTTGTCATGAACTCCCAGGTAGACGCAGGGAATCACTACGCCAAGACGCATTTGCACCCGAGCCCCACGCCCTTCTATCAATAGCAGGGAAGAGGCACGCATACTTCCTATCCCCCACCCCTCTTTGAATCCCCCTTGTTGAATCCCCCCAGGTAGAAGCAGTGAATCGCTATTCCAATACGCACCTGCAACCCTGCCCGACACTCTTCTTTGAGTTTCACGGCACTGCTGCTGCTGTGGAGGAGCAAGCAAAGCAGGTGTCAGAGATTGCGTCTGGCAATGGCGGGGGCTCGTTTGAGTGGTCGGCGGCTCCTGAGGAGCGATCCAAGCTCTGGGCTGCCCGCCACTCCGCCTATTACGCTGCCTTGGCCCTCAGACCCAACAGCAAAGGGTGGGTACTACATCTCACTGCACCGCACTGCACCTCACTGCACGCAGGTTGCAGCTCGTTTGAGTGGTCGGCGGCTCCTGAGGAGCGATCCAAGCTGTGGGCTGCCCGCCATTCCGCCTATTATGCTGCGCTCGCCCTGCGGCCCAACAGCAAAGGGTGGGTACTACATCTCACAGCATGCAGGTTTCGGCTCGTTTGAGTGGTCAACGGCTCCTGAGGAGCGGTCCAAGCTGTGGGCTGCCCAGCACTCCGCCTATTATCCTGCCCTCGCGCTCCGACCCAACAGCAAAGGGTGGGTGCCTACCAACAGCAAAGGGTGGGTGATGTCTCCTCTGCATCTCACTGCACCGCACTGCACCACTCCGCACTGCAAGAGAGGAGCGATCCAAGCTGTGGGCTGCCCGTCACTCTGCCTACTATACTATACCCTTCTATCCACCCTCCCACCCCCCTCCCCCAGCCTCCTAGCGGACGTGTGTGTGCCTATATCGCGACTCACAGAGCTGGTGCTGCTGGCGAAGCAGCAGATAGAGCAGGCTCAGCTGGTAAGCTGGTCAAGCTGAGGCTGCTGGCCAAGCTGGTAGTGCCACCTTCACTTGTCTCACGCCCTTCCGAACCTCCCTCTCCCCGTCTTCTTGTATTCTCATCCCTCCCACCCCCCTACCCCAGCCTCCTAGCAGACGTGTGTGTACCTATATCGCGCCTCACAGAATTAGTGCTGCTGGCGAAGCAGCAGATAGAGCAGGCTCAGCTGGTAACTCGTCTTCCACTATCACACGCCCTTCCCCATCCACCCTCCCACCCCCCAGCCTCCTGGCAGACGTGTGTGTACCTATCTCTCGACCCACAGAGCTGGTGCTGCTGGCGAAGCAGCAGCCTTCCCATCCAACCCCTCCCCCTCCCCCTCCTTCCCCTGCTCCCCCCTCCCCCGCTCCCTCCTCCCCACCCTACCCCAGTCTCCTAGCGGACGTGTGTGTACCTATATCGCGAATCACAGAGCTGGTACTCCTAGCGAAGCAGCAGATAGCGCAGGCTCAGCTGGTGGCGCCAATTGTGGGCCACGTGGGGGATGGCAACTTTCACGTGCTCTTCATTGTGAGTCGAGTGTGGGTGGGGCAGGGGGGGCCATGTGTGCGTTGTCCGTAGGCCATGTGTGCACTAATGACGGGCCATGTTGGCCATGTGGGGCATGTGGGGGACATGGGCCACGGCACTTCACATGCTCTGTATAGAAAGCTAGTCGCTGCACAGTCCCACGTATTCGCTTCGCTATGCTGCTTGTTATCAGAATCAGATCATGAGCTGCTATCAGGTGGGTTCCACGCATCTCTTTTTGAGACGCCTCACAACTCAGATGGTTCCAATTGATCTATGCTTTCGAGTTTCGAGGCGTCTAAAAAGCATCTGTTGTTGATCAATACTTTATCCCACGTGTCTGCTTCTTGCAACAGGTGGATCCGGACAATCAGGATGAGCTGGCAGCGGTCAAGCGAGTCAACGACAGTCTTGTGGCGCGTGCCATTGCTGTGGGCGGCACATGCAGTGGGGAGCATGGCGTGGGGTGAGTGGGCATGGCATGAGCTGGCAGCAGTCAAACAAGTCAACTGTGGCTCGTGCCATTGCTGTGGGCGGCACATGCACCGTCGAGCGTAGGGTTGGGTGAGTGGCGTGGGGTGGGGCTAGTGGCATGGCATGGGATGCAGTGAGGTATTCTGAGTTGACTTTTGGGTCGACTCAAAAGTCAAAAGTCATTTTGGGTCGACTCAAAAGTCAAAAGTCATTTTGAGTCGACTCATAAGTCCGCTAGTGGCATGGCATGGGATGCAGTGAGGTAGTCTGCATTCTGGTGAGGAGGCATTGTCATATGCTCTCCACTTTCCCATCTCCCCCTTCTCCCCGCCTTTTCCATCTCCCCCTTCCTTCTCCCCTCCCCCTTCCTTCTCCCCTCCCATTCATCTCCTTGCACATACAACGAGCAGCTATGGCAAGTTGCCATTCTTGGAGTTGGAGCATGGCAGCGCAGCACTGGATGCCATGGCAGCACTCAAGGCCGCATGGGACCCGCTCAATCTATTCAACCCGGGCAAGCTAGGCCAGTTCCGCCTGCCCTGATGGGGCGGTTTCACCTGCCCTGATGGGGCAGTTCCGCCTGCCCTGATGGCCGGTTCCACCTGCTTTAGTTCTTTCAGTTACATTCTCAGCTCTTTCAGTTACATTCAGTTTTTTCAAAGCTTTTCTGCACCTCCAAGGCTTTGGCTGGCTATAGCTTGTTGATGCCTTTGTACCCTCCTGGTGCAATCATCAGCTGTACAAACATCAGCTGTACATTCACAATACACAATACATCATATGTATTAAAAAGAAACGTTATCTAATTACACGTGAGCAGCTATCACCAAAATGCTTATTTAGTCACCATGTCTAGCCGCCCTGCCATAGCGAGCATCTGCCGTAGTGCAAGAACCTTGGCCTTCACACACAGATTCACCCCCACCACCAGCCCAACCCCTCCACCCACTCCCATGCCTGCAGTTGCCCCTGTAACAGCAGCAGCGCCACCCATCCCTATCCCTGCAACCGGGCCAGGTGGTGGTGGTGGGTTCCCTGTTACTCCTCCTGGCGCTACTGCGGGTAGTGTTGCACTTGCTGCTGCTACAGCTGCAACTCCTGCCGCTACAGGTGGTGCACCCAAAGCTGCTGCACCCACACCCCACGCCGCTGCACGGGCAGTCATGTTGACAGGTGGAAATAACGCCCCGCCTGTAGCACCACCATCGTTCGCAGCACCAGCAGCACCACCAGGCATAGCAGCAGGCACAGCAGCAGGCGGAACAGCGGCGCTGGCAAGCACAGGCATTCCAAACAAGCCCCCTGCAGTGCCACCAATTGCAGCTGCTACTCCCATGCGCCCAGTCACTCTCCTGGGGTCCGTACCAGAAGAGTTTCCGCTCATCCCCCCCACTCGCCCTAGCCCTGCCCCTGCTGCTCCTGCTCCCCCTGCTCCTCCTGCTCCTCCTACTGCCCCTGCAGCTGCTACTGTGGCCATCGCGGTTCCACCTGTCGGGAAGCCCATCAAACTCCCTGCTGCCCCTGCGGCTGCTACCGCGCCCACTGCTGCTGCAGCAGCAACCATCCCCGCCCCTGCTGCTCCTGCTACAGGTGCCCCCACCGCTGGGGCTGCTACAGCCGCCCCCAGCGCTGGCGCTGCTGCTACAGCTGCCCCTAACGCTGGCGCTGCTGCTACAGCCGGCACTGCTACGCCTACCCTTCCCGCTGCAGCAGCTGCCGACCCAGCAGCAGCGCACATGGCGCAACATAGGCCCTTAATCACGATGCGCCTTAAGTTGGGGCACCGGAGCGCGATAGTAGCCACTACCGCCGCATCAAAGTCAACGTCAGTCAGAATCAGCACTTCCAGCTCCGGGTGAAACGAGTCCGGCGCCGCCGAACCTGTACCCGAACCTGTTCCCGAGCCTGCAGCGAGCCGGGTCGTGCCGAGCCAGGGGAAAGCGGACGCAGGCGCGGGGGTTGACGAGGGAAGAGCGCCGAGAGCGGCGGGTAGGGTGTGGATAGAGCCTCCTACTAATTCCAGGACTCTTAAAGACGTGCACTTGCGCAGCGCCAATAGGTCTTCGACCTCTAAAGCCCCCATGTGGATTCGCAGACACGACAGGTTTCGCCAGCCGATCACCATGAGGTACACGGCCTGGCGAGTAACACTATTTCGCACGAGGCACGAAAACTGTCGCATGGAGCGGAAGCCCGAGGTCAGGTACCACATGGAACGCGCCTCGAGCAGCCCGAAGGACGTCTCTACGCCGTGCGATGTGAGCTCGACGGATTCGACGTTCTTGCAGTAGAGAGATATGATCCATAGGATGCTGCAGATGGCCGCCTCGTTGCGACTCGTCGCGTCGCGGTCGCAGTCGATGACGATGCGTCGCAGCGAGTCGCTGCATGCGACGATGATGGGGTGCAGGATGTGCAGCTCGCAGCGCGGGTCGTCCACGTAGAGGTCCGTTAGGTTCGCGCAGCGCGCCGCGAGCAGCTCCACGCCTGAGACAACACAGAGCGAGCGCGCGAGCGGAGGAAAGGAAGAAAGGAAGGAAAGAAGGAAGGGGGCCAAATCAGTGACACTTCTAAGTCGACGCGCAGCGCGGCGCGAGAATTTCCACGAAGCGCGCGGCGGGCGAGGAAAGGAATGAAGGAAGGGGGAGACATCAGTGTCGCTCCCCACTTCTAATATATGGTGCTTTCGACGAGTTACGTGAGGAATTCGCGCTTGAAGACGTGGTTAGAAATAAAATCATATCGCATGACAGGGGCGCAAGGACCCTTGGAGACGCGTGAAAACGCCTCGAACTGATTCGTGCTCTACGTGGAGGAACTTCGCTTTAACTTTCTGTGGTTTCAATCGAACGTACTGTACGTGTCGCATAGTGTTTCCAGAAGTTGAAGCTGTGACAGGCGCGTCGGCGAAAGGCGCGCCGGAAAGAAGCGGCTCGGAGAAGGGCGACTCGGAGAGAGACGGGTCGTACCTGGATGCATGCTGCCCGGGCCGATGCGGAGCTTGGTCCAGAACACGCGGCTGTAGCATAGTTGCTTCCACTGCCGGCTCACGCACGAGAACCGGCACAAGTCCCACGCTGTCGGATGCCCCGATTGAAGCACCTTCAATAAAAGGTCCTCGCTCAAATCCGACAGGGACGCCGGCCTCCTTTGCTGCTGCGGCTGGGGTGGCTGTAGTTCCGGCTGTAGCGTCTCTTGCGTTGCGTGCTCTGCGGCTGAAGTGCTGACGTCAGAGCTGCAGTCCGCTTCCAGGTCCGGAAGCATCAAAGAAGGCCCTTCGAGGCGGCGCCGCTTTGAGAAAGGCTCGGTGTCAGGTTCGGGCTTGTCGGACGAGCTCTGAGCGGGCACGCTACCGTGGTGCGTCGGTGCGGGGACGTGATGCCGTAAGTTCCACGCTACGAGGTCTGAGAGGCCTAAATCCATGGCTGTCGCTTTAAACTGCTTAGATGGACGAATTCCAAAGGCTCAAGTTCTGAGTCCAACGGTTTGCTGTGTCGCGGTCGCGAAAGGAGAGAGGGATGAAAATATGAAATACTACGACGAGAAAACACCACCAGCTCTTCTATATCAAGTTCGAAGTGCGAGGACGAGAGGTTAGCTGTTAGGACGAGAGGTTAACAAGGATCTTCAAGTCGACAAGCAAGATAACAACTGAAAGCCTGACGTTGGGCTTGAGGGAACTGAGGTCAAATACAAGCTGCGATTGCGCTGTAAAACCAGCATATCGAGGGAACAAGGGGCAAGTGTGGGAGAGAAGGAAAGCTGATGGAGTGGGCTGTCAAGCTCTCGATGGACGGGGAGAGGGGCTGGAGAGCGCATGTGATGTGTATGTCTCGTGGACGGGTGGACCAGATGCAAGACGAACAGGTGATCGACGGTCACGTGCACAGCTGGAAAGGCTGCCATCGAGATTGCCCTCAGATGACGCGTCTCGGGATTGATGCGCGTTGCGCGAACCCCAAGCCCCAGATTTCTTCGTACGTTTTCCGCTTTCTGCCTTCATTTCCCCTGGGTTGCCCGCATGGATGCAAGCAAGCAACCCCAAGGGCGTGCTGTTTCCTGCCGGACCGTGTTGTGTTGCTGCTGCCGCGCGCTGCTCTCTGCTTGCAATGCTCTCCCCGCGGTCTTGATGTCCCTGGCGGTGACGAATCAAATTTCCATCATCACATGATGGCAGGTGAAACACACACAAAAACCGGTGCTGAGGTGGTGGCTGCTTCTGTGCCATGTGGGTTTGCTTGAAAGTTGAAACGGGGGCACGGTGTCGGGCGGTCGGGGCATGCGTGACGCATCCGCCCGGAGGGACTCATTGGAAAGTTGAAACGGGGCGGGGCGTGATGTGTGACGGGAGCTGAACCGCGCCGCATTTGCATTGTCAGCGAGACAAATGCGAATCTGAACTCAGCATTGCGGCGCGCGAGTTGCTGAATGAACTCGTAAAACACCGCCGCTATAACTGAATTCACAAGTTAGCCCAACCTGGAGGAAATGCTTCCGTCCTCCGTTTACTGTACCGTTCCGTTCCGTCAGCCTCAGCGGTTGCATCTGATTTCAGAAAGCAGTTCCATCCCGCCCCTGCTTTCTGCCTTCCGTCAGTACGTGACGCTGGCGTTGACGTGGATTTTTTGTGGTTGGTGGAGCCTAGGGACCAAAGGCATCGCAAGACAAGGTTCGTCCAGTCGCCTAAAGTCGTGGCCTCGTCGCACGCAAGGACTCCATGGAAGCTGTAATCCGATAACCTCGTAACGTGTTTCGCCAACCTGAGGCCCGTCGCCTCAGTCTGGTAAAACAATACTACGAAGCCATTGCGAGCTGTCGAGGGGCAAACGAAGCAACCCCGAACCGTGGTTACTAGATGACGTCAGGCAGCCACGTTACAACTCTATTGTAGGACCGACAAAGAAGAATTCCAACGAAGTAAGGACGTGGTGCAGAACGCCTTGGCACGCCCCGATGCACCGCTGTGCACCAGGTTTTGAAGCTTCCTCGCACACGGGAACCCAGTGCATCGCCTCGTCCTGGCACGCCCCGGGGCGTCCCGGGACGAGGCGATGCACCGACGCGTTCCGGCACGCCCCGGGGCGTGCCCTGGGGCGCCCCAGCGAGCTCGAAAAACATGCGAATTCTCGAAATTGTGGTGACATGATCAATTGTCGCGCAAGAATCTCGACAAGGTTGTTTGTTGATTGCGAGTTGTTCTTGGAGGTATCAGTCGCGAGATTTTTTTTGGCGAGCAGTTTTCCGAAGGTCAACCGTGTACACATTTTTTAGCACGTTTCGCTTCTGAGTCTTTCGCCTTCGCCCATTGCTGGTCGAAGGTTCGGAGTCAGCACTTGGAAGGATACCTGAAATTCATGAGCAGTGACGCGTGCCACCCGGCACGCCCCGGGACGCCTCGGTGCACCGGGTCTGGACCCGTTCCGCACCACGTCCTAACAATTCACTGTCCAGTTGGTCAGTTGGACGATATCATCCCTCGGGTGCCGTGCATCAGCATCAGCCGTCCAAGCCGAGGAAGAAACCCGCTCGGTTGTTGGTTTCGTCCATCGCGGCGCGCTGCTAGGGGCGAAGGACCTCAGAAGCAACTACCGAAGCTTCAGTTGCTTCTTTTGAAGCCGCCGCGGGATTGTTTCAAATGAGGCATCCCGAGGCTAAATATTTTGCTGCAACCACCCTGAGAACCCAGAATCGGAATTGAAACCTACATTTCGCTTGTTTCAACATTGTTGTCGGAAACCGCAAATCTGGTGTGAATCCAAATGATCACGCGAGGTGCCCCAAAATTATTCCGAGATGATAATTTGCGATCTGGGTCACCTGAGCTACAGCGTTGGAAACTCGAACCTGCCTTTCGTCTTCAAGTACATCAAGATTTTCCATCGGGTGTATCTGCAGCAGTCATCATTACAGCAGACGGCCAACAGAAAAGGTCAGGAATTGCCCCCACGAAAGGCAAGTCACTGGGTGGGCTTTGGTTGCAATGCCTTCTTTTTTAATAACGAGATCTAAGAATACACGCTTTTCTATTAGCAGTCACCTACAAATCTGTTCATAATATTCAGATAAGAGCAGCACTACCATAGAAATAGCACAATGCTAGTCTCATTGATGCCCAGTTTAGTTCTATCCAGAAGCAGGTTGTGTGAAACGATGAACCACCAACATATCACAATCCCATACGGTATGTTGTTGAGCACACACTCTAGGAGGGGGTGGGAGGACAAGAGTCCTCCTCGGCTGACCTGCTACAAAGGCATGGCTTAGATAGGTAGTAATTCACACATGCTATGCAGTCGTGATTGAGTCGGTTAAAAACACGGGATAGGCAAAGCAAGGTCAGGGTTGTACGGAAGCGAGGGGTGAGTTGGGGCCAGCCTTTTGGCCTGCAGCCACAAGGTCCCGAAAGAGATTGCCACTGGTCCAGCTGCCGCCCAGACTCTTCCTGCCAATCCCTCCGTTCCCTTGCCTCATCATGGCAACAAACTCGTTATAGTCAATGATGCCATCCTGCAGCAGAACAAGGCACGAATATTCATCAAACAGAAACATTTGAGGCAGCCCAAGCCGGAGAGAATGGAGACAGGAAGACACTGGGACTGCTCTATTCCTCGTCAACGCCGTTCCTATCACGTTCCAGCCTCATACAATCCATCTCAAACCGTCCTACTCACATTGTTAGTGTCAACATCGCGCATTGTCTCAACGATGCACTCCTCGTCGACGCCATGCTTGCGGCACACGTCCTGCAGCTAGTTATGACATACCTCAGGAATCTCAGAAGCAAGCCGCTGCACTCACATTGTTAGTGTCAACGTCGCGCATGGTCTCAACGATGCACTCCTCGTCCACCCCATACTCGCGGCACGCGTCCTGCAGCTCATCGGTGGAGATGAAGCCCGAGGAGTCCTTGTCAAAGTAGGAGAAGGCCGCAAACAGCGTCTCCTCGCGCTCTATCTTGTTCAGCTGCACTGTCGCTGCCAGGAACTCGCCGTAGTCGATCGTGCCGTTGCCGTCAATGTCAGCCTGAATTAGGGGGATTCGAAGTGAGTGGGGGACATGAAGGGGTAACAATATAAGAATCGGCTGCAGGGTGCGTCCTGCAGGTGCGAGCTCCTTCATCTCCATGTCATTGGGAGTGGACCCGACCCTCTTGAGCCCCAACAGACCAGTGTGTACCCCAGCACCACGCCCACCACCATTCACACACAGCCAAGCCCCAAGCCTAAGCATGCACTGCATACATGAGTTCCTTCATCTCCATGGCATAAAGGGTCGATCCGATCCTCTTGAGCCCCAACAGACCAGCGCGTACCCCGGCAAGCCTCAGACTTGTAAACACAGAACACCCACTCACCGCATCCATGAGCTCCTTAATCTCCATGTCATTGAGAGTAGACCCGATCCGCTTGAGCCCGGCGCGCAGCTCCTCGTACGTGATGGTGCGCGCTGCCATCGGTGTCCATCATCTTGAACGTCTCCTTGAGCCCCGAGAGACTCGAACCTACTCCAGCACGCTGCAAGCTGGTACACACAGCTCAATCCCCACCATTCACACACAGCCGAGCTCCAAGCCCACGCCCACACCCACACACCCACTCACCGCATCCATAAGCTCTTTAATCTCCATGTCGTTGAGAGTAGACCCGATCCGCTTGAGCCCGGCGCGCAGCTCCTCATACGTGATGGTGCCGCTGCCATCCGTGTCCATCATCTTGAACGTCTCCTTGAGCCCCGAGATCTCCTCCTCCGACATGCTCTCTGCAATCACCCGCAGCGCCATCTTCTTCAGCTTGTTCATTGCTGTGAATTGCTTCAGGCGGGACAGCACGGCGGAACCCAGTGGCTTGTCGGGTGCCACGCCGTCCTTGGCCACCCACGGATGGCCTGCAGGCAGAGAGAGGGAGGGGGGAGCGGGAATGAGGGAGAAGGCGGGGGGAGGCGGGGAATGGGGGGAGGCAGGGAATGGGGGGAGGTGGGGAAGTGGGGAGAGGAGGGGACGGAATGGGAGAAGGGGGAGGGCGCAGGCTCAACGACTGGCAGTGAGCGAGTGCAGTGCAGTGCAATGGAATGCAGTGCACTCACAGAGAACATCGTAAGCAGAGTAGCGCTTCTTGGGGTCGAGGCAGCACATGTGGCGGATGAGGTCCTTGGCGTCCTCACTGATGGACGGCCACATGGCACACCCCTTCCTCTTCCTACTCTCATATCACACACACAGCAACTGACAGCGCAGCTGACAGCACAACAGACAGTACAGCTGACAGTGCAGCAGACAGAGAAGCTGGCAGCGCAAGTGTCAGAGAGAGCGGTGCACTCACAGAGCACATCATAAGCAGAGTAGCGCTTCTTGGGGTCGAGGCAGCACATGTGGCGGATGAGGTCCTTGGCGTCCTCACTGATGGACGGCCACGGGTCCGACTCAAAGTCCAGCTCGCCCCGCAGCACCGCCTCAAAGATACCCTGCTCCGTCTCTGCGTGATTGAAACGGGAACGCGGAAAGCGAAGGAGCATGGGGGAATGCAGCATGCTTGCACATGAGAATCGGCATTGCAGCGGGTCCGACTCAAAGTCCAGCTCGCCCCGCAGCACCGCTTCAAAGATACCCTGCTCCGTCTCTGCAGGAGGAGAGAGAAGTGAAGGGGCAGGAGGGCATTTGAGCATCGTCATTGCAGCAGTTCAGTGCACGAGTCCAGCTCGCCCCGCACCACCGCCTCGAATATTCCCTGCTCCGTCTCTGGAGTTTGGTGTGTGGGGTGTGGGGCGTGGTGTGGGGTGTGGTGTGGGGCGTGGTGTGGGGTGTGGTGTGGGGTGTAGTGTGGGGTGTGGTGTGGGGTGTGGTGTGGGGCGTGGTGTGGGGCGTGGTGTGGGGCGTGGTGTGGGGCGTGGTGTGGGGCGTGGTGTGGGGCGTGGTGTGGGGCGTGGTGTGGGGCGTGGTGTGGGGCGTGGTGTGGGGCGTGGTGTGGGGCGTGGTGTGGGGCGTGGTGTGGGGCGTGGTGTGGGGCGTGGTGTGGGGCGTGGTGTGGGGCGTGGTGTGGGGTGTGGTGTGGGGTGTGGTGTGGGGCGTGGTGTGGGGCGTGGTGTGGGGCGTGGTGTGGGGCGTGGTGTGGGGCGTGGTGTGGGGCGTGGTGTGGGGCGTGGTGTGGGGCGTGGTGTGGGGCGTGGTGTGGGGCGTGGTGTGGGGCGTGGTGTGGGGAGTGGTGTGGGGCGTGGTGTGGGGCGTGGTGTGGGGAGTGGTGTGGGGCGTGGTGTGGTGTGGGGTGTGGTGTGGGGTGTGGTGTGGGGTGTGGTGTGGGGTGTGGTGTGGGGTGTGGTGTGGGGTGTGGTGTGGGTGTGGTGTGGGGTGTGGTGTGGGGTGTGGTGTGGGGTGTGGTGTGGGGTGTGGTGTGGGGTGTGGTGTGGGGTGTGGTGTGGGGTGTGGTGTGGGGTGTGGTGTGGGGTGTGGTGTGGGGTGTGGTGTGGGGTGTGGTGTGGGGTGTGGTGTGGGGTGTGGTGTGGGGTGTGGTGTGGGGTGTGTGTGTGGTGTGGGGTGTGGTGTGGGGTGTGGTGTGGGGAAGTGAGGGAGCAGAGAGTATGGACAAGGAGGGACGGGGGGGAAGGGGGGTAGGGGTTGCGGGTGGGGGAAGGAAGGGGGGTAGGGGTTGCGGGTGGGGGAAGGAAGGGGGGTAGGGGTTGCGGGTGGGGGAAGGAAGGGGGGTAGGGGTTGCGGGTGGGGGAAGGAAGGGGGGTAGGGGTTGCGGGTGGGGGAAGGAAGGGGGGTAGGGGTTGCGGGTGGGGGAAGGAAGGGGGGTAGGGGTTGCGGGTGGGGGAAGGAAGGGGGGTAGGGGTTGCGGGTGGGGGAAGGAAGGGGGGTAGCACTAAAAGTTGCAAGCAGGCTTACTTTGGACGAAAGCTCCTAAGGTCCAGGTGAATGATGATGCTGCGCATGCTCCACCAACCTCCTTGCAACTGATCATTTCCCAGCTGCCAACCACCCTTACAACACTCATGCCCACGGATCCGCCTTATGACCGCCCTTCACCTAAAACTATGCTGATTGCTCCTAAAGCGGGGACGCACCTGCCCAGAAGGGGGGCACGCCCGAGAGTAGGTTGTAGATGATGACGCCTGTGCTCCACCCCACACGTCCGCCCTCTTGCAACCCTTCACCTTTGTGGCAAACGAGGCCTCTTCTAACAGATACAAACCCGCCTATCTATTCACGTACCTGCCCATAATGGCAGCACGCCGGAGAGCAGGATGTAGATGATGACGCCCATGATCCACACATCCGCCTTACAGTGCTTTTGTGGCAAATGAATGCTCTTTTAACGCGTACATACCTGCCCAGAAGGGCGGCACGCCGGAGAGCAGGATGTAGATAATGACGCCATGCTCCACCCGTCCGCCTTCCGGTACTTTTGTGGCAAACAAAAGCTCTTTTAACGCGTACATACCTGCCCAGAAGGGCGGGACACCGCTGAGCAGGATGTAGATGATAACGCCCATGCTCCAAACGTCTGCCTTCTCACTGTACCGCCGCCGCAGCACCTCTGGCGCCACGTAGTAGGGGCTGCCCACCACGTCCGACAGGTACTCGCCTGGCGGGGGAGAGGGTGGGGATGATGGGGGGCAGAAGGGATGGTGGGGGAAGAGGTGGGGGAGGAAGGGGGGAATGGGGATGGAAGACATAAGCCATAAGGTGAATCGATCCAGGAAGGCACCTCCGGCGCCATGTAGAACGGGCTGCCCACCACGTCCGACAGATACTCGCCTGGTGACGGGGGAGATGGTGGGGAGACGGGGAGGGGGAAGGGGAGGGGGAAGGGGAGGGGGAAGGGGAGGGGGAAGGGGAGGGGGAAGGGGAGGGGGATGGGGGAGCACGAGGCGAACCAATCAAGGAAGGCACCTCTGGCGCCACGTAGTATGGGCTGCCCACCACGTCCGACAGGTCCTCGCCTGGTGTGAACAAGAGGGGGTGGGTTGGGGTGGGGAGGGGGGTTCGAGGGGAGGCGAGGGGGAGGAGTTGCGAGAGGTGAGAAAGCGGGGAAAGGGAGAAATGACGAATTATTAAACGAGGACCTGGTGAGGCACGTAGTACGCACGACACCATCACTGCACCACAACGCACCTGGCTTGATGAAGTAGGAGAGGCCAAAGTCGGTGGCCTTGAGGTCGGCAGTCTTGGACTTGCTGGCGAAGAGGGAGTTCTCCGGCTTGAGATCGCGGTGGATCACGCCCAGACTGAGCCCCCTAAACATTACACCGCACTGTACTGAATTGCACTGCACCACACAGTACAGCAACGCACTCCGCCGCACCGCACTGCACCGTGCCGCACTGCACCACACCCTCCTGCACCGAACAGCACGCACCTGGCTTGAAGAAGTAGGAGAGGCCGAAGTCGGTGGCCTTGAGATCAGCAGTCTCGGACTTGCTGGCGAAGAGAAAGTTCTCCGGCTTGAGGTCGCGGTGGATCACGCCCAGCGAGTGGCACGCCTCTATCACCTTCGCGATCGTCCGCGTTAGCTCCGCCGCCTGCCGCTCACTGCGCGGGGGAAAAGGGGGAGGAGGGGGGTAATGACGAGAAGGGGGTCATGGGGGAGACGGAGGGGAGGGTACAAGGGGAGGGGGAAAGGGGAGGGAGGAAAGGGGAGGAGGAGGGGGGGAGTGTGGTGGGGAGTGGAGAGAAGGGGGGAGGGTAGGGGGGGAAAAAGGGAGATGGAGGATCTTGAGGAGAAAGAAAGAAAGGAGGAAGCAACGAGGAAGCGGAGTGGTTAAACGGGATGGTGCATGTTAGCGCGTGTGAGTGGGCGCGTCTGCGTATGCGTGCCTGTGAGAGCGTGTGAGCGCGTGAGCACGTGCGTGTGCGCGCGCGTGTGCGTGCGTGTATGTGGGGTGTGATGATTTGTCCTTGAGCCAGACTTCAACGCTCAATGTATCTCACCTGAAAATTGATCATAACTATTATGATGAAAGATGCCGACTTCCATAGACGATGACATAGCGCACATCCCATACACTAAATTGAGACCATCTCGAAAATAGAAACACTTTTTCGCGAGGCGCATGCGCTGATTACACTTGTGCGACGAAATAGTCGACGGCTCCCCGGTGGAGCGAGAATGGATAATATATACGGCCCCTATACCAAGTTACCCAGCCACACCCCACCTACAGAGAGCATTTCCCATCTGTATGTTATGATTTCAGAATATAACTAGAAAAACGGAAAGTAACAAAACAAAACAGAAAGGCGACCCAACGAACACTTTCCTGTTATGGCGCTTTTTAATAAAGCGCTCAAAGTCCATACGATACCTAGGCCTAATGACTTGGGAGCAAACCCATCAGCAAACGTTTACAATGTGTAGCAACACTTAACAACCCCACCCCCCCCCCCCGACGAACAAAAAAAAAAAACGTTACAGCTCACGACTGATGCTTACCTGTAGTGACCCTTTTTAATGATGCGCTCGAAGAGCTCGCCTCCCGTGCAGAGCTCCATGACAATGTGCACATTTGCGTTATCCTCGTACGCGCCCTTAATGCAAACGATGTTGTTATGGCCCGACAGGTGATGCATGATCGCCACCTCGCGTTTCACGTCCTCCACGTCCTCCCTCGATATAAGCTTCTTCTTTGCGATGGTCTTGCACGCGTACTCCTTCCCCGTGGCTTTCTCCGTGCACAGGAACGTCACGCCGAACTGGCCCTGTCCAAGCTTCTTCCCCAGCTTGAATAGCGACTCCAGTTGCTCTGCGCGAAATGTCGCATTCGCGTGATTGTTAACAATGTCGAAAACCGTCGCTTGAATTTAGGTGAAAAGAAGTGACAATGTATGCGAATGTGTCAACGTATCAAAATTGCGACATGAAGATGGGAATTGAGCGTAAGGGATCTTTAAAACGAAATAAGAAAAAAAATATGGTGGTAGCAAAGGCTCGAGCTGCGCAACGGACACTAGGATTTAGGGAGATGGAGAGCAAGTAAATACCTGTTCTTCTACCCAAGACAGATCCATGAAGAGCGTGGCCGGGAGCCAACCGCTCGTCAGCAAACTTCACTCTCCGGTCACCCATTATATCCACCAGTTCCCGATAAAAAAAGCAGCAACAGAATATATAGTTCCAACAACAGCTACTTCCGGCTTCGCTTCGTGTGATGCGAACCTACCAACGAAAACCGATAGCTGGGAAACCTAGCGGAGCTGGAGGATAGGTGGTGTGGTGGGGGTGATGCGATTGTGAGAAAATGCCAAGTCAGGCAAGATATGTTCCCAAGGAAGCGGTCCAGGAGAAAGGCGGTTCTCTTGACGGTGTGAGTGACACACACCCCCCGAAAAACGCGAGAGCCGAAAACCAACCAATCACTAGCGAGTGCGAGAGGATATTCCACAGTAACTCCACACCACACAACCCCGATCCGTTTTTAGTCCAGTCCCAGAACTTCACCCAATTTGACCCACGGACCGTTCCCAAATCCTCTTCATCTGGCATCCTTCAGGGTGGAACTCCAGGTTGCGCGTTCAACACGGAAGCGGTTCTCACCTAGGTATATTTCATCAGCAAAAGGGGCACCGTAAAAGGCAGAAAATATTTGCCTGTTTTCGGCTCGTCGCCAATCAGGGGCTGCCGTGTACTTTTTGTGCAGTTCCCCTAGTCGGTCCGGCAGGGAGTTGGTTGGGAGCACAATGCCGGCACACAAGCGAAACATTTATTTGAATCCCCAGCCAATGACATTCTGCCCATTTCTTCTGTGCTTCACTGCAGAACACACTGACAGTCGGACGGTCTGGCTGCGCGTTATTAGCTCATCGAGTGATAAAAGAGATTCCGCCATTCGAAATGGATACTCTGCTATAATTTCAAACACACATCCTTGCTAAAATCTCATTCAAGTGAATTCCATTCATACCATCTTTACAGCCAACAGATCCCATCCTAAGAGGGAGTTCATCTCTATTTCAAAGAAGCATCCACCACCTTAAGAGGGTGGTACAACCACCACCCTTCCTAGTCAAGGAAACAAGGAAACCATAACCACTACTACAAGCATTGTAAAGATTCGTGGGTACCAAACCCCCACACCCATCCTTCCGGCAGCCTTAGAGGCTGCTTGATCTATACCCAATAAATACCTGCATTGATCCTGGGTAGGATTACTCTGCACCACCTCAGCAACTCCTTTAAAGTCGCACGCCCCACCCGACTGGTTATTCAGCTGGAAGTAGCTATTAAACGCATAGGTCGCAACCTTTGCAGTGCTACCATTGAAGTAACACGACCCACCAACCTGAGCAGGCGTGCAATCCGAAGGCTTCGTATCCCCACATGCGTACGTCACCGCATCGGCCAATTTCTGCGGGTCCGCACCCTCCTTGGCCACACACCATCGCCCAGGGTACAACACAATCCCCGTCGCACTTTTCAGAGTAACATTCTTCCCGCCGCCCGTCAAATCCAGGGGGTACTTCGGGGTCCCGTCCGCGCGGAAAATCCCCCAGTGCCTCTCAAACGGGCCGGCTAGAGTGAGCTTCCTGTCCTCGTCTGCAAGCGCGAAGAGGTACCCACTCAAGATTTGATTCGGGCGGGCCGGCGTGCCTCGTCCTGACAGCATGTGGGCTAGGATGGCCTGGTTGAAACGGTAGGCATTGTCCACCGTGGCGTAGCCCCTCGTGTCACCCTGACCGTCGGATGGCCACCCAATCTCACCGATCTCGATCGGCAGCTGCAGAGAGAACGGGGGAAAGGGGGGGAGGAGGGGGGGAGGAGGGGGAAAAGGTGGGGAGGAGGTGGAGGGTTGTGGGTGTGTGTGGGAAGGGAAAGTGGGGGGAGCGGGGGTGTGAAAGTGTGGTGAATGAGGGTGGAGTGGATAGTTAGAGGGACTTATGGAGCCGAATGTGTGGGCGGGCATGGGAAGAAAGGAGGAACAGGGCAAAGGGACGAGGAAGCCAAGGAGGGAGGGGGAGGAGAAGAACACAGTAGGGTAGAAAGCTGAAAGTGAAGTGAAAGGAAGAGTCTGTTGGGCATAGAAGAGTGTGTAAGTGAGGAGAAGCAGCCACAATGAACCCACACAATGAGGCCAAAGGAGGCCCCAGTGCGGCCACAATGAGGCCCCAGTAACATGGCGGCCACAACGAGGCCCCAGTAACATACAATGAGCACACAAATAGCAAACAACCAACGCCACACCCAGCCTCAGCTCCATTCACATCGCCACATCTGATCTTATCTGGAGTGGCTACCACCGCATCCAACGCCCACAATGATCCCACACAATGATCCCCACATTCAGCCCCAGCCCCGCATTCAGCCCTGCATCCAACATGAGTTTCCACTCACATCGCCGTATCCAATCTTCTGCAGAGCGGCCACCACAGCATCAAACGCCCCATCGAAAATGTTGTCGTATTTCAGCCCGCTCTTTGGATCCTTGAATTGCCACGCCTGCCCGCCAGGCTGCCCCAAGAAAACCTGGTTCAGCCCTATAGCCCCCGTCGTGTCCTGGTGCAGCGTCAGAAACGGGTAGATATTTATCGAGAACGTTCCACCCGACTGCTTCAAAATATCTGCTATTGCGGTAATATCCTCCAAAATATCTCCCCGAACCTCGCCCGAGGAGGGCGGGTACGAGCTCCCGAGAATATCCGCGTTAAGAGGCACGGTGAGCTTGATTTTGTCGTCTAGTTTGGCGTCCTGTAGCGCACTGTACATGTTGCGCATGGCTGGCACCACGGAGGACTCGTACATGCCCTGATAGCCCTGCAGGAACGGCTCGTTCCCCACGGCGATCTCCCTGCATTCGTGGGAAGAATGGGGGGAAGAGGGAGGGGAAGAGGGGGCAAGGGAAGAGATATAAGGTTGCTTAGGTGGCACGCACTGTTGATGTAACGCATCGCTGGCACCACGGCTGACTCGTTCATGCCCTGGTAGCCGTGCAGGAACGGCACGTTCCCTACCGCTATCTCCCTGCAATAAGGTGAGGACGGGGGAAAGAGGGAGGAGAAGAGGGTAGGGAAGAGTTCATTGCACAGGACGAGCCATCTCCCTGCAACCAGGGAAGAAGGGGAGTTTCCCACTGCTATCTCCCTGCAACCAGGGAAAAAGGGGAGTTTCCCACTGCTATCTCCCTGCAACCAGGGAAAAAGGGGAGTTCCCCACTGCTATCTCCCTGCAACCAGGGAAAAAGGAGAGTTTCCCACTACTATCTCCCAGCATCAGCCGTACCGGATGTTGACTCCTTGGGGAAAGACGAAGGGCGACACGTTGTTACTGAGCCACTTTGTCGCTTCCTTCTGCGAGCCGGCGAGGAGGCTGAGGTACTCGTTCTGCAGCATCACCGCCACCTCGATGTCCGTGCCCACCAGCGCGCGCAGAATGTCCACGTCAGCGCCGAACAGCTTCAGCCGCTTGATGCCGTTGTCCTGAAACGGGGGATTGCATTATGGGTTGATAGAAACGAGGGGTGATGGCAGTAAAAGGTGAGCTCGAAGTGTGTGGACTCCGCAAGGTGAGAACAGCTTCAACCGCTTGATGCCGTTGTCCTGACACGGGGTGATAGAAACGAGGGGTTATAAAAGCCGTGGGTGTGAGTGGATTCCTCATCAGTTGTGCCTCAAGATGCTATTGAATAGCTTCAGCCGCTTGCTGGCGTTGTCCCGAGAGGATCTGTGGGAGTTTTTTTCTGAGAATTTTCTAAAAATACCTGTAAAGTACTGTGTAGCAGTCTTCACCCTTCCGTTGACTTACTTGAAGCAGCTTCACGACGGCTTTAGGCGGCATCTGCTGCCACGAGTTGCGGCCCCAGCACACGCCGATGGGCTGGGAGAAGTCAGCGGCGGCAGGCTGTACGCCGATCGTGCTGCTCGCCGCGGCAAGAAGCAGAACCGCAGCGAAGCAGTGCCAGATTGCGTGACTTGCGAAAGGATATGTTGGCGGGTTACTGAAGAGAGTTCGCCAGAACATCTGTCGCAGAACCATGATGGGCTAAGCTATTCTAGACTAGAAATATGTGATTCTTCGATTTACAAGAGATCCTAAGTCCCTTGGGATGAATAATAATTCGCACTATTTAACTACGGCTCGTTACTGAATGCGCAATCAACACGAGTTCTGGATGCCTGAGCCCTAGGTATACAGAGGTAGCACGAGGCGTGCTACTAACACAACTCCTAATGCTCGCTTGGACAGGGGTCCACAGAAAGAATATAAGGAAACGGATGTATTAGGAAGACGGCGGACTGGGCTTGTTCGACAGCACCAAGGTCGGTCGGAAATCGAGGTGCTTTCCAGAAGTAAGGGCGCGTGTCTTTTGGTTTTTACATGCAAATCTCGAATTTTTTGTTGAACTGTAGTCATATGAACCTAGCTCGAGCTAGGCTCGAGTTTTCACCAACTGCAAACCGAGCCGCGGTTCCACCCCTCCCGAAAATCACGCGACAAACAAAAGTTCAACTATCGAAGTTGAACTTTTGCAGCCCAGCCGAGCCGCGACCTACGCTTGTAGGTTACCCGGTTTGGGCTCTTGACATCGCGCCACCGGGACTCGCGCTGACGAGCACCCTCGTGCGCACGATGCTAGCTGCGAGCGTCGCAGACTTCGCATCGTCGCTGTCAGTGATGAGGTGGACACACGCTCGCACATTCGTGCCAACCTGTTTGTTGATGAGGGTTCAACTTGGGGGCTCAACATTTTCCGATGCCGGAAGTGTACGTGGACACACGACGTCCTGGCGAATGTTTTGACGAAATTAACGAATAGGGTAACCAGCAAAAGTTCAACCAAAAATCCGAACGTCTACACCAAAAGACACGCGCCCTAAGAAAATCACCACCTCATTGATTGATTGTCATGAAATGTTCGTCGTGGTACAGTTGCTAGCACGCCCATCCCCTTCTTTCCGACCGTTTTCAGGGAGTCCCAAAATGCAAACCAACCTTGGGATTTCCTGAGGTGCGCCTGTCTGTTGCGAGTCATGCGACCTCGAGTTTCCCCAATTCCAAAGCAGAATGGAAGGTTCTGACATCGAACCGCGCATGTCTTTCCCCATCGATTCGGCTGCAGCACCTGCCGAGGCGCACAGTCTGAGCAGCTGGGGGTGGACTCGGCTCTGCGACGGTGGCTTGAGTCGTCTGACGACGGTTGGGTCGCTGACCGACATTTTTACTAGACACTAAGGGGCTAAAAGTGTACCATATTCTTCGAAACATTCAGTACAGTTCAATGATCGTTATTGTTTGTGCCGAAGTTTCAGTCAACATGGCACTATGACTAACCCCGTTTACAGGATGGAAGTTACATAAATCGCACATTACACTGTTCAAAGGTCCTCGCCTAGCAAGTTGATGACGGTATTGACGTCCTTGTCACCGCGGCCACTAAAGCACACAATGACCTTGGTGCCATCGGCCAGCTGCGGGCACAGGTATTCGAGGTATGCCAACGCATGGGACGTCTCAAGAGCCGGGATGATGCCTTCCAATCGCGACACACGCTTGAATGCTGCACAAGAGTAAGCACGGGAAAGGGACGGAAGAATGCCACCATGGTTGATGTCGAGACCATTCTCTCAGGAGCAGTATTTCAAAACATGTTGCACTTAACACCCCCATCTCCCTCATACATTGCAGGGATTCGTCATCCATGAAACTTAAGTACACTGCCTACCCAACGTCTTCAGGGAAGTGGTAACTGAGTACCTTTCCCCCCATTCCCTCCCTTACCTTGCAGCGCCTCATCGTCAGTGACACTGAAGTACTCTGCCAGCCCAATGTCCTTGAGGAAGCTGTGCTCACCATTGCCTGCTCATCTCCCCAATCATTCCCCGCCTACCTTGCAGGGCCTCATCGTCCGTCACACTGAAGTACTCCGCCCGCCCAATGTCCTTGAGGAAGCTGTGCTCGGGACCCACTCCAGGGTAGTCAAGGCTGTGGAAAGATAGGCAGAATGCAGGGAGGGTAGAGGAAGATGAAGAGATGAGGGAATAAAGGGTAGCACAGAAGTACTCTGCCCGGCCAATGTCCCTGAGGAAACTGTGCTCCGAGCCCACCCCGGGGTAGTCAAGGCTGCAAACGCAGGGCAGAAAGCGGAGAGGGCAGAGAGGAAGGTGAGAAGGGGGTGGGAGTTGGGAAAGTTGTGTTTGGGGCCCACTCCAAGGTTGTCAAGGCTGCAAGCAAAGGGCAAAAGACAGAGAGGGCAGAAAGTGGAAGGTGAGGGGAAAGTGGGACTCGGGGAAGCTGTGCTCGGCCCCACTCCAAGAAAATCAAGACTGCAAAGAGGAGAGGAGAGAGGAAGGTGAGAAGACAGTGGATATAGAAGAATCGGCATCCAAGGTGGACTCACACTCCTCCCACCCATCTCAACCCATACACCAATCAACTCACCCGGCGCTGATGCTGTGAGGCTTTATGATTTGCCCGTCGCTGTCCTGCAGCAGGTAGCTCATGGCGCCGTGCAGCACGCCCACCTCCCCCTCCTCCAACGCACACACACACACACTCTCTAACCCACCAGTCTCATCCCCTCTACAAGCTGACTCACCCAGCAACAATGCTAAGGGGTTCAATGATCTGCCCATCGCTGTCCTGCAGCAGGTAGCTCATGGCGCTGTGCAGCACGCCCACCTCTTCCTCCTCCAACGCACACACACACTCTATCCCACCAGTCTCATCCCCTCTACAAGCTGACTCACCCGGCGCTGATGCTGTGGGGTTTGATGATCTGCCCATCGCTGTCTTGCAGCAGGTAGCTCATGGCGCCGTGCAGCACACCCACCTCCCCGGCAGTGAGCGTGGCCGCATGCTTGTCCGTGTGCACGCCGTGCCCTGCGGCCTCCACGCCCACCATGCGCACGCCCTCGTCCTCCCCTTTCCTCCCTTCTCCTATAGACATGAACACACACTCGATCCCACCTACTCCTCCACTCACTCACCCGGCGCTGATGCTGTGGGGTTCAATAATCTGCCCATCGCTGTCTTGCAGCAGGTAGCTCATGGCGCCGTGCAGCACACCCACCTCCCTCCCCCTCCGATAACACAACCTCGCTCCCACCCAAACTCGTCCCACCTACAAACCCACTCACCCGGCGCTGATGCTGTGTGGTTCAATGATCTGCCCATCGCTGTCCTGCAGCAGGTAGCTCATGGCGCCGTGCATTCCCCCCCCCCCCTACCCTCGCCTCTAACCGCACACCTAAACCACACCCATCAAACAACCTACCCGGCACTGATGCTGTGTGGCTCGATGATCTGCCCATCCGAGTCCTGGAGCAAATAGCTCATGGCGCCGTGCAGCACGCCCACCTCCCCGGCAGTGAGAGTCGCCGCATGCTTGTCCGTGTGCACGCCGTGCCCTGCGGCCTCCACGCCCACCATGCGCACGCCCTCGTCCTCCACAAACTCGTGGAACAGCCCCATGGCGTTCGACCCACCCCCCACACACGCCACCAGCACGTCTGGGAGACGACCAAACTTCTCCAGGGATTGCTTCTTGGCCTCACGTCCAATGATGGCCTGACGATTTGCGCGGAAAAAAAAAAACACATAGGCAGAAGGGGGGCAGGCAGGGAGGGTGGGGCGACAGGCAGGGAGGGTGGTGTTTCCATGAGTGCCCCCCTGCCTCCACGCCCACCATGCGCACGCCCTCGTCCTCCACAAACTCGTGGAACAGCCCCATGGCGTTCGACCCGCCTCCTACGCACGCCACCAGCACATCGGGTAGGCGGCCGAACTTCTCCAGGGATTGCTTCTTGGCTTCCCTGCCAATGATGGCCTGACGGGCAGGACGGGAAGGGAAGGAGGAGAGCGGAATTCCAACTTCCAAGAGGGCAAGGAAGGGAGGGGGCATGGGTGGGGGTATGGAAGAGAGGATGACGGCGTTGGTCACCCAGTCGGGATTTTGAGAGGCGCGAAAGGAGGAGAGGCGTGGGGTAGTGTACATATAGGTAGGTATGAGAAGATGGGGGCGTTCCCATAAGGTGTGACTATACGCATAAGGTAGAGAAGGGAAGGTACCTGGAAGTCACGCACGATCATGGGGTAGGGATGGGGGCCGGCAGCAGAGCCGAGGATGTAGTGTGTGGTGTCCACGTTGGTCACCCAGTCGCGAATTTGAGAGGGGCGGAAGAAGACTTTCGAGTCGACTCAAAATGTAGTGAGTGGTGGCCAAGTTAGTTACCCAGTCAGGATTTTGAGAAGGGCGGAAGGAGGAGAGGCGTGGGGTGGGGGTGGGCAGGGGAAGCTGGGGGCGTTCCCATGTGGTGTGAGGGTATGCGTAAGGCTGAGAAGGGAAAGTACCTGGAAGTCGCGCACGATCATGGGGTAGGGGTGGGGCCCGGCAGCGGAGCCGAGGATGTAGTGTGTGGTGTCCACGTTGGTCACCCAGTCGCGGATCGCCTCTGACGTGGCGTCCTTGAGCGTGCGCGTGCCACTGTGCACCGCGCGCACCTGGACACGTGGAGTGAGGGGGAAAGCGTGAAGATGTCAAAAGGTGATGGTGGGTGATGGTGGGTGATGGCAGGAAACGGAGGTGCATGTGGAGGAACACCTTCAACGCCTGCCCTCTCCACACCACGCCCTCTCCACACCACGCCCTCTCCACACCACGCCCTCTCCGCTCCATGCCCTCTCCTCTCCATGCCCTTCGCCCTCTGCACTGCAGGGCGATGTCGCTACGCCCCTATCAACCCCCTTCGCCCCTTCCGCGCCTTCCCACTTCCGCCCTTTCTTACCCCCAGCCCCCCCCTCCCTTCCCCCCTTCCCCGCACCTCTGCGCCCAGCAGGCGCATGCGGAACACGTTGAGCGCCTGCCGCCGCATGTGCTCAGCGCCCATGTACACGATGCAGTTCAGCGCTCATACCCTCTATCCCTCCCCCAAGACCCACAATCTCCCCCCCCGCACCTCTGCGCCCAGCAGGCGCATGCGGAACACGTTGAGCGCCTGCCGCCGCATGTCCTCCGCGCCCATGTACACGATGCAGTTCAGCCCGAAGCGCGCGCACACCGTCGCCGTCGCCACGCCGTGCTGCCCCGCGCCCGTCTCCGCAATGATGCGCTTCTTGCCGATGCGCTTCGCCAGGAGCACCTGCGAGAGAGGGTGGGCAGAGGGAGGCGTGCTCGTCAACGTGCAATTAAATTACCGCAAGCCTTTAGTTACATGAGAATCAGCCGACCGCACATACCTGACCAATGGCGTTGTTGATCTTGTGCGCGCCCGTGTGGTTCAGATCCTCCCGCTTCAGGTACACGTGCGGGCCGACGCGGCGCGAGGGGTCGGCGGGGTCGGGCCGCGAGTAGTGCTCCGTGAGGCGCTCCGCGAAGTAGAGCGGCGACTCGCGGCCCACGTAGTCCTTGAGGATGGACTGGAACTCCTCCTGGAAAGGAACGTGAAGCAACGTTGAGAAAAAAGAGAGGGGATTAGAGTGGGGAGGAGGAGGAATGCGACCCACCTAGTCCTTGAGGATTGACTGGAACTCCTCCTGGGATCGAAGAAACGAAGCGGAATGGGGGGAGAGAGAGGGGCGGGGAGGGGGAGGGGAGGGAGGGGGGCTGGGGGGGTTGGGAGGGTGGAGTGGAGGAAGGGTTGGGGATGGAAATGGTGGGGGAAAGGGATGTTGAATAAAAAGGGAAATTTTGAACCACGTAGTCCTGAACTGGAACTTCGCCTGGAGAGGAGCGTTGAAACAGAGGAAGAAAGAAAGTTGGACCAACGTAGTACTAAAAGATAATTTGGATCTCCGTCTGTGAACGTAAAGGAATGCAGGGATGTTCCAACTGGCAAAAAAATGTCATCAACTTACGTTAATCTATTACAATTGCAATTCAGGGTTCACAGACAGACCCCAGTGGGATCGGTATCCGACGCGAATTGGCTTACCTGGAAAGCGGGATCCTTCACTGTCTCGTTATAAACCTTCTCGAGATTATCCAAAGCGGCCATGAGGGTCTCTGGAACGTACTTGCCGCCGAACTGGCCGTATCGGCCGAACGAATCCGGGCGCGCAAGATCCTTCATCTGGGGGGATTCAGGGGGGTTTATGAAGGAACGATTAGTGGCAGGTCAATGTTGAGGAGAATTCCGCCTTTTCTAACCTAGTGAAGCAGGTGAATGTTGAAGCAGGATGACCAATCATAGCCAGAAATAAGGGAGCGGTGACGATGCGCAGCAGGACAGCGGTAAACTGACTGACTTAAGGACTACAAAAGGTCTACCTTTGGTGAGTCAGCAGCCGCTGGCTTGATCTCCGCTACAGCCCTGACCTTCGCCGTCCCGCGAACGCTCTTCGCGAGCTTGTTAAAACTAGCAGAGTGGCTAACGGCTTGCCATCCAACGGTTCGCCGTGAGCTGGACGCGCACAAACCAGACTGACACGTGGACAATGCAGCAGCACGCACTGCAGGAGCTTCAAGGGTCGCCATAATAGTGTTCGTAAGATATCCTTGAAAACACTAAGAGGAGCGACGAGGCGAAGATCCCTGCGTGGATGTTACTCGAGCAAAGACGAAGCTGCAAGCGCTCCTAATTGCTGCCAACACTGCCAGCAACGCCTAGCGCTTTAGAGAACTGCGAAGAAATGGGAATGCAAAGAAATGGGAAGTAGCTTGGGAGGGGAAAGGAGAGGGGGAGAAGACTCCGTGCGGGTATGGGGGGGATACTCCGCAGGGCAATGAGGGTCAAGCGGTTTGGGGGAGTTTTGGGGGCGGTTTGCGGGCAGCTTCGGCGGAGAAATGGTTCAAGAGCAGCAAGCCACGTCGGAGCAACATCATCAATGATACGGTGCTGAGTGCCAATCGCCGAAATTTTTCTGACCAATCGGAGCAGCCTAGTTTTCGACAGTTCCCTTGGTTCCCCCACGTCTCCCTTGTAACTCATACCCTTCGCAACTGGGTCCAATTTGGTTCCGCTTGCTTTGCGAAAAGTTATCTGAAAGCTTCCACGGCTGCGACCAATCATTGGTGGGGATCCGTCTGACATCCCCAAGGCTGGTCGCCTGAAAGTCAGATTTGGTAATTTCTGGTTTCTCAGGGCGCGTCAGACCCCTCCACTTTTGGTTCGGTATCTGCGGTGGAGAAAGTTTCTGTGCATTTCAGAGCGGTGTTTTTTCTCCACCGCTTTGAACCGTCACCCACCAGTCTCAACAGTGATACATGGGCTGGCTGAAAACGAGCTCGTTGGACAGGAGAAGAGAATCGACGGTTCGTGTGTGCTCAGATTCATATTGCTGCACTCACTGAGACCGAACCACAGGAGGAAAAACTAGCGAATAGGCTGGATCCAGGACGGAATAACTAGCCAGCAGGATTTCCAGAAGTCTGATCCACTGAAATAACGCAAGCAGCATACTATCAGGCTTGCGCTTTCATAGGATCCCTTCAAACAGTACTTCTTTCTGTGCTCAGGCGATGATTCTAGTAGAATAAGCCACAATGGCTAGGCAACGGAAACCAATACGGAGTAACAGTGGAAAGAAAGGAGGACGGCTAGCGGCTTTCAAATGCTGCATGATATCGCTTGCACTGGTTGCGATCGTGTGCATTCCTCTGGGTTATTGGAGAATTCATAGACGAGGTGCGTTTTCACTGGACTGCCCTAAGTTTATCTGCATTTCAGATATAACTTAACTGGAACGATAATGCACTTCCATATTTTTGGTTTCCGATCACAGGTCAACTAGCAGCAGAAGCTCTATCGTCGAGACGCAACTTAAATGAGGTAATCAAGGCTTTCCGAATTTACTACGTTTTCTAAGCAGCTGTTTTCCTGCCTTAGAACCTCGTCAGCAGCTCATTTCTAGAAACTGATGTGGAGCCTCTCGTTTGCAGGAACCTGTTTTGAAGCTTACAGAATCATCCCAAGGTAAAGCGTCTTTCAAATTCGTGCTTGACGCTGTTTGACAGCATGTACTGCTATTCTGCTCCCACATGTCCACATTCCATAGCAGTGCTGTTGCGTTTACTTATTGGATCATTCTCATTCTCCTTGCAACTACGGGACTTTAATTTCGCAGCAGCTTCGCACGTTGACATTGGACGGCCTGAGGCTCATTCGAGCGATGCGTCCGGAGGCAAATCCGTCGTGCTGACAGAACTCCATGACTCAGATGTGACTGACAGACCCTCGTTTGAAAAAGCTTTGGCCGAAACAAATTCTGACAACAATGACGTCCAAAGGGAGGCCTCATCAGATTTTGGAAAAACGCTGACTCAAAGGTCTGAGTCGGGTGGTGTTGGTGGTGGTAGTGTTGGTGGTGGTAGTGTTGGCGGTGGTGTTGGTGGTGATGATGCTGATGGTGGTGCTGCTGCTGCTGATGGTGGCGGTGGTGAGGGTGGTGAGGGTGGTGATGGTGTTGATGCTGGTGGTGGAGATGGAGAGGACAGTAAATCAGATTCAGCCAGCAATGATGCTAAGCCGGATGACGATGACCAGGAGGAAGATGAGGATACCCAACGGAAAAAGCCGCAAGATTCGGGAATCCAGATGGTTCCAGACCGTGCGGAAGGTGCAGATGGTGATGGAGAGAAGAGCTTGGAGACGGATGGTGCGGAGAAGGAGAAGGAGGAGAGTGATGGGGAGGATGGAGACACGGACGAGGAGAGTGAGGATGGCGGGAAGAAGAAACGGAGGAGAAAGAAGAAGAAAAAGAAGAGACATTCCAAGAAGAGGACAGGAAACAGACGTAAGGATTCCAAATCTTCTTCTTCTGATTTCTCAACGGCTTCCTTTCCTCGTGCCTTTTCCTATTATTTTGCAAATAGTCATCAGTGGAGATTGCTTTGTTCCTTACTGGACATACTCGCCTGTTCGAGTCTACATGATGTTCTCAGGACCCACCTCCTCCGAGTCTCAAAAACTACTTCCCGTTCCGCTGATACCCTTTTCCACCCTCCATTCAGCATGTGAGGTTGACTACTTGGAGAGTGGAGACAACGTCCAAGTACCAGACCTGGAAGGACCCAACCCCACAACCCCTCACTATGTCACCATGGAGCATCCCCCTGCTGCCGACTCCTCCTCTTCCTCCTCCTCCGCGCTCAGCCTCCTTGGCCGCTCCTCCAACACGTGGGCCCCACGCTTTGCTGGCCACCAGACGTGGCGACAGCGCGCTGACTCATTCCGAGCTGGCAGAGCTGACTGGCCGCCAGAGGCGCAGGTTCACTGCGGCTTTGTGCAGTCGCCGCCCGGCTGGCCGGGAACAGGGTTTGATATCTCCAAGGGGGATCAGATGTACCTGGAGCAGTGCCGCATCGCTGTGGTTTCGGCTATCTTTGGCGACTGGGACCACCTCAGGCTGCCTCAGCGGTCCAAGGTGAGGCTACGGGAAGGCGTGCTTGATTTGTATGGTTGTGATGATCGCAAACGAGGTGTTAGTGAAGGGATTGGAAGGGGACAGGGTTTGACATCTCCAAGGAGGACCAGATGTACCTGGAGCAGTGCCGCATTGCTGTGGTTTCGGCTGTCTTTGGCGACTGGGACCATCTCAGGCTGCCTCAGCGATCTAAGGTGATACTTGTAAAAAGAGTGCTCTCTATATATGTATGTGCTTTTTGCAGACGCATCAGTGAAGGGGCTGGATGAGGATAATCTCTTCTCGTATGGCAAAAGGCAAGGTGGGGTTTTAGTGGCTTTCTCTAAGCGGTTCAATCAATTTCTCTCTCCCTATTCCCCTCCCCAGATTTCCGTTGCAGCAATGCGCAAGGCGTGCTTCGTGATTTTTGTGGACGAGCAGACAGTGAGGGGGCTCTACAGGGACAACCTCATTCCCTCCGGACACCAAGGCAAAGTGGGGCTGTGGCATATGAAATGAAGCGCCTCAATCCGTCATTCCCCTACTCTTCCCCTCCCCAGATCTCCGTGGCAGCGAAGCGGAGAGCATGCTTTGTGATATTCGTGGACGAGCAGAGAGTGAGGGGGCTGTACAGGGACAACCTCATTCCCGATGCCAACGGCAAAAGTGGGGCTGTGGCATATGAAATGAAACGCCTCAATCCGTCATCCCCCTATCTTCCCCTCTCCAGATATCTGTTGCAGCCAAGCGCAAGGCATGCTTTGTAATATTCGTGGACGAGCAGACAGTGAGGGGGCTGTACAGGGACAACCTCATTCCCGATGCCAACGGCAAGGTGGGCCTGTGGCGCGTGGTGGTGGTGGCCAATTTGCCCTACTCCGACGCACGGCGCACGGGGAAGATCCCCAAGCTGCTTTCGCACCGCCTCTTCCCCAACGCCAAGTGAGTGTGTGTGCGGTTTGAGTTGCAATGTGGTAAGGTAGGCCTCAGCAATCCGTGGTGGTGGTGCCGACCAAGCTGCCCGGTTTTCAGTTGACTCAGCAACCCGACCTACTCAGATGCTCGGCGCACGGGGATGATCCCCAAGCTGCTTTCGCACCGCCTCTTCCCCAACGCCAAGTGAGTGTGTGTAGGGCCGTGAAGCCGTGTGGTTGGGGTTTGAATGCAGCAAGGTGGGGCTGTGGCGCGTGGTGGTGGTGGCCAACCTGCCCTACTCGGACGCACGGCGCACAGGGAAGATCGCCAAGCTGCTCACACACCGTCTCTTTCCCCACGCCAAGTAGTGCAGCCATGTGCTGCCATTTGAGACGTCCCAAACCTTATTTGCTGATAATTTGCTGGTTAACGGTCGCCATTCATGGTGGTGCCATCCTTCCCCCTGTCACCTCCAGGTATTCCATGTGGATTGACAGCAAGCTGCGGCTCTTTGTGGATCCTCTGATTCTCCTCGAGCAGTTTCTATGGCGGGAAGGGTTTGAATATGCAATTTATTGTGCGGCCTCTTTTCCCCTCGTCGCCCCCAGGTATTCCATGTGGATTGACAGCAAGCTGCGGCTCTTTGTGGATCCGCTAACCATCCTGGAACGGTTTTTGTGGCGGGGAGGGTTTGAATATGCCATCTCCAACCACTACGACCGCCACTGCGTGTGGGAAGAGGTGAGAAATGCATGGAGGTGAGGCATGCGAGGAGATAAGGGAGCAGCTAGGTGAGGAATAGTAAGAAGTGCGCGTTGAGGAAGTCTGATTTGGGAGATGATGCATGGAGAGTGTGAGGTGCGGAGGGGAGATACTGAACCAGTGGGGAGCTGTGGAATTGTACTTTGTCATTCAACAGGAATGAGATATTAATGGTCATTGTGTACTGTGTACTGTGGCGTGCTGTTGCATTATGTGGCATGACATGGCATGGCATGGCATGGCATGGAATCAAACGAATGGTACTGCTTGGCGTGGCACACGTGGTGCATGGCATGTGTGGTGCATTGCACGACACGGCATGGGTGGTGCACGGCATGTGACCAGGTGGAGCGCAACAAGAAGCTGAACAAGTACAACGCGACGGTCATTGACAAGCAGTTTGAGGCGTACAAGGCCGATGGCCTCACCATGTTCAACCCAAACGATCCCAACAACCTTCTCATCAGCAGTGAGTGTGTGAAGAGCAGTGAGAGTGTAGGGCAGTGTGTGTGGAGCAATGTGAGATTGTAGAGTATAACAAGAAGCTGGGCAAGTACAACGCAACGGTCATTGACGAGCAGTTTGAGGCGTACAAGGCGGATGGCCTCACCATGTTCAACCCCACTGATCCCAACAACCTGCTCATCAGCAGTGAGTGTGTGGAGCAGTGAGTGCGTAGAGCAATGAGTGTGTAGAGCAATGAGTGTGTAGAGCAATGAGTGTGTAGAGCAATGAGTGTGTAGAGCAATGAGTGTGTGGGGCAGAGAGTGTGTAGTGTATCCCAAGAAATCGAACAAGTACAATGCGACGGTCATTGACGAGCAGTTTGAGGCGTACAAGGCGGATGGGCTCACCATGTTCAACCCCACCGACCCCAACAACCTCCTCATCAGCAGTGAGTGTGAAGACGTTCCATTTCAGTTTTATGCAAACAGGACAGATTGGAACTCACCAAGTTCAACCCCACTGATTCCAGCTACCTGCACATCAGCAGTGAGTGCCCAACAACCCACCCATCCCCTGCTCCCAATCCCCCTGCTCCCCACCCCCCTGCTCCTCATCCCCCTGCTCCCCACCCCCCTGCTCCTCATCCCCCTGCTCCCCACCCCCCTGCTCCTCATCCCCCTGCTCCCCACCCCCCTGCTCCTCATCCCCCTGCTCCCCACCCCCCTGCTCCTCATCCCCCTGCTCCCCACCCCCCTGCTCCTCATCCCCCTGCTCCCCACCCCCCTGCTCTACCATAGCTCTTTGCTCCCCCACGCTTCCCAGAAGTACCGGAGGGGTCGGTGATCATAACAGCACACACTGCTGCTTCCAATCTCGTCTGTGCTACCCAACCCCCTGTGCTACCATGCTCATATGTTCCCCACCCTTCCCAGATGTACCGGAGGGGTCAGTGATCATAAGAGCGCACACAGCCGCTTCCAATCTCGTCTGTGCTACCCAACCCCCTGTGCTACCATGCTCATATGTTCCCCACCCTTCCCAGATGTACCGGAGGGGTCATTGATCATAAGAGCGCACACAGCCGCTTCCAATCTCGTCTGTGCTACCCAACCCCCTGTGCTACCATGCTCACGTGCCCTTCACCTTCCCAGATGTACCGGAGGGGTCAGTGATCATAAGAGCGCACACAGCTGCCGCCAACCTGTTCTCGTGCCTCTGGTTCAACGAGGTGGACCGCTTCACCTCCCGCGACCAGCTCTCCTTCGCATACACCTACCTCAAGATGGCCCGCACCTCTCACCCACTGCGGTTGAACATGTTCAAGGTGAGTCAACGCAGTCAATGACGTCAGTGCAGTCAATGCAGCCAACATTGCGACCAGCTCTCCTTCGCCTACACCTACCTCAAGATGGCCCGCACCTCTCACCCACTGCGGTTGAACATGTTCAAGGTGAGTCAAAGCAGTCATTGTGAGTCAATGTGGGGTCCACAGACGCTAAGCGATCGCCATTGCTTTGCCAAGCTGCCGGATGTGTCGATTCCAGTTCAAGAAAGCCCGTGCGCCGAGTCCTAGTGATGTGCATACAATGAGAAAGCGTGTACGGTACCTGCTGTTGGCCTCCTAGAACTTGGGTTCCGCCATCACTGGGAACCTGATCTGTCCAATACCCGGTGCATGTGAGCAGGACTGTGAGCGGCGGTCGTTTGTGAAGCTCTTTCACCACAAGGCTGAGGAGGCGGCACTCAAGCTGGAGCGAGGCAGGGCTAGGTAGTAGTACATGTACCGTACCCGCTTCTAATGGTTATAACACACCAAGCTTTGCACAGCCTTACTTCTGAGTATTTGCAAGCTTCTACTGTACACCATTGCCCAATGTCTTGGTGAAGGACAAATCTCCATGCCAGGTGATTCGAGCAGAACTAAGGTTCCTTCCACGCTGGTGGAATGCTGGTGCTCAAGATTCATCCAGACTGGTAACTGCAGTCAGATAGTTTTTTAGAATAGCAGTAACAATGATGACGCCGACTAGCGTCACATTCCGTCGATGCCAACCTGGTGCCTAAATATGCAGCTCAACAATTGCAGGTACATAATATGTGAAGTTTAGGATACAGCCAGCAGGCCGCAGAGTAACAAACTCGACCTTCATAATGGCTCAGCTCCTACTTATCACAACTAACCACCTCTATTGCAGGCGTGCATTTATACAGCAAGTTCAATGTACCGAAATAGAAAGCCCGCGAAACAGAACTCCTCCGGGTCAACCTGTTGCCTTGTTGCAAATGACCTACAGCAGAGGTGACATCAGCAATAACCCTCCACCCTCCTTCCTCTTCCACTCCCCAGCCTCCTTGCCGTACGCCCTCCACTCTCAGCCTCCTTGCCGTACGCCCTCCACTCTCAGCCTCCTTGCCGCACGCCCTGTGAACGAGGCCCAACCAAGTGACCTGCAAGTTTCCTTCTTCACCCTGCTCCCTCCCTCATCTCCTCTTCATCTCCCTTCATATCCCTTCCTTGGAATACACCTTCTTGCGAATGACCTCCAGGCGGGTCCGCATGGTCTCATCCTTCACCCACCACTCCACAGCTTCCTTCATCAGTACACCCCCCCCCCCCCCCCCCCCACCACTTTCCAAGCATCCCCCATCTCTTCTCCTTGGAAAACACCTTGCGAATCACCTCCAGGCGGGTCTGTATGGTCCCATCCTTCACCCACCACTCCACAGCTTCCTTCATCAGTATCCCCCTCCCCCCCTCCCCCCCACCACTTCCAAGCATCCCTCATCTCTTCTCCTTGGAATAAACCTTCTTGCGAATCACCTCTAGACGGGTCTGCATGGTCCCATCCTTCACCCACCACTCAACAGTGTCCTTCTCCCCATACACCTCCGAGCACCAGTCCATGTCCGCGCCCCTCTTGTGAACATTCTCAAACCGCTCGTGCCGCACCGACTCAACCGACAGGTCCACACCTCCTGTTCTCGGATCAACCACTTCACTCTCCCCCATTAAAAACACCTGGCGCGCGGAGGGGAGCAGGAAAGGGGAGACAAAGAACGGCATTCTCTGCTTGTTCTGTCCGCGCCTCTCTTGTGAACATTCTCAAACCGCTCGTGCTGCACCGACTCCACTGACAGGTCAACTCCGCCTGTTCTTGGGTGCACCACCTCGCTCTCCCCCATCAGGAACACCTGCCAGGGTTCGGGGAGAGGTGAAGAGATGGGTCAAACGAGGTCATTTTGCCTTTTCCTCTCTTGTGAATGTTTTCAAACCAAATGTGCCGCACCAACTCCTCTGACAGGTCTACACCACCTGATCGTTGGTCCACCACCTCACTCTCCCTCCCCCGTCAGAAACACCCGAGATGATGGCACTCTCGAAACACTCTCCCGGGCCGAAGGTGGCATCCATGGGAGGGAACATACTGCTTTTGAGGCGGATCAAAAAACATACTGCTCCATAAGTCACCATGTCCCACTCTCCCTCTCGCTCTTCTCTCACCTTGCCCGCCCTCTTCTCTCACCTTGCCAGTATTAGCCATGATGTAGCGGTGCCCTCGGGTCCCTGGGCAGAAGTTAGCATCCACAGGAGGGTCGCCTCAGAGCACAGGAAGTGCGTCCTGCCTCTCTCCCTATTTATCCCTCACTCACATTACCAGCATTGGCCCTCTCTCATCTCACCTTGCCAGTATTGGCCATGATGTATCGGTGCCCTCGGGTCCCCGGGCAGAAGTTAGCATCCACAGGAGGAGAGATATTGTTCATATCCCACTACGTCTCCCTCCCCTCTCACCTTGCCGGTGTTGGCCATGATGTAGCGGTGCCCCCGAGTCCCCGGGCAGAAGTTAGCGTCCACGGGGGGGTCGCCCTCAGAGCACAGGAAGTGCGGCCAGTGCCACAGCATTCGCTCCTGGGGCATGAGCCCCTTGGTGCGACTGCTGACCTGCCAGGAGGGGAGGAAAGGGTCAGCATGAGACCAACAGAAAGTACAAGGAGAGAGGGGGGCACAGGGGCAGAGGGTCGCCCTCAGAGCACAGGAAGTGCGGCCAGTGCCACAGCATTTGCTCCTGGGGCATGAGGCCCTTGGTGCGACTGCTGACCTGCAGAGACATAACATTCACCAACGTACGGGCAGAAAGGGAGGGTGCATGGAGAGAGGGTCGCGTCAGATATCACACAACGTGCGGCCAGTGCCACAGCACGCGTTCCTGGGTGGGGCATCAGGCTCTTGCTGCGACTGCTCACCTGCCAGGGGGTGAGCGACAGGAGGGGGGGGGTGGAAAGGGAAAGGGTGAGCTTCAGATATCACAGGCAATAGGCACCGCCCCTTGGGCCAATGCCATTGCATTCTCTCCTGAGGCATCAGCCCCTTGGAGCGATTGCTCACCTGCCGGGGAATGTGTGGGAAAGAGGGGAGAGCGGTGGAGAGGGGTGAAGAGGGCATGGAGAGGGGATGAAGGGAAAAGTAGAAAATCAAGCTGCTGGCACGTTGGCATGTGGGATGATTCAGGCCGGCACGTTGGAGTGCAGGTTCGGACGTGGTACAGAGCGGTGCAGTGAGTTGTTAACCTCTATAAGACTCACCTTGGTCCCCATGCACAATCTTGTGCCCCAGACTTGAAATTCGTAGGAGAGCCAGGGCACGTTGCGATGCTGGGAGAGGAGCTCTGAGAGGAACGAAGGTTTGATAGAGTGTGGTGCAGTGCAATGCAGCGCTCACCTTGGTCCCCATGCACAATTTTGTGCCCCAGACTTGGCAACCATAGGACAGCCAGGGCACGTTGCGATGCTGGGAGAGGAGCTCCGAGAGGGAGGGTGGCGAGATGATGTGGAGAATGTCGTCCCAGTCGAGAAAGATGACCCATGAGGAGGTGAGTGTTGAGCGAAAGAGACAGTCCTGCATTGCCATGAGCTGGCAGGGAGGAGGGAATGGGGGGAAACAAGAGGAGGGAAGGCGGCGAGATGATGAGGAGAATGTCGCCGCAGTCAAGGAACACGACCAGGATGAGGTGAGGGTGGAGCGGTAGAGACAGTCGTGCATCGCCATGAGCTGCAACGGGAGAAGGCGAATTAGAGGCCTCTGCTCACCTTCCCCTGGGCCACGTCTCTCACCCTCTGTCTCTGCTCACCTTGCCTTGCGCCTGCACCCTGAAGTGCACCACATCCCGCATCGGCAGCACCTCCAGAAACTTCTCATCCAGAAACTCCCCTCCTTGCTCTTGAACACACATTCCAGGAACTCACCTTCCCCTGCGCCTGCACCCTGAAATGAAATGCACCACATCCCTCATCGGCAGCACTTCTAAAAACTTCTCATCCAGAAACCCCTTCTCTTGCGCTTGGACCCAGAAATGCACCAGAACTTACCTTCCTTTGGGCTTGCACTCACCTTGCCTTGCGCCTGCACCCTAAAGTGCACCACATCCCGCATCGGCAGCACCTCCAGAAACTTCTCATCCAGAAACTCCTTCACTTCACGCAGCGCCGCCCGGTCCACACCGCCTGCATCGTACCCAACCACATGCTCCGCTCCATACGTCTGGTGCACGTGCAGCCAATCCCGCAGCCTCGCCCCGTCCACAGGGTCGGCAATCGGGTACGTGCAGAACGAGGTTCGGTACGGGTGGGTCGTGGACAGCAGCGCGTGGGTCGGCGAGTCCCGATCCTCTCTATAGAGAATTATGTGCTCGTTGTCGATTCCGACGACGAGGTAACCGCCGAGGTTGGTAACCACCTTGCCGCGGAGATCGCAGCGAATGACGATGGTTTCGTACTGCTCGTGGGGTTCGTCCCGCGGGTAGTGCAGCGACGGGTCCCCCAGTATTGTCACCCCGTCCGCCCCGTGCCACGTGCACGACGTGATCTTAACGAAGGGGAGAGGGGGGGAGGGAGGGAGGGGGAAAGGATGGAGGAGAGGAGGTAGGGAAGAGGATAGGAAAGGAAGTGGGTAAGGTTTTGCAATGCTTGTGGGAAGGAGGGAGGAAGAGAGGGAGGTCGCAGCGAGTGACGATGGTTTCGTACTGCTCGTGTGGTTCATCGCGCGGGTAGTGCAGCGACGGGTCCCCCAGTATTGTCACCCCGTCCGCCCCGTGCCACGTGCACGACGTGATCTTAACGAGGGGGGGAGGAGAGGGAAAGGAAGAGGGGAGAGATGAGGGGGATAAGGGAGGATGATGCATTATACTGCTACTTGGAAGGAGGGACGGAGGGAGGGATGGAGGAAGGGAGGGAGGGAGGGAGGGAGGGGAATGGGGGATGGGGGATGGGGGATGGGATGGGCATAGTGAAGACGCAATGGAGAGGACGTGGGGAAACTCTGGGCGTCACACTGCATGCTGCTGTTGCCGTGCCGACAATCTCACTCTCCGGTGCACCCACTCACCTACCCACCAGCCCGCCCCTTCCTCCCTTGCAATGGCACCTTCCCCGCGTCCCACCAGTGACCCCACCTTCTCCCTGACTCATGTTTTCGAAGGGCTGCAGTAGTAGAGAGGAGGCTTCAAGGAGGCTTTTCGGAAGCTAAGGGTTTTTCAGATCTGCGTTTTTTCACAAGTTTTTACTGTTGTTCCTTTGCAATGGCACCTTCCCCGCGTCCCACCAGTGACCCCACCTTCTTGTATCCACCTTTTTGTGATGTTCATATCTCCTGTTATCACCTCCCCCTGTTACCACCTCTCCCTGTTTCCACATTCCCCTGCTACCACCTCCCCCCCTTCCCACCTCCACCGGTTCCACCTTACCTTCCTGTGAGGCCGCAGCAGCGTCGCGCCGAACCCTACCCCCGCCACCACCTTCCCCAGGTCCCACCTCCCCCTGCTCTTACCTTTCTGTGAGGCCGCAGCAGCGTCGCGCCAAACCCTACCCCGACCACCACGCCCTCTTGAATCCGATACGCGGACCACTGGACCAATCCGTACGTGCCACGTCCCACCATGCGGTGCTGCCGCCAATTCTCGTTGCGCACGCCCTCCATGTGCCCCCACGCCGTCAGATTCAGATCCGCCTGCAGCGACGCGCACTGTTCCTTCACGTCGGATTTGATTCGCCGCACGTTCAGGTAGATCGACAGGAGCAGGTACTGCACGGCGAACAGCAGCGTGATGATCAAGATCAACGGCCCAAATTTGCGGATGAATTTGACCACGTGCGGCGGGATGGGAGGCAATTGCCCGATCCCCGGGATCACGATCGCGGGGATGCCTCCGAGAGGTCCCGGGTTCGATCCTCGGTGTCGACCTCCTCCTCCGCGGTATTGACCGGGCCGTTGTGGGGGTCCGGCGCCTGGACCTGGGGGAGGTGGTATCCGGTGTAGGTCGTACTCGCCGACGGGCTGTATGGGCTGCATTTCGTTATGTGGCTCGGTGTGAAAACAACCCGAGTTGAAAGCTGACGTTTTACGCGGTCCGCGCGTCACATAGCCCGCACGTAGTGCCTCCTAAGCTTAGCGAAATTCCCGGAACAGGCTCGGTGATAGGATCGGTGCAAGGAGCAAGGGAGGGGAGGTTTGATGTGCAACCGACCTTTCCGAACGTTGGGTTTGTTGTGAGGGCGCGTTTGGAAAATGGGCGTTGCCTGGCGTGACAACGTTCCTAATCTAAGTTCGAAATGGCCAAACGCGTACTGTCACTAGTGACTAGTGTGCGGATAGCAGAAAGGACCGGTCCCAGTCAGCAGTACCAGCGTACAGCACACAACCACATCGTACTCTCTATAAAGCCTCGGTGGGTCCCGCACGAGGGGCTTCTTGTTCTAAGACCCCCTGATTCGAAGTCTTCGTTCATGTAACAAATGTTCTGTTAACGAGGATGTAATGGAAGTGATTTGACTGTAGCGAACATTCGCGACGAAGCCAATCACACCGTCGAACCGAATCACATTTTCCAATCCGTTCTGTCAATTCGCCGAGCCGCGAGATCCAAGCACTGAGCTGTCATGTCAGTCCAGGAGCACACGCAGTCGGCGAAATCACCTCTTTCTTCGTTTCTTCGCGAATCTGGCTCGCTCCTGCCAGACCTGTGCTCATTTGGCGTGGAAACCGAGGCCCACCCACCAGAACCCACCCCAACTGACAGACAGAAGCCAAGTCACCGCTGGCAGCCGAACCTAACCATGGAGACCACCGCCAATCCATGCCTGGTTTGGCTTGGTTTGGATGACTGGGGGGATTCACATCGCCGCTGCCGCCGTTCCCCTGCTTCATTTCCAGGTTCTGGGCCACGGTGCTTGTTGGTCGTCTTCATAGGTGACTGGACTTGTCCGGAGGCTTTCGGGGCGGGCCGTTGTCGACGGCTGTTTTCTGGGGTTTTTCTGCCTGGATGGCTGTTTGTGAAGCTTGTTGTAGATTCTCCGTCTGTTCCTTGTACCTTCGGTTATTTTCAGGCAGGCGATTATTCCCTGATTGTGAGATTCTAAAGAGCCATATTAAGAATGAAGCCACTTCCTCCTGATGACGTCGGCCTGGAAAAAATGCGGCTCGTCGTCCTCCCTAAATCCGAAGCCGATGCGCTAGACGAGCTAATCGACGAGGCGTTAGACGCGGCGGACCCGGAGGGAGAGAGCGAGAGAGCATGGCGACGCTACCAGGAGGACCTAGCCAGCGAGCTGTCAGCCATGGCCAAATCTTCCGATCACCTTTGGCATTTTCTGGACGGCCTTGGCCGGCGGTTGCTGGAGAAGAAGCAGGCTCAGGCGGAGGGCCAGCACAGGCCGCTGAAACGATCTCCAGGTTCCATTTCCCGAGGTAGGGAACTGAGTCTGCGTCAGGCGAAAGCACCTTTTCTGTAGAAGAATCTGCTTCTGAGATCTTATAATTTCTGGTGTCGCAGCAGCAAAGGGAACATTCCTTTTGGGTTCCTGTGCACCATGTCTCGGCGTTGATTCTTCTGAGGAGTCGCAATTGCGCTGATCATCCTCCTGTTGACGTGACGTATCTTGCATTTGTATCTCTTCTCCTTCTTATTAAAATTCTTCCCAATGCTTATTTGCGTATCCATGTATCTCCAGGTATTCTGCTTCTCCACGGGTTACTCCGATCCTGCTCCGCCAATCAGGAGTCGGACATCTGCAACATGCTGCTCTCCACGTCAACCCGTAAAGACCGACCTTCCCTCGACCTCCCGCGTCTGGCCCGTCGCCTTCACTACACCGTCCCCGCTCCTTCCGCTCCCTCCTCCTCTGCCTCCTCCACCGCTGCCACGTCAGCCTCCGCCGGTGACGTCAGCGATGACGCGGCGCTGGCCCGGTTCGCGCACGCGTACTGCGTGTATCTGCAGGAGCGGCTCCGCTGCGTGGACAGCATAGGCCTCCTGGTTTTCCGCACGGGAGCCGAATCTGCAACCGGAGCAGCCAAAAACGGAGATAAAACCGCAGGAAACGACCGCCAGCAGAACCCACAGCAGCCGCGCGAAGGATCGTGTAATTTAGAGAGGAATTTAGAGAGGAATCTAGAGAGTGATGCAGAGAGAGGACTGGGGGAGGCGTACTGGGTGCAGCTTCAGTCCGACGCCGTGCTCCACCAGGTGGCCGCTCTGCAGCAGCTGCAGCAACGGCTAGTCGACTGCGCCGCCGCTGCTCCCAGCGGGCTCGGCACCAGCTTCGCAGGGGGCAAACCCGCAGGGTCGGTCCCAGCAGGAACAGCGGGGGGAGCAGCGGGGGGAGCAGGCGGGGGAGCAGGCGGGGGTGGGAGGGTGGGGGAGGCGGAGAGGGAGAGGCGGCGGCGGGTGGTGCGGTATGTGCTGGAGGTGATGCTGGATGAGAGCTTCCGCGTGTATGGGTGGGTCAACTACGGGCTGATCGAGCTCATGGAACGACTGTGCCGCTTCCCCAAGGAGCAGGTGAGTCGCGAGAAAGTCAAGTAGCTGTGGGTCTTTCTCACATGTTCACTCTTTTGACCTGCCTCTGCCAACGCGGATTCCTCTCCCATGTTCCCCCATGCCCTCCCATGCTCATCCACTCTCCCCTGCTCCCGCACTCAGGCCATGCGCGCTCTTCAAGTCTGCCAGTTCTCGGTGCAGCAGGGGAAGGCGTTATCTGACATGTACACGCGCCTGGGAGCAGCGGGGGTGGGCGCAGGTGTGACCTTCCCCTCCGTGGCCGTGCTGGGGGACGGCGTCATTGGCAACCTCTCCGCCTCCGTTGCTGCTGGCCCGGATGCTGGAATGAGCGCCCCACCCTCTCCCATGCACTCTGCTGCTGGTAATGGTGGATTCGCCAGCAGATCTGGGAGTTTTGCTGAGGGCAGTGCTGCTGGTGGCGCGAGTTTCAGAGGTATGGGACCACAGCAGCAGCAGCAACAGCAGCAGCCGAATCTGGACAGGAGTGACTCTCACCGCTCTCTTGCTAACACCATGGTGCTCTTCACTCCTGTCCCAGGCCAGCAACATGGTCATCCTCAATTTCAGCAGCAGCAGCAGCACCAGCAGCACCAGCACCAGCACCAGCAGCAGCAGCAGCAGCAGCAGCAGCAGCAGCAGCAGATGGGTTATCAGCACCAGAACCCTCAAGGCACCAGTCCGTACTACTCCTACGGCGCCTCTCAACCACCACCGCCCCCCCAGCCCGCGAGTCCTGCGCTCTCCCCTGCCGCCCAGCAGCAGCAGTTTGACGAAACTGCCCGAGCGCTCTTTGGGTCGTATTCTTCGCAGCCCTCCAATGCAGCCGCGCAGATGAAGTACCTCACGAATGGTGCGCAGGGATGGGAGCGTGCTCTAGATGCTACAGCTGGTGCGGCAGGTGGTGCGGCAGGTGGTGCTTCAGGTGGTGCTTCAGGCGGTGTTTCGGGGTCGTACGTGCCTCCAAGCCAGCAAGGTCAAGGAGGACAACAGGCACCATATCTTTATCATCAGGAGCAGCAGCAGCAGCAGCAGCAGCAGCAGCAGCAGAATTGGGCTCTAGCCGCTTCCGGGCTAGATGGTGGAAGCGGTACAGCTGGCAGCAGCCCATTGGATCAGCCGCCCATGACCGCCTTTCCGGGCGGCTGGGATCAGCTGTTATTGGACAGCCTGTATGAGGCGGCACAGGCACAAAAACACGCCTCTGATGCCACAGCAGCCAGATTGGGAGGAGCAGGAGGTAGTGGTGTTGGTGCGGGTAATTTTGCTGGTGGTTTTGGGTATGGTGGTGTGGGCGGGGATCCTTTTGCGGCGTCTGCTGCGGTTCCGCCGCCGCCGTATGTGCAGATGGCGCTTAGAGCGCAGCAGCAGCTGGCTATGGAGCTTCAGAGGCGCATGCTGAGTCAGCACGCGAGGTTTTTTGCCGCGGCGAGGTCGGCGGGAGGCGCGGATGCGATGTTTGCGGCGAGGTGGATGGTGCAGCAGAAGCAGATGCAGGCGTATCAGCAGCAGCAGTATCAGGCGCGGCCGGGAGGGGTTGTTGTGGGGCCGTCGGGGCCGTACAACTGGAATGGAGTTGGTGTGCAGTATGGCAACGTGCTGATTCCATTCTGAAGAGTTTGGCTGAACTGTTAGAGGGTGACTCTATCCGCTCTTCCGTGTGTTACTGTTTCGTTGTAATGATGAAACGTTACTGAAATTTCGAACACCATCGTCTCAGGGGTACAAGGAGAAACAATAGCGGGTGTTGCGAGAAGTTTCGGAGAGACTGGGGTTACGCGTTTCGTTCGCCAGCTGTATTCCGACGTCCGAGGCCCACGTCATACATCTGCGAAAAAGGAGCGATTCGCGACGAATCAGAAATTTCGGGCCACCTCATGCAAAGCTGGATTCCGTTCCAATCTCGGAACATCGAACCGCGTAATGCGCTTCGCAATCCTCAAATTGGAATTCGGAATTTCCAAGGTGAACGACAACTTGCATTTTTGGGTTGAGCTGTTGCTTCTTGTTAGCTCCTTGTTCAACCTCTTCTGAAGCTCCTTCCCATCCGCTCTGCCTTTCTGTCCCATCCCGATTCCTTGCCTAGAATCGGCTCGCCTTCACATACACATTTTTTTCCGGCGCCTTTCTTTCTTTTTCTTGTTTTTACTTAGTAATAGTTTCTGAACCAGAGGCAGTCTCGCCTGATACGCTCATAATCACTTTCAGCCTAGCATCATGAGGTCACGTAGCGTCCCTGTCAGCCTGTGGACGAGGCTGTCGTGGCCCAACCACGCGCTAATCCCGCGCAGCACGCTCGCCCTCGCAATAGTCTCGCTATCCCTCACCTGCATCGCCCTCAGCGCCTCCCTCCTCGCCTCCTCCTTCATCCGCTCTGCTCCCCCCCCTGCCTCGCGTAGCAGCGCTCCGCATGCCCCCTTGCCGCGCTCACGCCACGTCACAGCTGCAGATTCAGTTACCCGCGGAGATAATCCGGGTACAACGGAGATTCTAAGAGGATTGGACGGGTCTGGGGTGGAGATACTCTCTGGCGACGCGGTGTCCCTGTCAGGTGGAAAGGAGGAGAGCAATCCTCCTGGAAAGCTGAAGGAAGATCGCTCTGGAGAAGAGATGACAAGCGGCTTCAGGTGGTATGAGTGGGTGCTGGCGGCTTTTGCAAGCCCCCTAGGAGCTTTCAGTGACTTGCGTGCACCGTACCGTGCAGAGCAGAGTGTCTTGCTATCTGGTCAAGGCTCGTCGGGCTCCTCGGGCTCGAGAAGAGAAGGACGGGTGATGGGTGCAACTGCTGACGGCTCAGATCCTACGAGGAATGGAGATGGTGGTGGTGACAGGGATGGGATAGAGGGGATTGTTGCAGGATCGCAGGAGGAGAAGGGGAAGACCTCTGAGGAGGTGGAGGAGGAGAAGGTGCAGGAGGAGAAGGGAGAGGGGGAGGAGGAGGAGGAGCAGGAGACGCAGCTGCGGCACGTCATGTTCAACATAGCCTCGTCCCGAGCCACCTTCCCGCACCGCCGAGCCTACCTGCGGTCCTGGTGGCGCCCGGGCGGGCAGGAGAAGATTGTTGAGTCGACGCAAACGTCACCGGGTGGACACGAGGAGGAGATCCGGGGCTACGTGTGGGTGGATGACGTGGCAGCGGTCCCGCATGACGTGGCAGTGGACCCACCTATCAGGGCGAGCAGCGACACGAGTCACCTGAGCTACCGCGGCACGGGGCTGAGAGAATATCTGCGCCTGGCAAGGATCGTAGTGGACGCTTACAGGCTGGGAGAGAAGGGCGTGCGATGGTGAGTGAGGGTGTATGGCATGCTGCTGCACGTTGCCTGTATGCACTGAGCAACCTGAGCTACAAGGGCACGGGGCTGAGGGAATATCCGCGCCTTGCGAGGCTTGTGGTGGACGCTTACAGGCTCGGATAGAAGGGCGTGCGATGGTGAGTTGGTATCGTAAACTTCGTGTGTTCAATGGTGGGCTGAGGGTTCTCTATTCCACATTGGCTGTGAAGCACTGAGCCACCTGAGCTACTGCTCAGGAGGCTCCTGGGCACAGCACGGGGCTGAGGGAGGTGACCTGAGCTACCGGGGCACGGCACAGGGCTGGGGGAGTGCCAGCGATTGGCACTACTCTTATTCGAGAACGCCAATGAAACACTGTAATCTCTTCCCGCTCCCTCCCCTCCCTCCTCTCTCGTTCTCCTCCACTCTTCTCGCTGTCATTTATTCCTCTACCAGGTACGTGATGGGAGACGATGACACCTTCTTCAGTCCCCATGCCATCACAGCCTTCCTGGGACAATACGACCACCATACTCCACTCTACCTGGGAGCCCCTTCGGAGACGCATTACCAGAATGTGGCCAACACGCACGGCATGGCGTTTGGCGGGGGCGGGTTCGCCATCTCGGCAGCGCTGGCACGCATGTTGAGTGACGGCGGGGCGATGGACGCTTGTTTGGAGAGGCACGCCGCTGTGTGGGGGAGCGATGAACGCGTTGCGAGCTGCGTTGGCGAGATTGGGGTGAGTTCTTGCATGGTAGAGGCAGGGAAAAATAGAGTACATAAGCGGCGGTTTCGCCATCTCGGCAGCACTGGCGCGCATGCTGAGTGACGGTGGGGCGATGGATGCTTGCTTGGAGTGACATGCCGCTGTGTGGGGGAGCGACGAGCGGGTCACCAGCTGCGTGGGCGAGTTGGGGGTGAGTGCTTGCATTGGATTCAGACCTCCCTCACACCCACGCCGGACGTCCACCAGGTCGACTCGACCTGGGCTGTAGTCTTTGTGAGCGATTTTTGGGAATTCTAAAAAACATTCGCTCACAAGGACCTCGGCGGCAGCTTTAAGAAGCCCTCCCACCCCATCACACCCTCCCCCTCCCCCGGGTCGGTTTTTGAGAATTCTCAAAAACCAGCTCACCTCCACCCCATCACACCCTCCCCCTCCCCCGGGTCTCCCTCACACCCACACCTGGGTTTCAACAGGTCGATCTGGGCGGCAGTCTCTTCGGCCTCCTCATGGTACACCCGCTGCAGCCGCTGCTCTCCCTGCACCACCTTGACTTCTGAGGCAAGGTGGCTACTGCTGCTGCTGCTGCTGCTAGCTGGCTAATGAGGCATGGCGCGCACAAGTCAACCAGCACAATCCGCAACCCTCTATTCTTCCCTCACGCCCTACCTTCTGCCAACCCCCCTCTTCACCCACCATCCCCACCTCCCCCAGGTCTCCCTCACTCCAACGCAGGCTTCCATTAGGTCGATCTGGGCGGCAGTCTCTTCGGCCTCCTCATGGCACACCCCCTCCAGCCGCTGCTCTCGCTTCACCACCTTGACTTCGTTGACCCGCTGCTGCTGCCAGCTGGCACTTGAGGCATGGCGCGCACAAGTCAACCGGCACTCTCAGCAACCCTCTAGTCTTCCCTCACGCCCTACCTCCTGCCAACCCCTCTCTCCCCCCACCATCCCCACCTCCCCCAGGTATCCCTAACACCAACGCCAGGCTTCCACCAGTTTGATCTCTTCGGCCTCCTCATGACGCACCCCACTCCCCTGCACCCGCTACCCTCTCACTGCACCCCCTCCCGTGTTTGAAGTAAGCGGGAAGGTAATTTCCACGCCAACAAAAATCTACAGGAACCAGAAGAATAGCCACGTGTTTGAAGAAGTGTTTTGAGACGTCTCAAACCACTCCCCTGCACCCGCTACCCTCTCACTGCAACCCCTCCCTGTCAACCCATCCCCCAGATTTCCCTAACACCCACACCAGGCTTCCACCAGGTAGATCTGGGCGGCAGTCTCTTTGGTCTCCTCATGGCACACCCGCTACAGCCGCTGCTGTCCCTCCACCACCTTGACTTCGTTGACCCGCTGCTGCTGCCAGCTGGCATCGCTGACCGGGCGGACGGGCTCGCCACGCTGGCGGAGCGGATCCGGCCGGACCCGGTCGGGTTTGCACAGCTGGCGGTGTGCGGCGATGGGTGAGTGAGAGGAAATGAGGGGGGGAGAGAGGGGACAGTAGGAGGGAGTGGGTGGGGGGGTGGGGAGCGGACCCTGTTGGGCTTGCAGAGCTGGCAGTGTGTGGGGATGGGTGAGTGAGGGGAGGAAACACTAGGAGTGCTAAGAAAACAAGTCGCGCCAGGAGTCTCAAGTGCTAAGAAAATGTGTTGTGTACACAACACATTTTCTGCCGATGATTTGGCATTGTCTGTCCCTCTGCCATCGGACAACGTTCAATGCACCAATATCCTTCTGTGTCGCTTCTGCTACAACCCTCCTCCTCCTGGTCCCTCTCCTCCCCACACCTCTTCACTCCTTGCTCCATGCACCTCCCTGCAGCGCCCAGTGGACAGCAGCCATCCCGTGGGGCTTTGCCATCAAGATCGCTCCTCCCCTCCCTGCTGTCCACAGGGAGCAACATGAATTATGTGGTAACGTCGTAACGGCACTGATTCGCCTCCCGATCCTTGCTCCATACACCTCCCTCCCATGCAGCTCCCAGTGGACAGCAGCCATCTCGTGGGGCTTTGCAATCAAGATCTACCCTGGAGTAAGTTCACCTGAATTTTGCCTAGTCTAAACCTCAGATGATACCATATTTGGGAGATCTGGGGATAGTCACGGTTATTACCCGGAGGGCAGGGTGAACCTGTCGTGAATGACGCAGCAGAAGAAAAAAAAAACAAACAAACAAACAAAATCAATTTATCAGAGTTGGTTAGGGCGGAGCTACTCCTTCGGAGGGGGACCCATTCTTGCTGCATTCTCCCATGTTCTTCCATTGTGCAATCCATGGGAGTGCTCCTTCCTCCCTGCAATCCATTTCCCCCTTGATCTTCCCTTCTTTCTACGCCAGGCGCGGCTGCTATCAGAGCTGGTGAGGGCGGAGAGAACGTTTTACTCCTTTGTGGGGAGCGCTGTGGGCCAGAATGCATTGTCACTGCATTGCCACACGTTCCCCTTGCATCACACCCCCCCCCCCCCCCCCCCCCTTCCACTCACTCTCCCCACACCAGGCGCGGCTGCTACCAGAGCTGGTGAGGGCGGAACGAACGTTCTATTCCTTTGTGGGGAGTGCTGATCCCACTGCGTTCACCCCTTATCACCACTTGTTCTCGTTCTGTA